TACATAACAAAATGACGTTCTCCTAGTAACCTTATTCTGGCAAACTCAATAAAGGTGGCAATTTCTTTATTACACCATTTTATCTGCTGGAAAGCAGTTACAGAGGAAATAAATCAATTTGGTTTGAATTAGTATGCCATTAGCAAGGCTATGTACAAAACTACAGCAGAACATCTGGTACATGAATTTTGGTGATCCAATATTTCACTTCCATCTGATAATTTTTTGTTCAGTGCTGTCGGCTATTAACACTAATTTCCATAAACTCTTAAAGGTAAGACCAGTATCGGAAACGCCCCAATTTCAAAAAATGAAATGGAAGCTCTTATTACTAATCATGTGAAAGACTATGTTTTGAAGAATACATGATGATAACAATTTTGCCGGGAAACCGCCTACTAATTGATATATTTGGTAAATTAGTTTTAGTTTATCTATTGGCTTGTGAGAGATAAAAAACGCATGTGTCACGCACATGTGCGTAGTCCTATATACATCTTTCTGTGTACAGTGCTTGTAACTTTATGAAGACTGGGTCAAATTTCTTATCATTTTGATGATTCCAGAACCTTGCAGTACATCTATGCTAGATGATTAACCTTCTCTGACCGATTTCACAACGTTTCTTTCACGATGCAATCGCATGACCAATTGACCATAACTGGTCTTTATCTTTAACAAACCTTGCTGGTCATTTCGCTGTAATGTAAAATCCTGTAACCTAGAGATAAACAGGTAGGGAGATTTTCTTTTTTTTTTAAGTGATAAACTTAAAGGGATCCGGTAACTTTGTCTCAGATTCTGAAACAAAATTCTGGATTTAGCTCATGATGCAATGATAATTATAAACCTTTAGGTCAGTCAGGTACCCCATGACTTTTACAAGCCGATCGCCTGTCTGATTATCAAGATATTTATGATTGGAATTACAAATTTTGAAAACCGTTCGCCTGACGGTTTTCATAACACTACAATCTATTGGGGAAAACGAGTATGGTAAAACCGGTCACTCAAAGATTTTTACTTTTTTGAGGCACTTCTTGACCATTTTGAAGCGCAATTTTTTTAGGGCTTCAATATTACACCATATTAAAGACACTGATAACACGTAGGGCCGTGTATCTCAGATTTAACATTGTTAAACGATCCCTTTAAAAATTACAAGTACAAAATATTTTGACCTAAACCATCCAAGATGCCTATCTCTGATTCTTCCCCAAATTACTGCTATAATATTTTTAACAATAGTGACATCATCTGTTTAGTGACATCATCTGATTGGAGACAGAAGGGCATTAAATCATATACTTCAACACAGAATCAACACCCTTCTGGCTTTGAACAGAAGATATGGAGATTCTTGTATTAAAATTCAGGAGCAAAATAATAAAGTCAACTGTCTGGCTTGAGATGTTAGTGCCTGGCTGGGATTCAAACCCTCAACCCAACTATTTAGAGTCAAGTGAATGAACCACCACACCACGGCACCTCCTCAAAGACTAAGGTCCCTTTAAGGATAATATGTCAGACAATAGCTGACCATATGGCCCGGCAGGTGTGTGTTTACAAAATGGTTTAGAGATCATAAACGGACTTGGTTTCTGTTTTTGACAGAATGGGGTCTAGTTCACACAACCCGATACCAAACTCTCTGGTCCTGGGTCAAATAATCTGACATCTTTTGAATCAGATAGTGGCTGAATCATCAGAAAACTTCATCACCTACAATCAGAAAATAAAAGAAAATCTATTGCTAAAGCAAGTGTTAAAGCCTTGAGATAATACTGGAGTATGGCAATGTAAAATTTAACATTACCCACAGAATAGATATAAGAGAATCACCCCTCAAACAAAGCAAAGAAAACATATTTATCCCTCAAGAAATTAGAACTCTTCAAAGCACTATGTTATCTATCTACTAAATAGCGCTTAACATTGAGAAATAGGGGGAAGAGGGTAAAATATATATAACAATACATTACAGATTATGATATGACTTTCAGAAATTCAGAGGCTTGAAATCAATACCAAGGTCATTAGAAATAGGTAGGCTAGAAACTGGAGGGAGTTTGAAATAACTGGGAACTAACCTAGGTTTTTTTAAATTTTAATAGTACACTGTTAGGGATCCGAACCACTTTATTGTATATTGTCCTTGCAAATTGTTTAGTAAAGGTTGAATAAAGATTTGAATTAAATTGAAGAAAAAAAGTATGCATATGTAGACTAGAAACTGGAGGGGATTGTTGACAATAAGCCGTCAAGTGGAATTTTTAGGTATAACTTAGTGCTTTCTTTTGTCCAGTGTGACATAGCCTCTCCTCAAGTGGTGATTGGCCCCTCGGTACATATTATGAAACTGCAAGTTCAAATCCTGATCTGATTTGATTCCTATAGCAGACCGGACCAACAGAGTTCTATTTGTCTCTCTTCTGTACCAAATGGATTTTTTTTCTTCAAAACAACAATTTAACACCTGTTCTGTTTTTCTGATCATAATATGAAGAGATGACTGAGACGAATGATTTCTCTACCAGATGTGACGCTTACATGCGATTGGGTTGGTGGTCAATCTCTGCTTCTGCATAGGACCTATCAGATGATGGCAATAGTCTGATTTGGTGAGGAACTACTGTAGGCTACATTACAGACTGCTACAAAAAGAATGTGGCACTTGCAGACTAGACAACTAGCCTAATAATCATCTCTTGCCCAATTTTCGGGGGGGGGGGGGGGGGGTTGGGGAGGGACATTTTCTGTGCTACCAAAAGTACGTGATTGAAGATTTAAAATGTACCAGTGATTAGAGAGTGCTTTGCCACTCTCTCGTGGGCAGAGTGATATATTATCTTCCTTTGGATGGTCACTAGCGCAATAATTGGTTAGCTCTTTAGAATAGGGTTGACATAACTTGCAGCAATTCTATCTCAGCATTTACAAAGTCATATCTGCCTAAGATGTGACCTACTGCACGGGGTATACCAAAGGATTGCCTGTCTACTCTATAGAGCACAATATGTATCTGTTGAAAAGTGAATGGTGGCAGCGGTGGGATCGATTGTATCAACTTGTAATGAGGCGGTAGTTGCGAGATTGACAGCATCAAAACTTTGATGTGGTGGTAATGGTAGGATTGATTGTATCAAAATTGTAATATGGTGGCAGCGGCAGGATCAAGAAATCCATGGCAGAACTTCAAGGAGGTTTGCAGTACATGGCATCTCCTGTCAGTCCTGTGCAGGCATGACCTAGGTGCTCTGTAAGCAATACAAACTTCACATCTTCACAAGACAGCCAGTAAGTGTTCTACCTGCCTGTCCCTTAAATCTCAATGAGAAATATAATTAATTTGAATAAAAAGAAATATATGTACAAGGACCATAATCTTTTAAGATTGTACTCACAGTACTATAGTTACGCATGCCCTTACAATTAACACCTTTTAAGTTTGAACTTGAGGGATACCTTCACCCACCTGTTATATAAAGAGTACATTGACCGTTTCTCATATGTGATACATATTAATTCACATGTAGCTTATACTACGTTTCTTTGTACGTTTTGGAGGGTCCTTTCCTCTCAAATCAAAGAGAAGCCCTGCATATATAGCTAGGTTATATGAAAGGGACACGTTAGGGTTCATATGTCTTGGGTGCAACATTATCTGACCGAAACCATCAAACCCCCAAAATGTGCATATGGAAGAACAAGAAACACATCTCCTCCCAATTCACTAGTCTAAGGTAAGGAGTAGCAAGGAGTCCAGAGAGGGCACAGCTGGCCAGGGTCAGGGTCCAGCAGGGCCAGGTGACCACCTGATTACACTCCCACAGTGACCATAACCTATGGTACCAGCTGCAACCTCGTCGCCAGCCACCGCTGCTGCTGGTCCCAGCCGCTACTAGCCAGTCTGCTTCTTTTCCTCACCTCTCTCTTCCTGGCGAGACCGCACAACCGCAAAATCACAGTTCAGATGTGGGACAATTGAAAATACATGTGATGTAATGTTTTCCTTTTTGTTTGAAAACATTCTTTGACTCACGCAACCACAGCAATCTTTTATTTCATAACGTTGTCATTTCATCCACATTTTAACATAGGCCTATAAAATACTACGTGAAATGGTGAATGTACGGGTTTGTGAGTATTTCTTTCACTTTCAATGACTTAATAATCAGCATGGCTTTGTCCTTGTCCAAGTGTCTGCATCAATCAAAAAGCCGCAAATTGAGAAAGTATGCAGACCACTTCAAAAACAATCAACGCTCTAGAGAGTTGGCTTGAAGCCATCCCCATATGGGGGTAACGGTCAAAGTTGAAACTGACACCCTTTTACCACTCAACTGCCTCCACCCACCCAAATATCTTGAGTTAGAGTGGTATCTAAAAATTGGATGTCTGCCCAGTTCCTTGAATGAACTTGATCAGTGGACTTGAAGTCATGAATGAAAAGTAATCGATTTTGGCAACGGTCTTCGCTTCAGGGGCAGGTTTTCGCTATCCAGTACTGGCAGTAGTGAGCAACAAGCATTCCAGAGGTTTTGGAGCCAGAAAGACATTATCTCATATACTTAACACCTAAATGATGTTCTTCTGTCTCAGAACAAAGGATGTCATATTTGGGACAGATATTCATAACCCATACCCATCGTTTTTATGACACAGGCCAACATTTGAATCAAGTTAACCATAAACGTTGTTGTACGTTTATGAGTTAACCAAACATTTTCTCATCTTGTGCTGGTATTCATCCCCTTAATTCTCTTTCCACCTCTTTTTTGTCTCCCTTTCTCTCTCTGTTTACTTTATACCTCCTTATAACTCCTATTACTGCCTTTCTTAACCTGACAACAAATGTATGTTCATAAATGACCATTTCAATATTACTAAAATCAACAGATTTGAAAAAGCCTTTCCACTCCTAGTCCTAGCTCCCCCCCCCCCCCCCCAATAAAAAAGGGCATCAAGTTTATTCAAAGTTTTAAACCTCACTGACTTACCCTTCCTCCTTTTCTGCCTTTACAGTTGCATTTTCTGCATGTATCATCACACCGTCTCTGTAGAGATAAATAAAAGAATAACAAAGAATTCAAAGTTAGAACTTACTTAACAACAACACAAATCAATTATTGAATCTAAAGCACAAAGCTGTAAAATTCTATACTATAAGAAGGCTATACCTTTCTGATTATATGGTAAAGCAAAGTTCCTATTACAGAGGTGATACAGTTGATCTTGTAAAATGATAGAAATATGGCCCTGCAAATTAACAAGTACACTGAGTATATCTGATAGGAACAAAGTCATCTTAATTGAAGTTTCAAGCAAGTTTTATGGTTCATTACTTATGGGAGCAAAATTGAAGCTCATTTTCTTTCGACCTAAGCATCATCATGGACCTCTCAAGGAGATTCATTGTATTATAAAGGCATGTTCATACAGTGGTACTTATATGTTTGTACTATTAAATCTTAGGTCAATTTCTTTTTTTGAGATCAGAAGGAGAATGCAGGGGAGGGGTGCTTAATGTTCTTAACTGTTGGTGCTTGCCCGCTGATACTGTGATCGGGCAAATTGGAATTTATGGCTAGAGTGATTGCCTTCATCATTTAAAAAAGGGCCTGTTTGTCCATGGTTTGACCATAGACCTACCACATAGCCAAAGGCGAGAGGTGAACAAGGATATGTGAGGGGGTCTCCTTCCGCTATGGGCCTCCTTCCCCTGTGGGCCTCATTAGCACTTCTTACTTGTTAATTAATATGATATGCCTTTTTACTACAAAATCGTTATCTGGTTATCAAACAAATGGACAGAAAGACTGCCAGGAAATAGACAGCCAGAAAAACTATAGAGCATACCATCGACAGACTTTCAGACGGATAAACATATATAGGTAGTAAGATAGACTGACTAAAACAACTGACGAACAGAAATTCAGTGTTTTGTCACAGAAGCTCAGAATACCAACTCCAAACGGTTCATGGAGATAATACAGTCTCGTTGATGCAGCTTTCCCAATGTAAATTCAATTTTAGAGGAAATCTGGTGGAGGGGGAGGAGATGATGATGATGATATCGAAAGGTTACAGCACTATGCACTTAAAGATAAACTTTAGTACTGGTAATGCGATTGCATTGTGAAAGAAAAGGTGTGGAAAGGATCAGAAACAGTTGATCATGTAGCATGTAAGTATTGGTGTGCACTGCAAGGTTCTGGAGTCATCAAAATCATGATAAATTTGACCGAGTCTTGGTAAAGTAACAAGCACATACACAGAAAGCTATGTATGGGACAACACGCATGGTGTCGGGGTTGGTACTACCTTGATTCCTTGTCTTTCTATGCTCATTACTCAGCCAGTATACATTTTCTTCCAAAATTGTTTGGCACATGTCATTTATTTGTAATCTTGAACATTCAGTGTAAGTTTCGTTTGATTCTGTGAGAAATAATTTTCTTTTTTTTACCATTACTCAACCTTCTCTTTAATCTGCAGACGACTTTCAGGTTTCGAATTCACAGTCATTTATACTAACAGCTACTGTCAGGTCTATGGAATCAAATAAAGGATTCAAAACCATTGGACAGGATAGTGAATTTGTGAAATCCTTTATGGAATTTGTGCAAATCATCAAAGATGTCGTCCGCTTAGAGCCAGAAGGGAATTAACTCTGTGTAAAATGAGTTAACCCCCTTGTGGCTAAAAAAAGATGATAATTCTGAAGGTTCTGTCAGGCGCTACCCGATTATTACCCTGGCTTTAGCAAGTTATTACCAAAGAAAAAAAGAAGTCAGTCAGTCACTCAATAATGTCTGACAGTGAAGTCTAGAAAGTAAACAGGTTCCCTTGCATAATTTGAAAACTAGGACACTGCTACCATTCAAATTTCACAGATAGGACATATGTGGCATATTCATAATTCCTGCAAAGTTCTACAGAATTTGATTTTGGCTGCAAAAGGGATACACTACCTTTAAGATTTGAACAATGTTGTTCTTTGATAAACAAATGGGCATCACTGGATAATAAACACTTATACTCTTTTCACACTGGTTTTGCTTAACCCCGTACTTTGCTTAGCCCCGTACTATCCTTAACCCCGGACTATTTTTTTTGGCTTTTCACACACGCTGTTTTTAGTCCCGTAGTAGCGCCTATTCCGGAATAAGAAAATTCATGCTGTTCTCACTGCAATTCGTTAACCCCGGATATCGTGAATGTTATGACTGGACATACTTCGCATTTGGCCAGCTGCGATACCCTCCATTGCGTAGTACCGGACTATTTTTCGTTTCTGTTCTCATTCATTTGCTTGGGACCGCAATTGCGGTGTTAGCAGGAGTTAGCACCACAATTGCGAAGTTAGCCCTGCTATTTTGCAGGGTTAGTTAACCCCGTACTATAGGTGGGGTTAGCCAACTTTAGCCCACTTTGGTAAAAACCAGTCTGAACAGAAAGTGGAATAGGCTTAACCCCGTCTTATAGGTGGGGATAAGACCCCCCCCCCCCCCTTAACCCCACCTATAGTACGGGGTTAAGCAAAATATTGCCAGTGTGAAAACAGTATAGGTGGGGTTAGCCAACTTTAGCCCACTTTGGTAAAAGCCAGTCTGAACAGAAAATGGAATAGGCTTAACCCGTACTATATAGGTGGGGCTAAGACCTCCCCCCCCCCCCTTAACCCCACCTATAGTACGGGGTTAAGCAAAATATTGCCAGTGTGAAAACAGTATTGGACCATGGGTAAAGAAGGGTCAGATATTATTGACAAAGGGCCTTGAACTTAAGCAAAAAGTCTGATCATCATTTTTTGGTCATGGAATGACAAAGTGGACTCAAACTCCATGATAATCTATGAAAATATGGTCTCCTGTAGAAACCCATAAATATGGCATAACTAATATCCAAAAAGTTATATTGGAAACTTCCTGTTTTAGGCTTAGTTTTGAGCTTGAAACTCCCCAATTCCTCAAGTTTCTCTGCTCAATCTATTGCACACTTGTTATACATCAATCTATGGATCTTGAGGGGTTATATCAAGGGGTTATACGGACTGTCAAGCCAGGCTCAGACACTGGCTTGTGACAGGGGACACGCCCTAATGGAGCTCTTACTGAAGAATGTGACCCCTGACCTCTGCCATGTCAGATTCTATTACCTGGAGGACGAGAGGACAGAGTTCACCATGTGCGGATATGTGGAGATTAGATCAGGCAAAAAACAGGGAGTTAATACTTACTGCACTTTCGCTTGATTTCATGCGATGGGCTATGTTTGAAATGAGAAACTACAAGACTTTTTGCATTTGTGATGTTGCTATGTACAGTATGCTTGACATGAGAAACTGCAGTCCTACATATGTGGTAGCTATTTGAAAATGAGTTGGACATACAAATAAGGGGATATATGAACAATTTTGTATTGAAATAACGATTTTGACTGAAATCATGTTACATCGTTAGAGGTTTGTGTTTCCAGCTAAAGGGAACCCTCATATTTGGGATGATTACTTTAAATTCTGAAGAAAAATAAAAGTTTACTTTCCTTTGAAGTTTGATTGCCCTAACCTTTCATATTTGCAAATCATAACTTGGCTAGGATAAAGCACTATCACAAGGGGAGATCATGGCAGACTATCTTTTCTACAAGATCTCTGTGGTTTTACTGTCTTGCGGTTTGTGGGTGTCTCTCGCTAAATTTCTCTCTGCAGGGGAACTTTTGGTCTTGACATTCATTGTTTTACTAGGGAGGGAGCTATAGCTGGTGGCAGTGGTAATGAAATTGGAGAATATAGTCTCTTCTTTACGGGTCAGGAGCATGAAGCAGAGCGAAGCTACTTTTGAATTGAAATCCAACTGATGATTGAATGTATACAAGAATGTAACCTTATATACTAACCATGGAAACTTATGGATATTTGGGGCTCCTTATTATTTCAGGTCTACGGTTTTTACCTTGGCCCACTACTTTATAATCCCTTCCTTACTGACCAAATAGACCTACATATAGCCTAATATAGGGCTAGATAGAATTCCTGTGTGTGTGTTTTTTTAATAAAGTTTAATTTGATCTGATTGTTGCACAAAGAAAGCAAGGAGTGTAAGGAACAGTTTCCCAAAGTAGCAACTGTTTGGAACTGCCAACCCTCTTTACTTATGTTTATTCATGAGCTATAGCAAATAAGACAAACTGGCTACCAAAGCAGAGGTTCTCATGGATTAGATTTAAGCTGACCAATTAGTGAGTGGTCTGTTAGTCACTTGGTAATTAGCAGGACAGGTGGGAGTCAACTCATAAGTTCCATTCAACAATTACACCCTGTCTTAAAGGTGTCCTACCATGTCCTCTTTGAAAGTTGCAACAATTTGAAAACATGAAATCGTGATGGAATCTTGAAACCGGATCAAAATAATATACCGGGTATTGTTATCATTATGTGTGAAATTGTACTAAGAAGTTTTCATTTAAATTTCATTAAAAATTCTAAACCAGCCATAAAAAGAAAAGCTGAAGGATGTTCTTATTTTACTCCATAGAACTTAGAAGTCGTGTACATATTTTAGGCTTGAAAAAGTTGTATCACATCATAAAACATAACGTTTCCCTTTTAGTAATTAACAAGCAATATCACATTGAAATGAACTGAATTCATTGTTTTATCTGTCTGAATAGAGTAAATTTGCCATCCAATCGCAACAAAACGTTCAACAATAAGCTATGAAACTTTTACATGGATACCACAGTTAAATCCATGCAAGAGTTCAAGGCAGATGTAAGCTTTTTATTAGCTGTGCAGGAAACGCAAAAAAGGAAATTTATCTAGGGCTAGGCTATTCATGTGTCCTATTTACTTTCATGCTATGCTATGCTATGTGCAATCATCCATACTTTTTGCATGAGTAAATGGCATACCGTAAATAGAGGTAGATGAGGTTGCAGAAGTAAGGGAGAATTTTTTTTTGCACATCCATGGAAATTGAGAGGGGAAAAGGACGGTTTAGCTCCTCTAGGACTTTTTCAGCCTCCCCCCCCCCCCCTCCCCAGTCCCTAAACTCACAAAAAATCCTGGATCTGCATCTATTGTACAGGCAACTAAATCCTTAATCCTCCTAAATTAACATTTTGCACAGGTGGATAATTCTGTTTAATTAGGAATTAAACTTCTGACCTCTACATTTGACAGGGTACTGCCAACAAGGCCAAAATCCTGGGGTAGTGACACTTTGCTTTTCAGTTACTTTAAACAGAAAAGTTTTTGTTTTTGTAGACCATTCAAGCATTTCATTCTTGCTGTGTATTGTAATGGCAGCATTACATTGCACTTCCTTGATTTGTTCAATGTTCTGACTCACATTACACAAAATGAGATAGAGAAAAAGAATTTAAAAAAGGAAACTTGCATGTGGCTTTGTGGTAGAGGAAATGGTTGCCAATTAATAGAATCATTCCTAAACTTGAGGTAGAAAGTGGGTTTATTGATCTTTATTCTTTTATTATCATAAATGACACATGACAACATTAAACAAATAATCTTCTGCTTAGGTATTGTTCACATACAAGATTGCAACCCCTCCCCCTCCAAAGAAAAACTGCTGCAGCCATGAGCTAAATAAAACCATTTCAAGCCCCGACACCATGTGTGTTGTCCCATATAGAGCTTTCTGTGTACAGTGCTTATTACGTTACCAAGACTCGGCCAAATTTATTATGATTTTGATGACTCCAGAACCTTGCAGTGCACACCAATACTGTCATGCTACATGATCAACTGTTTCTGATCCATTCCACACATTTTCTTTCACAGTGCAATCGCATTACCAGTACTGGAGTTTATCTTTAATGTGTGTATCAAAGAATTTGTCATTAATTTGCCTGGCTAGCACCTTTTAATGGTAATCTGTCATTTCATTTTATGAGCTGAACCTGGAGCTTGGAATTAGAAGGGAAGTTGTGCTAATGACCGGACTGTTAACGAATGACTAAGAACAAAGGGTCTGATTCACAAGTAGCCACCTCCAGCCAAATACTGCTGGTACTTTAATCCTAATCTTCATTCATGTGTGCCAAGGACAGGACATGAACACTTTGGTGAATAACCTTCTGTTATCAGAAGGACAAGGGGCAGTAACACAGGATCAAATTGGATTTCCTGCACTCATTAAAAATCAACTACTACTTCTTCTTCCTCCTCTTCTTCTTCTTCAAAGTTCAAGTACTGCCTGTGTCTTCTTTTAAGTAATAGAAGTAATGAAGGTCCCACTCCAGTTCTCAAATATACAGGGCATAAAGGCAATTTCACCCCCACATTGCCTCCATAGTGGATTCCATTTTTATTTTTTATTTTCAAAACATGCCACAATCACATCAATAATAATGTGAAGAACATAACACAACCACCACCAACAGTAACAACAACAACAACATTTATAATAGTAATAACAACAATAATAATAATAATAATAATAATTGTTTATCATCATTATTATTATTATTATTATCATCATCATCATTGTCATCATAGTACCAAGGAGTTTATTATTAGACTAATAACTCCTCAAACATATGTACAATATCGATGATTGTGTGAATAGCTTATTTGAACAAAATTAGTTTAGAATTGATTTAACAAAAATAATTGAAGAGAGTTTTTAGGTTTGATGAAGGAGGTCTGGTTTAATGAAGGAAGTCTGCATTAATTCCAGATGTAACAAGTAGGCTGAGGTCTTTCAAAATAGTTTCAATCACAATTTCTTACATTCCTCCTGTAAAATCAATCAATTACAGGATGAAAACGGTTGGCAGAGATATTGCACACAATCCATAGAAAAGCCGTCCCCTTCGCGTGAATCAGCTGGTGTATGGGCGTTACCCAAGCACTCCCTACTGAATAATTCATATCCCTCCCTGGATATAGCTGCCATTTCTGTCCATCCTCTTGACAACGACCTAAATTAACATATTTAATTATTCATTTCCCACATGGAGGCGGGGCTTATAAGCGCCTGTAGTCTAAATTCAGACCACTTTCTGCGTTGTACATAATCTGCACATCTCTCCATCCAAATCGACACACACATGCATTTAGGCACATATTTTCAGGCATTTTTTTTTAAATAAAAAAATAGGATCTTACCTCTTGCGCTTTACTAGATTGAACAATAACTAGGAGAAATATCACCAACACCGACCTGTTGGCGAAAAGAAGTGGAAAAAAAAAGTTTGATGCTTCTCACTTTTCATTCAATTCAATTCAAATGAACATGATGACATTTTATTTTGGTCAATTCACTTGCCATTACCTCAAATTTTTGCAACATTTTTTTGTAATTGTGACTAATTTTTACACCTCCATCTTTTCTATTATTATGATGCCAACCTCCTGAAAGTATGACAGGAATATTCTAGTTTCCCCGTTTCATGTTTTCACCCACCTTCCAGGTCCAGCACTCTAACTATATTGATTTGGAGTCGGCGGAGCTGAGCTGGATCTGGATTGAAATTCTACTCATCTTCAATCATCAGGTTTATAAAGAAGTGGCATCATTATCATTCTGAACATATCTTTCATATCAAATAATAATCATCACTCAACAAATACATATTCTCTGGAATTACGTCGACGTCCACTTAGAGAAAGCAAAGCCGAATTGTTCATTTTTGAACCCCCAACTCGCAGGTCATAACAACAGCAACAAATCCTCCGAACGTTCATGCCAAAACTCACGATTCTGATGATACATATTTCCAACTAATTTTCATGCAAATAAAGAGATAATAATCAAAATCATACAAATCTATTCACGAAATGAAATGATGTACTTACCACCTCCATAGACTCCGTAATGACGAACTAAAATATAACATTTTCACAGGAATATTGCACCCGCTTCGGGCGTCTTCTGCGTCAAATTCGAACAAACTTCCCGGGCAAAGTCCCCGTGCGACAGACGCTCAGCCTCTCGACAACCAAGTCATTGATGACGATGAAAGTTTATAAAAACCGATGTCGGACTGCTTTTACAAAATATATTAGCTATACAAAGATTGTATAATCTATTTTGTGAGTCTATGTGGTATGGCCTGCACGGGCCTAACGAATATTAGCATTCAAACCGAGCGCTACTGGCCGGTTAGCGAGGCATCAGGGCTCTTCAATTGCTGAACAGAATCGCACAGAGAACTTCCTGAGCTACCATACGCCTCACACGTAAAATTTGGCAGGGCAGCGCTGGTGTAATGCAACTTCGCTGGATGTTGAATTCGCGTTTATAAGGTGGGCGTGGCCTAACGCCGATATCGCTGGACTTCTACGACTTGGGAGAATTGAAGCGGTGATCCGTCGTTACATATACCTGCCAAGCTCTCCAATTTATATGTCTGTCTCTTTCCCTGTTCATCTATTATCTGTCTGTAACGATGGCAATTTACATCTTAATAGATATTTAATTTTACCATTTTTTGTAAATAATGCTGTAAAATAAGAAACAAGGTGAGGTTGAAAGAAATGAAGAACTTTAGTACCGCAATCGCTTACACCCTTCATTTCTAGCTCGATTATCATCCATAATTTTAATTTTAATTTTAAAGGATAACTGTGGGAGATGAAATAAATTCATTGTTCATAGCTGCCAACACTTATCTAATATATTATGTAACGTGTTGGAAGATATAAAATCTTCAATAACAAAAAATGAACAGTCCTAGCAAAAGCGCTTTGGTAGGCGGGGGCGCAGGTTGGAGGGGGGGTGGGGGGGGGGGGGTTGAAATGCAGTCTCGTGAGTTGTAGAAGATGATTTTCATGTTTGTCCAGTGCTATATGAAATGATTCGGTTTTGACCAAGGACGCCGGGTGCATCCAAATAATATCGCTCAGTGCCTCGTCCAAACTCTTATGATTTTAATCTTGTAGATATGTGATTTTCGTAACAATATACCCCCACCTCCCCCCCCCCCCAAAAAAAAATAAAATAAATAAAAAATAAATAAATAAATAAAATCTAATGACAATAATCAAATCACATTTAGGCTCATTTGTAAGCTCTATGATTCATGTATAGTTGCAACCGAGTGATACAAAAGGCATATTAACTCAATTTGATAAATATTTCAATTTAGATAATTTCAACAATATAAATTTGCAGTTCTGGCCAAAGTTCTCCCCAAATGGGAATGTTTTAATAGATACTATTTTGCATCGGTGCACACTTAATGGAATTTCTTTGTAAAAAGGGACACCTAAAAGTTTGACTGGAGGTGGATTATGTGGAGTTTTCACTAAATTTAAGATTCTTTGAAATATTAATATTCATACCTACAATTATCCCTGATTCTAGAGCGCTGAACATCGATTTTTTTCAGCGCTTTGAATTGAAATAGACTTTACCCATGTCATACATTGACATATTGTCTGTATAGAGCCAGAAGGCCGTTAACTTTAAAGCCCCACTTTCCTACTTGTAGCTACTTGCTCCCTCTAAATTTAGAAAACTTCCCCAATCGGTGCCTGTTGGTCCTCCATGATCCTCTTTTTCTTATGTTAGTTGAGAGCTGAGTTAATGAGATAGCCACCTGTCAGTGACCTCGCTGTGTGGTCTAATCCCTTCTGGCCTAGTAGTATTGACGATCTTTAATTCTTTTTATACGTAGTGAATGCCCTTATGGCTCTCAACAGACGATTTTTCAATTGCTTTTCCGCACATACATATTACTGTGCACTTTCTCCACTCCATCCAGCTCCCTTCAAAATAGTAAACACGACCTTTCGAAAATTTAACCAAAAGTAGTAATGTCAGTTGCTTTGTTCACCTGTTCAATGTGTGAACATGACAGTGACCTATTATGTAATCTGAATATGATTTATATAGGATATAGGCTTAAAGAAGGCATCGAAATTGCCTTCGAGATGATTTTTCAAAAGTCTTTTCGATCGCGTGTCGTACCTCATCTACCCCCCCCCCCTCTCTCTCTATCTCTCTCTCTCTCTCTCTCTATCTATCTTTCATGTCATTCTCTAGCTCTTTTTCTCTTTCTTCTTGTCCTTTTCCTACATTGGTCCTCCCTTTCTAAACGTCATAATGTTCCCCTGTTTACTTCCATTTCAAATGCATTATTTTTATATTTGCTTCAGTTTTCGCCAATTTTAAGGGGCGGCTGCAGTGGAACCCTACTTTAGGTGTAGCGGAAACCACCCCTACCTCCATTCCAATATCATGATCATCTGCTGATGGACATGACATTATTTACAATGGATATGATCAAAATAATTATTATTAAGAACAAATTTCTAGATTCAAATAATAATTTTCAGCAATAAAAAACGAAAAAAGACAGACAACAAATGTTACCCCTATATTATGCTCGTTGTACAATAAACGTCAACACATACATGTTTCTCACATCGAAGTATAACCCACTTTAGGAGATGAAATTTTAAACAGATTTTTTAAAGAGAAACGTATAGGAAGCGAAAGTCATGTCTGATGGAGTTCCCATCTTGGTCCGTCTCGTGTTACCACCAATCTTTATTTCCCACGATCTATAATACAAGAGACGGGGAGAGGGGGAGGCAGACAGAGAGAGAGCAAGAGAGACAGAGATGAGACTCATAAAAGAGATGATAGAGAGGGAGAGAGAAAGAAAGAGAAGGAGAATGAGAGAGAGAAAGAGAGAGAGAGAATGAGAGAGAGAAAAAGAGTGACATACAAAGGGAGAATGGAGGAGAGAGAAATAGATAGAGAGACAGAGATACGAGACAAATAAGACGAGGTGGGTGGAAAAATACGACAAATGGGGGCAAGGAAATTCAAAGAGCATATTAAGAATTTCTTCATTGTGATACCATGAATATCTCAGGAAAATATAATGGGCTAGACTGTTGCTGACTATCGCAAAAGTTTATTTTTTGTTTGCCAATTTGAAATTTCATTTTTCTTTGCACTTTATGAAAGCATGAGAAAGTGAAATGGTTTAGGTCTAAATTTTAATTGTTTATCTACCCATAAAAACTATTAACTCTATAGCTATGCTTCGAGTTATCTTTTGAAATCTATTTAAGATTATAACATATTTTTTATTCAGAAACGTTCCGATTTCTTTATTTCGCGTTCATGTATCTCTCTCTCTCTCTCTCTCTCTCTCTCTCCTTCCCTCCCTCTCTCTCTCTCTCTCTCTCTCCTCTCTCCCTCTCTCCCTCCCTCCCTCCCCCTCTCTCTCTCTCTTCCTGAATATATACTTTCACAAAGATTTCTACAATGGCCCTTTTCTCTTTTTTATTTTATTTTTTTACTTCATGCATGACATGTAAATATATTTCAGAGTTAAAAATATGCCTCCCGCCACATTATTGCACATGAAATAATCTATTAAAGCGATAGAGACTAATTATGCATTCATTAATTACTTTGTACTTGACAGAAGCTGCCTTCCTGATAACCAGCATTTGTTTGTTGCTTGTTTTGTTTTTGTTTGTTTTCTAACTTCTAGTTTGAAAAATACATCAGCAAATATTTCTCTCATTCTTTTCTCTTGGCAGAATGTGCTTTGCCTTCGTCCCTGCGTTAAATGTGTCATCTTCTCTCTTATAGCACACGACGGAAATGTTCTTTTGTGAGCCTATAAACAACATCTATTTAACCATGGACCCATGATATAGGGTCCATAATTCAACTATTGTCAGGTACATCCTGTTTCACCCCTTCCCTCCTCCTATACCTCTCTCTATTATCCCCATCCCCCTTTTGACATTTCTTAGTTTCCCGGAAGTGTTCCATTTCCGACTCCATTTTTCTTTCTTTTTTCTCGGAGCATTCCCGTGGCGCTTTCTCCCCACCGCCGCTCTGTCAAAAATTCCAATCCTTAAATTTCGGTTATTCTTTCGTCACACAACTGGACGTAGGTAGCACATACACAAAACCAACTGTAATCTGGTTTTGATATTAATAATAATATACACCATGGTCTCCCCTAAAATATGACGAAGCTTGATTGATTTCTTTCAGGTATATTTTTTCCCCCCAATCCATCTGGATAGAATTTAACCAAGTCAAGGGCACGGGACGTGTAACACTTTTGACCTGTTCAAGTATCACCGTGAATGACCTTATGATAAATCGTGTGTGAATGCAGTCTGGTGTCACCTTGCGATCCTGAGGCAGTGGTAGAATATTTTTTATTAAGGGGGGGGGTGGGAGCCTCTCCTGAGAGGTTTTACGAAAGGGATTCAACAAGTGAGCAAGCAAATAAAGGAACAAAATGACATACAAAATAGCAGGCAACACTGCAAAATATTAACGAAGGCGTAAGTCCATGCTTCTACAATCAAGGACGGATTCAGAAGTAGGGGGCAACTTTCATATTTTTAAATACAAATTAAAAATTTCATATGTGTGGGTGTGTGTGTGTGAGAATGTGTGTGTGTATGTGTAGGTGAGACATTGGTCTTTCATGCCTCTATTTCCGCCTACAAATTTGGCTGGGGCAAGAAAAGATCGCATGGGGGTGGACAGACGTACTCCAACAAACCCCAATAGTTACAACATAATTATGCGTCCCCATTTCAATTGTCTCTAAGGAGGTGCGATTTCAATCTTTCTCTCTGTCTATGTCTCTGTCTGTCTGTCTGTCTGTCCCTGTCTAACTCCCCCTACCTCCCGACCCCTCCCTACTCTCTCGTTAACGAAATGGGAGTCGGTTGTCAAGACTTTGAGATCGTAATCAGAATAATGTTCTTGATGCATTCCATCATGATCACTTTTGGCAGAATACGAAAGTCATTTGAACTGAAATAAAAGATTACGTGCTACATTCATGACGTATTCTTTTACAAATAGTGTGCTCCGCCGTCGAGACCATTGCACTCAATGCCTAAGAATGTAGGAGGCACGGGGGCACGTGCCGCCCACCCCCATCGATTGGCAAATAAAGGAAAACCGGAAAAGAATACGGAAAATGGAAAATGGAGTAGCGAAAGGGGTAAGGGATAAGGAAAGGGAACTATATGAAAGAAGACGATGACCCCACTCAAACGATGGTTTTAATGTTACATCTTATCCACCACGTAAACCCGACACCCCGCACCCTCATTGGCTGGATGATGCCTTAATTATGTTTTAGAAACCCGAATAAAAGTTCGAAAGTATTAACTAAGTGTTAAAATAACATTTTGAAACTTTTGATCGAAAACAAGCTTTAAAAATACCCAACCTGAGTACAGAGGGGTGAAGTTTGCAAAGTGTCAGCTCTTCTGGGGTGAGACATTCAGTAAATGTTTCATACAAAATGATCTTTTTACATTTTGGCGAACAGGAATCATAAAGTTTTTTTTAATATTTTTTACTAATTATTCATTCACGTTAAAGTAATACTGATAGTCAAACACTTCTGCCATTCCATCACATTTATACTACTTGGCAATAGATAGAAATATTCAGGGTTAAACAAATTCATTAAATTTATATATTGAATATTGGGACAGTTTGAGGCGCAATCGAACAAACTCAGCATTTATTGCGATGCTGTCATTTGAATTAACCTCGATTTTTTTACTTTACAACTTCCTTTCCTAATTGTTTTGTTTCCTATATATGTCGTTTTTGGCTTGCCTAAACAAAATAATGATCCACCCAATTCTGAAAAGGACTCAACACTTTCTAGTACCTACATGGTAAAACTACATGACTGTTTAAACATGGTACAATTTTGTATATGTAAATTCATAATAATGGAGACACAATCGTGTATCAAGCTTCACTAAGCCTGAACTCCTATGCCTTTTCACATTAGGAGGCTATTTTAGCCTCAATCAATACAATTCTTGCATAACTATAAGAAAGCGACCTGGGCACCATATCACAAAATTTGTCATCAGGGACAAATGACAGTTGTTGTTATAAGCTAGTGCAATCGTTGCTTTTGGTTGGTTATCAGGAGATTTGTCACTGGTTTTGTCATTGAACTTTGAAAAAAGGATTTGTGAAACGGGTCCCTGTTTGTTAGTTTCCAATGACAAGTTTGAAAATGATGACAATTGTTGACGTTCGCTGTTAATTTCACTTTTTTTTTTAATTCATGTGATTTTATGGGCCTCATAAAAAAGGAAAAAAATTGAAGTGAGAAATATGAGCTCATTATTGATCACTTAAGACGATTGTGAATATCAAACATGTTCAGCAATAGCAATAATTTTATAATTATTTAAGAATAAACTTATAAATTTCACTTGTTTTTTTCCTTCATTGTTAGGGTTATGGTAGGGGATGAATATAGGGTTAAGGTTAGGATTATTTGGTTAGGTTTAAGATTAAGATTAGGGTTTGGGTTAGGGTCAGAGTTAGATTTAGGGTTAGGGTTAGGCATAATTATGTAGAGTGTTTAGTCAGGGTTGAAGTCGGGAATTCGGTTTGGGTATAGGATATTGACAGGGAAGCAGATGCCACAGGAACATTTCTTGCAGAACCTGTAAGTTATATCAAGGAGCGAGGTCCCTTTCAAATGTTCTAATTAAATTAATAGAGGAAAGTCAAAGAATTTCTGAAGGTACCAGTGATTAGCAGTTGTTAAGATTGTATTTTATTTCCCTTTTCAACCCCTTGGTTATTGTACTTTGCCTTTTGATATGTCATTTCAGTGTCTGAAATCCCTTCTGAACGAAATTGGTGTGTACCTTTAAAGTGTTGTAACAAAATTAATCGATGAAAGTAAATGAGTGTATAAAGCTAATAATTAACAGGTGTCTGTGAGTCGTATACCAGACGGGAAGCCGAGTTTCCTGTGGAGAGTTTTTCACGTCCAACAATCAACTCAGCTGTTTCCCATCGGCCTATAGACACGTTTTATCGTGGACGGGTCAAGTGAAAATAAACATTCCTTTATCGTCACAAAAAGTCATGATTTTTTTTAGTGAATTCTAATCTAATGAGCAGGGAGTCCATTTCCACGTCTCCGTGTTTAAAGTATCGAAAACTTGAGCCTAATTAGAAATCATTCAGTAGGGCCGACTGTATTTGGAGTTAGAGCGATGATACATTCAACATGTAAAACTAAGACAGCTTCGTTGTCTCTTGATTTAAAACATCCCGATGACTAAATATGTCCAACAATGAACTTGTTGAATAACAAGGGCCTGTTATATAATAAATAATTTGGACGGCGGAAATATTAATGATAAGGAGTCACCAGGAGGGGCCTATATTTGGTTGTAAACTAACAGCATTAATTTCTGATGACTGTAAGCATCTTACACCTTATAGGTCTACTATTCTGTTCATGTGCATTTTACAGATTGTAGGGAATGCGAGACACCCCTTCAAATAATGTCATATCGGATATTATTAAACTTTATGATACAATATAAAGCTACCGGGCGTATCTAGAATCCGATTGGGCATTACTTTGTGCAGTTTAAATTTTGTATTTGTATTCATTTAATATCGGCTATATACCAGCAACCGTGCAGGTGAACATTTGCAGCTTCAGTAAACAAAATATCTTCTTTGTGCTTAATTATTAGGCAAAGTGTGATGAGACCAAGTGACTGCCCATAGTTAAGGTGTTAAAGTTTCACAAACCTGTGCTGCAGCCCCCACCCTCACCCACCCCCCCCTCCACGCCTGTCCCGTACGTCCAACATGTCCAGGGAAGGAAATATTATGTTGTAAAATAGCATTTTAGCACACTGTTGCCCATACAAAAGTTGGAATATTTTGTTCTTACCTCTTTCCATGTATTAAATATGATTTCTTCTTGATAAATATAGTTTATATCTTCTCAAAACTTTATTTCAATATTTATTGATCGAAAAAATTCTGAGAGGATATACAATTTATCAATCAGGAATAAAATTCATAATCAATTGTCACAAACATTTTAATGAACAGAAGTAATACAAATCTATTCCATCTTCCATATGGACAACAGTGTATTATTAAAAGGTATCTAAAAAGAATTGAATGAAGAAATTGATGAGGGAAAGACGGATATTGTTTTTTCTGAATAAATTTCCTTTTCACCCAGAGCCTTGACACCTTACACTGCATTGCACACACAATCAGACATTGTTGATGCTGATTATTATCTTATGTGTAGTATAGGAAATATTAGGTGAGACTAGACTATTAAAGGCCATTCCAAATATATCGAGGCCAGAAGTAAAAATCTTAATGATTGTCGTGTGTTGCCTGCATAGGGTTGAAACGAGGTGGAAATTTCACAGCTTTCATCGAGACTGCCAAGGAAAGTGTCACCAGAGGAATGACATTCCTTTTCAATTAAGGTGGTTAATGAGTGAATTTATAATTGAAAAGGAATGCTTACATTAAGGTCAATCTTTCACTTTTCATTCATTTTCATATTTATATTTCTCAAGAAGAAAAGAGATACTATTGGTATATTAAACAATGAACGGATTTAAAGCTTCAAACCTTGTCAGATGTTGTCTTTTCCGAGTAAATTAGCTACAGCTATACACGGGGCAGGGGGGCGGTGCCCAAATTGAAAGATAGTAAAGAAAAACAAAATTAGAGAGAGAGAGAAAGAGAGAGAGAGAGGAGAGAGAGAGGGAGAGAGAGAGATAGAGGGAGAGAGAGAGAGAGAAAGAGAGAGAGAGAAAGAAAGAGAAACATACAGAGAGAGAAAAAAGGAGAAGCATACAAAGAGAGGGAGACATAAGAGAAAGAGAGACATAAGAGAGAGAGAGAGAGAGAGAGAGAGGGGGGGGGGAGACAGAGACAGAGACATATAGAAAGAGAGAGAGATAGAGAGAGATGAGAGAAGAGGGAAGAAAAAAGAAAGGAGAATGTAAATTCAAATGAAGATGATAATGATTGCACCCCTTTATACCCTCACTCCACTCGTCAGCCTTCTCCTTTCGAATTTCATTCAGCTAGTAAGATCGGTAACTCCACCCCACACCCACCTACACACACACTCACACACCGCTGCTCCCCCAACTACGCCGTGTCGAAACTCCGTCAAATTATGGCTAGTTAGTTTCTGTAGTATTTTTAGGCAGTTATTCAATTTCAATATACAGTCAAATCTGCTTAATATTAGTGACCACCTGTCTACAAAGACGACATTTTTTGTTTCCCTTGAAAATGGTTTCTCATTGAAACATGTACTAAAGGAACCTGCACATAAAGACCATCTGCCTATAAAGACCATTTTTCTTGTCTCTCTTTTGGTGGTCTTTGTAGGCAGGTTTCACTGTAACTCAGTTCGAGAGGGCGAAGCGAGTGAGCAAAGTTTAAGTATTTTGCAGTTACTTGAACATTTTGTATTGGTATCCAAGTTATTGTGTAGGCATAATGTATTAGATTACGGTTCTTTTCTAGTGTTGTTGTATCAAATGTACTTTGAAATAAAAACAAATAAAACAAATATATAGGCCTAGGTCTACCCAACTGGCTAGATATTGTTTGTTCGTTAAACGACAATAATAACGAGACACTAGACAGATTAAGTATAATCTATCAGACCATTATTTTCCTTTTTCTTTTCAAAACAGAAAGAAAGCATTTGTTTAACAATCCCACGCATTTTTTGACAGAAACAACACATTTAGGTAAGTTCGTCTATTTATTTTGATCGCTTTTATTGCAACCCTTGTGGAAAAAATTCAGTTTGAAACGGAAACAACGCACAATGTCGGACTAACTTCCTATTAAAAATTACAACATCACCGCGCTGGGAACGACGAAAATGATGATCGCTCTTTCAATTCTCCCAACAAACCCTCAAAAACTTTTCTCAAATCGTCGTGTCAGATTGCAAAATGTTTGAATATTCATTAGTGTGATTCGACATAGTTAGTCCGCAGATATAATATAATTCTCACATATACGTAAACTATCTCTACTGATTTTAATTGTTATAAGACTTTTAGAAATCAGTTATGTTTCATATATCTAAAGTCAAATAAAAGAGGGTTATTTGTCATCATACGGGGGATTTCTTTGTATTGGTAGATTTCTGAAAATAGTTCCGCCGTCGATACTGCGAGCCGAAAGCATTCATCTATTATCTCTCCACCTACCTCTCCACCTACCGATATCTTTACACACACATTGATGCTACGACTCCGTCAATTTGTGCCAGGGAGATTTGCCCACCAGACGCCCGTACCACGGACAATGGGACAAACGGTGTGTTAGCGGAATTCGCTTGAGTGGATACCCCCACACTGCAGCGCTAGGAGTCTGATAGCGAGCCGAAGCAGAGATTTCGACTTCGGCGGGCAGAGGAGCCTAGCCAGTTTCATTTTATCTACCTTTCTCATCTGAAAGGACTATTTTCTAGATTTGTGTAGATATTCATTTTGAACTATGAAATACAGAGAAGTATTGGAAAGGCACGTTTTCGTGTGCCTCTCTCTACTTATTATTGTCTTCGCTTACTGGGCAGATGCAGCGGTAAGTCAAACGAAGACCAGTTCAACTTTACTAATATTCGAGTTCTTAACCCAACTTTTTAGAAGTTGCATAACAAATTTGCCAAGAAAATACCTAAATCTACGTCATTATCTATTATTTAATGACATGGCTCATGTCTTATTAAGCTGTTATATTGCAAGAAATGGTGTCAATTTGTGAGTTACCGAATGAAACGAACATCGGATGATGTAAAATGCATCTCGCTCAAATTGGTAGCCGAATGTAGGGATGTTGCTATCGTGTAACGCCCGGTGCTATGCTATGGTCGTCTACTTTTGAATATTTTATAAGTAATGTAAATTGCGGAATTTACATATTTCAATTACGTTTAATTCCGAATGTCATCCATAGTTTTTCCTTCCATGCAAACTTTGCTAAAATATGCATTATAATTCTAATGATACCCTCAGTTACATTTTACAGACGATTTTTAAATTTTCTGTTTTGACTTATCAGCTTATGTTGTCTAAAGTCTATATTAAGATATTTGTTTACTTCATAGAAGGTGGCACTTTTATTTGTCATTATTTTGTGTAAAAATAGATCACAGTAATTTTTGATACAATTTTGAAATGGACATTTTCTTGTGGATTGAGTAGAGAAGAGAATTGTTAAGTTTTGTTATAAATTTGAAAAGTTTGTTTTGGTCGATTTATATTTTGCACTTCATCAAACAGAAATTTCCTTTATAATAGGAAACTGAATTATATTCTTTATTATCAAATATAACGATTGTTGCCATAATTATGCTATTTCAAAAAGTCCTCCAAATCCAATTCATTGAAGAATTTACATTTGGTGGAGTTACTTCAATAGGGTCTGCAAGAAGCGACTAGGTGTCATGCATATTATGCAAATGGGGCGGAGTCAGCCGCGCTTAGTTCCCGCCCACTTAGGCCTTTGAACTGTGATGGAGGTCATTTCGCTGCGGATGCTATCAGCTGGCAAACAATCTGTACAGCCTGGCTTCCAAAGTCTCTACGATGAAACAGTATAATTATGCTTGGAGAATTTTCGATTTCAAACCACACAGGAAACTGTTGATTAGGTGAAATTATTATTCGATTGGGTAATGGTTTCTCAGTTTTCTACAGGAATTGATTGACTTGTTTGTCAGAAAGAAACCTTGCTAAAGACATTGCAACAATATTTTTGTTTTGTGTGGAAGGTTTGCATTTAATCTAAGTATAGGGCCTATATAAGGATATTTTAATTTCCTTGATTTGGGTGGAAACGATAGAGTGCAAGATATTAATATACACTGCATTATTACTTGTTGTGAATATTTAATATATCTTGTTATGAATTTTAACATGGTACTATAATTAATAAAATATTTAATAAAAAAGTAAACAATAAACAAATTAAGGTATTTCAAAATTCAAATCTCATATTTTAAATTCAATTACAAAAAGGAAGATGAAATTATGAGAAACAATAATACAGTTATTACACTGATAGGTGATAATGAGGGGAAATTTTGATGAATAATAATTTTGACATAATGCATTTTCATTGTGAAAAAGTATTTGTCTATTTAGATTTTTCTTGGCAAACTCATTTTTTTTAAAAGTGTTTTGTTAGATTATTTATCTTGTTTTGGAAAAAGGAAGACGCTATTTTCAGTGGAGGTCCTAATCTATATACAGCCCCAATAACTTTTGACATACCAAAGTTTTAGGCTTGTATTTGAAAGCGGTCTCCTAGTTAGCTGGGTTCTGGGAACCATGACCAGATGGTCCCGATTTTCCGGGGCTGTGGTAGTTGGTCCCCGTTGTCAGTTCCATCTTGCAAATGGGGTATTTGATGGAACGGAGCCAAGACATATTTTACCCAAAACAGGTTTCTCATTACTCCACATTACAAATCATTATCGAGAGCCCGCCTTCCAAACTTGAACCTCTGGAACCTCGGTCAGGCCGAGGAGTCCCATCTGTTTCTCATTTTCATCCCCATTTCATCTTGTGTTTTCAGTCATCCCTGGTGCCCGTTGTGGGAAGGGAGTTCACCCCAGCCCGGTTAGGCGTCGTCGGTGATACATTGGGGTGTTGGGTTTTGCTAGGGAAATGAATGTTCATGTGTGGCATGCACTTGATACTGGGCTTCAGGGACTACTAAAAGAATATATGTCTCAATTATGTTTTTGATATCACAAATGGGGTCTTTTAAAGATGGTATGTATTTTGTTTTTCGGCAATTGAACACCATTTTCTCTTAAAAGAAAAGTTGGCTTTTATCCTTTATTAAGATTTCAATTTTAAAGTTAGCCCTATGTAGCTGAAAACACATTTTAATTCCTTTTGTTTTTATTCATTTCCTATTTTCTATTCCCATTTTTGCCCCTTCCTCAATGTAGATATCTAACTTGCACTTTTTTGTCTGCCTCTCTCTTTCTCTGGTATTAATCTCGCAGTTTCTCGGCTATTCATAATCTTGATATTTTCTTTTTTTAAAGTAAAATATATCCTAAGAATAGAAAAAAGTACTTTAAAAGCTTGCAGTATCACTTATTTAAACCATAAGCACAGCAAAAGCAATATGTGGAGGGGCCTCAAAATTAACCTGAATTTTGTCAAAATTCTCAGCTAGTCCCCCAGAACCCCCCTTTCAGTTGATACAATAATTGGTGACTTTATGAACCTCCATATTCCCTTTAAAGGCCTTTAGTACTAGTTTAGCCAGGGGGGGGGGGGGGGTTAAACCATGGTGGCTATCTCATCAACTCAGCTCTCAATTAACATAAGAAAAAGAGGATGATGGGGGACCGACGGACACCGCTTGAGCATTCTTTTCTATACAGAAGGAGCAAATAGCTTCAAGTAGGACAGTGGGGCTTTAAGATAGGGGAAATATTAAAAGAGGTTTCTGAGCACCTGGCAAAGTGGTTTTATGGGTCAGGGCAAGGGGCCCATCAGATATATACCAGTAGCTTGGATTCCTTAGGGGGATAGTTTATGAGAGGGGCTCAGGAATGTCTTCTATCACTTATCGAGCAGATGGCATCTTCCCTTTCAAGATCTATATCCAAATATACAGGACTCGTTACCAGCTCACAGTTTAAAATTCCGGGTCTGGACTACAGACTACTCGTGTTTTGGGGGCTTTTTGGATGGGGGAGGGGGGGGGGGGGTCAGCTTTGCTGTGGTGCCTATTTTTGCTGATAGTACATGTATAGTTATGATAATGATAATACAATGTCTTAGGATAAAACATGGTGATGATGATGATGATGAGAATATAATAATAATGATAATGATTTTAATGATAATAATGATAATGAAAGTGATATAAAATAATAATATTAATGATGGTAATGACTATGACAAAAAAATATAATGATTATGATTATAATTAATAATAATAACAACTAGCAACAGTAATAATAATGATTATGTTGGTCGTATTTATGATGATGACTATAAATATGTTGGTCTTATTTGTGATGATGATGACTATAATAATAACACCTATAGTATTAATGATAATCATGAAAATAATTTTAATGCCTTTTCCGTCAGAAAAAGGCTCTTTCCTTTAGTCTAAAGACTCAACCGTGAACGTAAATTGGCATCACTGTAATTTTGATTTGACTTGAATGATTTATTTTGTTTCATTACAGGCCTGTGTAGGATGTCTATCAGCAACATGTATATGCAATGGAACGAAAGGAGAAAGGGTAAGTCGTTTTACAGTAAAGTTTCTGAACATCCATGAAGTGCTTTGTCTCAATGAAATGCCAACAAGAAATAATTGTATGTTATTTGTATATATTATAGGACGTGTATATCTGTTTGTTCATTTGTTTTTTCTCAATCTTACATAAGCCTAATGGCCTAGCAGTAGCTACATACTTGAATATAGTATGAACAATATTTATTCATTTTGTGAATCATATTTATTGAAAATAAAAACATGATCTGCAAAGCTGTTTTATATCATTTCAAATACAACAAATACAAACTTCTAAGATGAACAGATATATGGAGTAGACCAAAGAAAAGACCCAACGTGATGCAATACCACTTGATATTCCTTTTTATTAATAGGCTCAAGAGATCTAAACTAAATTGAATTTATTACCTACGTTGAAGCAAGAAGATTCTAGGCGACGCCTGGCAAGCCCAGGCCCAGAGTCTTCTGAGTTGAAGAGGCACCAAGTAGCTAAAATGTATTGTACTGCCTGGTAGTGTAGGGAAGGCATGGGGAGAGGGCCGCTGGGCTCCAGCAAAGAGGGTATTACAGGAACAGTCAGGGATGCAGAGATTGGGTGTCGGATAGCAAGGAGGAGACCAAATTCAGTTAACACTTTCAGTCTGGGCTTGCTGGTGTAAAAAGCATGGGCGAGTGAAGATTGTGGTGGGGGTTGCGGTTTGGATGATGACGGTAGTGGGATGGTTCCAATTTGAAAGTCTGAAGAGTAATGAGAGATCGAGTGTTGTTGGGGGGGGGGGGGTTACAGAGTAAACTAAAAACATATTCATGTTCTGTTCAAGGCACAGCATCAAGGTCGTATTGTCAAGGTCAATTATTTAGCTTGGCATCCACTTTGGCAGTGTAATAATTCTGGAAATACCGGTAACAACAGTAGGTTTTTCATTGCAATTCTATCCTTTGTGCATTTTGCTTCAGTATTACTCGATCCCCTCACTTTTAATTAGCAAATAGCTTATGTACAGATATTTAGATTTCCCAGATAATGCATAGGAACCTTAGGAAGTAGAAGAACTGTATAATGCTGTATTTTCTAAAGTGAAACTTCCCAATTCGCACATTTTCAAAATTTATCTCCATCAGATGCCAACTGTCACTAAAAAAACAACAACATAACACTGCAACTAAGCACTTCGGTTAGTTTAACTGGCAATTTCTTTTTAGTAATATTGATTTTGGCACCATAGAAATATGACATTTAATGCCTCAAAAATGTCATGATGTTCTTGAAAAATATATTTAAAGGCAATACAAACCTTGGATGATATCTACAACAAGGTCTGTTGTAAGAATTAGCTTTATGTAATTGTGTTTGATGCTACTTGTTTTAGGGTCTTTGCCATTGGTCTATGATGTGGACATACTACACTGGTATCTGCAGTTTTAGTAGAGAAACACCTGTTTGCGTGCTATAGAGGTGATCCTATATACTCTTTTGAGGCCACACCCATCCTGACTTGAGTTGAGACCTAACAAGGCTACAATCTTGACCCAACAGTTGCCTTCTAGAACAGCGGGATGCCACATACCAGATGATTTAAAGAGAAGCGATCATAAATAAGAAAAATCTCTGAATGATCTTTGTTCTTGTATGCATACTTGTTGTAACATTTGTGTGCGTTAACTCAAATGTCAATGACAAGTATTACTTCTGTATAGTGTAGAGAGAAAGTGCATGAAAGTTAAATGGAGGCACCTTCTGGCTAGGAATTCTTAAGACCTGTACATGCTTGCATCTGGTCAGGCTAAATTGCTTTGCAGGTCAATCAGTGGTTATCCTAAATCCTAATCCATATCCTTATAGGTTTGTACACAGACATATTTCAAATGAAGAGTAATAGAAATATCTTATAATATTATATGTTTGTTTGTACATATGATTATAAATGACCAAAAAATTTGGGTAAAAAAAATCTAAATTCTACAGGGTCCATAGCTCGACCCAAATCACTTTGCAGTAGAAATATTATAAATTGAGTTCATGATATCCTCCGCTTGCTAAATGCCTGTTCTCCCTTTAAGGAAACTCTGCTTGAACCTCAACAAAAACAAAGGGAGGCTGCACCTCCAATCTTAGATAAACATTTCTTATAGCTCACTGGAATGCACTGAATGCACTTTATCTTGACATGATGGATAGTAGATTCTTTATATTTAAAACGGGGAAGTTTACCATGATAGTAAAGATAAAACTGTATAAATTGTGAGTAACACATCAGTGAAAGTTTGTAGAAAGTCCAAAAGGCAAAAGGATAAGAAAGTTTTTAATGTTGAAATTGTTAATGCTAAAATGTTCTGTGTTGGTGATGAAAGAATAGATATGTTTTCATAGATAGCAGGGGTATATATCAAATTTTAATATCAAGGGTAGGGCACGAGTATGATTTATATTGAAGGAGATCAAATGAACACAGATTCAACCATTTTAATGTCTACTGCAGATAACCTAACTGCAGATAATTCTCTGCTTGTAAGTTGTAATAACAGTTTAATCTATATGGGATATCATTAGTTGCAATAGATTGGTATGCAGACATCTAGATAAACTCCTGCAACACTGCTTCAGCCTCCATTTTGATGAATAATTAGGTTTGTGTAGGGTTGCAAACTTGAAGTTACGTTTTTTATTTTTTAAGTTTAGGTTTTAGGTACATGTGTTTGGCCCAAGGTTGAAGTTAAGAATTTGGTTACTGTAAAATAATGCAAATATTAAACAGTGAGACCAGAGCAGTTGCTGCCACAACACGTCTTATTACTACCATGACATACCACTTTACTAAATGCCCTCCAAGTCCCTCCATGCATATATACTTTTACATTACATTCATCAGATGATATAAGAAAATACTCCAGTTGGGGGAAAGGTTAACAAAGTAATCAAGATATCCATTTCCTTTCTGTCACAAGATGCAGTATAAGGGGCCTCCATGTGTCTGCAGATAAGACTTTGATAGCAGTTGGTGGGTCACATCTGGTCAGTCAAGTACTTGCGGATTTAGAATGGGGCATGTCCAGCCAATTATTAGCCCCATTTCAGCCCCTTTGCAGCCCTTTGCAGCCCTTTGCAAAGTTTCAACCCATTTGGTATATCTGAAATACACAAACAACAAAATATCCCCAAAAGATTTTTTAAAAGTCTGTTCCCAAAGTCACCTAAAAATGTATAAACTTACTTAATTAGATTTTCGTTTTTCCAGTGTCAGAGAATTTGACACCCAAAATTCTGGATGACTTTGTTTGTGCTAGTAAAAAAAAACCCACTGAATTGTGCCCCTCCCTCTTTTACAGTTTAAAATCCTTAGTCTGACCCTGAGTGTAATTAATGTTTTTCTAATAGGAAGTGATGAATTTACAAAATTGTTCATTGGCAAATAGAAGATTAACCAATTTGAGGGGCACACTTCAGATGTCACATGCTTATGATTCCTGTCAAATTCTTTATTATGAATGTAGGTCTATGTCAGGGAATAGGTTCAAAAATCCAAAGTTCGTCTAAAGTAGAGTATAATGAGCCATGCACATTCTGCTGTGCTCTGATATTCAGTAATGGAAAGAGGCATGATTTGATATGATCATATTTCAAATGGCAAGGGAGTCGTTAATGTGTATTACATCTCTTAAATTATATAAACAAAACTTGTATAAACAGAAAAAAACTTCAAAACAAGTTTGGTTATTATTAGCTTTTTTCTGATTGGATGTGTTCTTGAATTTCACTCACATTATGTGGGGGATATCAATAGTCTCCATACAGCATGTAATGGTAGCGCTAAATATGTCACAGAAATAAATCTTAAGTGATATAGGCGTGTATCACTAATTTGTTAGGGATCATACACATGTACCAATATTATAGTTTTACCAAGCTTGCATTTTAACCTGTTGAAAACTGAACAGTTTCATTTAACATTTAAGCAGGCTTAGTGATGGGACCACCCAGTTCCCTTAAGCCTCGGTCACAAATGCCATTACGAACTGCTACGAATGCCGTACGAACGATTTTCAGACAATGGAAATTCGGGAAGACAATGGAAAAAGAGGGAGATTCCTACAAAATAATCGTTTGTACGAACCTTTGTGACCGTAGCTAAACACCATCTAGTAGTTTCTATGAAATCATATGTTTAGAGCAAGAAGTCTGCTGTAGTATATAAGTTAACTCATAATTTTTAATTTCAAAGAATTAGCTTTGAAAGCAGACATACTGAATTAAACTTATCTATTTAAAGTAAAATACAAATAATTATGAATAGAGAGCCGAAATCATATTCTACATATATAAATTAACTGCCCTCATTACATAACTCAAGTAATTACTCATCCTAGAATAATGCCAGTGATGTACAATCCATCGTAAGTGTACTTTTAATATGACACTTGACTCGTTTACTTTACTGGGTTAAAGTACTATGTATTAGACAAGAAAAATATAGACCCAGCTACCTTTATTTATACGAACCCATAAAGCTGTCTGCGGACAACTCTAGATAGACAAGAAATATGGCTTTTATCAACAAATTCTTCCTGAAAAACAAAGTTCAGCTTGTTTTCCAGTAAAAGCCATGTAGACCTACCTGGGTCGCTAGAGCTATGTAATGCTTTCATCGTTAATATTAAGATGACCTCCCAAACGTCCTTCACATACAATCTAGGCAAGTTTGTAGACAAAAGATAATCAAACAAAGAGAAAGAAGGCAATTTAGAATGTAACCAGGATTCTGAATTTTTTTCATCACTCATTGGCTTGATACCAGAGTGATACTGACAAACCATGACAATCAGATGATTAAATCTTTTAATTTTTTTAATTTTGAGGAGGGGGGAGGTTACCTGAAATAGGTTTGACCTCATAAATCACACTAATTGTCTGAGATATATGGGGTATTTTAAAATGGCTTCTAGTAAAGATAGAAATACAAGTAATGGAAAGGCTTCAGGATTAAAACTGCACATTCCTGCACATTCTCTGTAAATGTATCAAGGCTGCAAGTATGCACAAATTCTATGCAATGGGGCCCTTATTGCCTGTTTTCAACTTTTTACTATCATCAGGCATAATTTTGTAGGGGGGGGGGGGGGGGGGGGGGGGGCTCAACTGAGCTGTACCTCCCCTTGTATACAATCCAAAGTGTGCATGAGTTTAATATGATTACCTTTTTTGTTTGTCAGTTGAGATATTTTAAAACATCTATTTGCTCAAAGGTTCCTTGAAGAGTTGTTAGAACTTTTTCTTTAAAAAAAAAAAAAACTCTTCAGAGATTTGTTTGATATGTGACCCCCTGTGGAAGAGCATCTTGGTTCTGCCCCTTGGTTCTGCCCCTGTATCATCCCCATATTAAGCTTGTCATCTCCTTCCATGTTTTGTAAGCTGTTGGCGGATATATCATAACTGATGGATAACTCTGCTTAGACATGAATGGACCTTGACCAGATGGTGCGGGCTCACTTCGAGAACCGTTGGGGCTGGCCTAGCTGTTAGCTTGGACAGCGTGGGAAAAACAGAAATGGATAATGACCCGTGGCAATGGCTGCCATTATGAAAATAAATGATCGGGCATCATATGTCGTCTCCCATCTTTACCTCTGCCATACCCTAGGCCGGTATTAGAGTTTGTTCGTCCGATAGTTGAGCCTAGGAACACCGTCCAGGGATGCAGCTATAAGATGTAATTAATGCATTCTCATGTCATAAGATATTTAGGTCAGATGTTTGAGACAAGAAGTGAAATCATCAGTAGAACGTTCCAGATAATTATGGGCGGCTGTCATACAAGAATGTTTGCTAAGACAAGTTATGTTTGTGACATATATTTAATTGCTATAGGCTTTTCAAAGATTCAATTTGGGCATTTTGAAGAAAAAAATTAGGGAGGGCACAATAAAAATCTAAAACTCTGACCAGGAACAAAAATTATGGTTATTGTATTTTTCACTTGAAAACAAAATTCTAACAAGCAAACAAAAGAAGAAAAAAATGTTTATCATATTTTCAGTAATTCTCGGGTAACAAAATTATTAAACACATTTGGGGCACGTAAAAAAGGTATGCCGTATGGGGGTTTAAAAGGAGGGGGTGCAGGCTGGTTGTGTCTCTCCTCCAAAATCCACCTCTGTAGATCTGGAAAGAGGCACTTAGGTATAAGGCAATCGGTAACATAATTGTGCATGGTCTTCTGGAAATCTGAAGTTTGTCAATTTCTCAAAAACTGTATTGAAAAGTGATTGATACTTCACTTTGTGAACATTAAAAAAATTCCTACATTTGCAAGCATGACATCACATTTAACTGACACAGTTTCCAAGGAATGTTACATGTATGCATCTGAGGAATATGTGTCCTCAAAGATTTTGAAACGTTACAATTAAAACAAAAAATTTGTTGAACCTATAGGCTGTTATACCTTTACCAAAGTTTCACTGTTCCACTGATGTAGTAGACATTGATATATTAAACAGATCTAGAACATGAAATCGTTTGCACGTATAATTATAATGGGTTTTCATTTCAATACATATATACACCATACATGTATGGAAATGTTCAATTTCTTATTCTGAAACAAAATACCCAAACTCTTGCAAGGCAATAGAAGGCTTTTAGAACTGAAACCTCTCAAACTCAGCAGTCTAGACACATTTAGGAGTCTAGACATTCTGAATGATGAGTTTTCATCTCTCCTATCATCCACCAAGAAGTTTTCCACCACCACTACATAAATGGAAAAGATGTTACGGTAAATTTACAGCATAAGTGGAAAGACTTTTGGGCAACACCCAGTTTGCAACTTAACACTGCTATCCATCTGTTGTCTCCGTTATGTTTCCCAGCGTAGAGAGATTGGTTCCATGATAGGATGAAGTCTTGAGGATGTGGACTAACATCTGCTCTGTCTTTCACTGTCCATGTTTAGTGCTCCGTCAATTGTAGAAATACATGTATGTCAATATTTCTGCCACCATTGTCACACTGATATCACTCACTTTGATTACAGGCATCTTACATGTACCTATTGGTAATATACTTTTTAATTGCCATAGTAACAATTTGGTCAAAGCCATAGGAAAACTGGAGATTTTGTTTTGTTTCTGTTCTCTGTTACAGTAAGATTAAAAACATTTTGTCTGCTTGCCTCTCTTCATCTACACAAATGGACAAGATTGATTTCAATCTCTCTTCAATTGGGAATTAAATATTCCTGCATTCCTGCATTCCTTTCTAAAACAGAACATGAAATGATACCTTGTTTTTACAGTTGAATTGGGTTTATTCTATAAAAGAGATTTTTTTTTCTTTCTCCAGACAAACTATCACAGAATATTAAGAAATATGTTTATCATTATTCAAAATTTTGTTTCCTTCCTGAAAATAGATGAAAAGAAAATGAAGGATGGTTATGTTACGAGAAGGTATTATATGATGCCATCTTTCCTCTAGTCGGTCCAATTATGATATATCTGAATGAGAGCTTTGTGTGAGTGTTTTGCCACTCGTCCTGTGTGAAAAGAACCTGGGCTGGGTAATTCTGGTCAAGAAAATAAACAATGTCTGAAAGAATCCATGAAGGCAAGAGGTCAGGGGAAGTGAGGAAGACATTGGGAAGTTATTTAGAGATATATGTCTGATTGACATTCAGCTGTGACTTCAGTATCGACTTGTATGTTTCAAATGTTTGCCAAAACATAAGCGGGAAGTGATGATAGGTCTATATCAGAATAATTTTTCAAGATTCACTCAAGAATGTAAACCTTAATTTTGTTTATAGGAGCTCTTTTTGAAGTGCTGTCAACACAACCATCATTTCTGCTTTCTGTCATATTTTTTAACCCAAACTCGTTATGAATTGTCAGTACTCTTTGGAACTTTTCAAAGCTAAATTACTCCTCCCATGTTCAAATGTCTGACAATTGCAACATGAAGAGATACAATGGAAAAGCCTAGGTATGTTTTATATAATAGATATAATATACTATAGATATAAAACGTTACATCAGTTTCAGCCTTCTTTTCTACCTCAAATTTATCATTTTTATTTTTAGACTACGGTCTCTTTATTATTAAATAGTACAGAAATTGAAAATACTGCATTCCTTGCAGGTTAATAAGATCATTCATTGACTTTTATATCAAAGGGGCATGGTGTAACCAGTGGATGAATATCAAGTTAAGAAGAATTATCTTCATGACTATTTCACCAACCTTCTCTCATTGATCAAGCGTTCAATCTATTTGGTAGGAAAAAAAGGTCTACTTCGATCTACTTAACCACTTATTATCGAGATTTCAAGATGCAAATTATAGTTATATGTAGAATATCTGTCAACAATCATAATACGCTTTCTTCTTTCTATTCCTGCAGGGTGACAGGGGATATGTAGGATTTCCTGGACCTCCTGGCCCTGGAGGGTTCCCAGGAGTTGAAGGACCACCAGGATACAAAGGACAAAAGGTAGGTGCCATCTTCCTCAATACTTCACAAAATCTGTCCAAGATTGCAGGAACTCACAGTTATAGTAAAAGTGCATTGCTGTAACTACAAGCTCATTGCCAAACTAAAGGTGCAGAAGCCAAATATGGCACATTTAAAAAGCTGGTGATGTATTCCTGATGCCAAAGGTTCATTGCACAAACCAAAGTTGTACATGCCACAGACACATTGAAGAAGCTAAAGATGTAAAAGGTGTATTCATGAAGCCAATAGTTCATTGTGGAAACCACAGGTACAGAAGGCAAAGGCACATTAAAGAATCCAAACCAAAGCTGTATACTGGAAGCCAGTGTGCATTCCAGAAACCAAAGAGGTGCTAGTGTAGTAACCTATATGGTATATTCCCTTTTAAAGATGGTATACCTCCAAGTATAGTAATGTTCTGATTTAGACTAATTGCTTCTAGATTGAAGATTGAATCATTCTTGTATGATCCATACATGGAGTGTCGTGGTTGAGTGGTTTAAGGTGCTCAACTGGAGATGCAAAGGTTGAAGGGTTCGAATCCTGACACAGCACTAATATCCTTTGGCAAGACATTGATCTACATTTGCCACTCTCCACCTTGGCGTTAAATGGGTACCCGGTAGAATGCGAAAGTTAATGTAGTTTGATTAGCAAGTGGCGATTGTAAAATGGCGACTGGCTGGAATGCTCCCCAGGGAATGGAGAATGTGCATACATTGTGTGCGGGTAAGCATGAAATATATATCTGTCAAGCACATTGAGAGGGCCTGCGGTCCTGAAATGCGCTATGTAAGGACGAACTATTAGTATTATTATTCTTGTTTGATCCATACAGGGAAATCTAGGAATTGCAGGATCAGGAGGACCTAAAGGATTCAGAGGAAGCTTGGGTAATCCCGGTATTCCTGGGATCCCTGGAATCCCAGGAGAACCCGGACAAGAAGGACCTCCTGGAGAACCTGGTATTCCTGGCTGCAATGGAACAAAGGTAAGTTAACCCATTTGCTACCGAATTATCTCATTCATATAGACTTAATACAGGGCTTATTTTGGTTCATGAAGGCAATGAGTTAAGCAATCCTGGAAAGCAATTTTTCAAAAATGCTGAATGAATTATTCCCTTCTCCTCAAACTGGCATTGTTTAAAAAAAAATTTTATTGATTACATTGCAGCAAAAAATATCATGTATGTCAAACAAAGCTGTTTTTTAAGTAATATGCAATGCAAGCAAAGACTGTGACTTTTGACCTTCGTGAGTAACTAGTAGATGGCAATGTATACAAATGTTCATGAACTTTATGGCAAACTTTCCTCAAGGTTTTAAATTGTCATTAACATGATCACATCATCACTTTAAACTTAAGAAGTAATGAACGTTGTCAAACCACATTGCATTGCTAATAGAAGTCGTTTTCAGATAATGCAATAAGCCTATATCTTAAACATTCACATAAGAACCTTGCACATTTCAAGGTAAGCTTACCCTTAGTCAAAATAAAATTGCTAATACAAGTTGAAAAAATAGTGAAAAAACAGCACAGAAAAGTATGTTTTTCGACTATTTTCAAATTTTAATATATTTTTCAACTATTTTTTGCTTCAAATCCCTAGCCGAAAAATTATGTTTTTAGTCTATTTTCCAGTCTTTCCACTGGAAAGAAATTTAGAAATAAAATAGTCTAGTTTTCTAGGAAATACCATAAAAATATAGGGAATATATGGAATGAAGCTTATTTCTTTCTTCCTTTCGCTTCTCCAGGGAGAAAGGGGTCCATCTGGACCTACAGGGTTCGGACAACCAGGATCACCAGGACCGAGGGGAGATCCAGGACCACAGGTATGTTATATGGACCATACACGTAGGCCTACACTTAGTCCTACATTTAGTCCTTAATTTGTTCCAAATTTAAGGCATGTGGCATATATTTCTTTCTAGGTCTTTGCTGGGCATCTCTCTTTATACCTTTCGTCAAATCAATCTATTTTGTTTTTCTTGTCATGTTTCTAATCTCCATGTCATTCAGTTTTATTTTCAAGTTCTGTGTTTTATCTTTATCTCTTACACATTTACTGTTAAATCTCGTCTCCCTATTTTATCTCTTTCCTATTCTGTAGTATTATTCTCCTTTTCTTCTTCTATTTTTTCATCTGTAATGTAGTTCTCTTACTTTCTTCCTCATTCCCCTTACTCATTCTTTATTACTCACATTCTCTTTTACTGACTCTTTCTCTCCTTTCATGCATTTGATTTCCATTGATGGTTATCTCACTCTCTTTCTCCTTTTCTTTCATTCTTTTTCTGTTATAAAACTTTCAATTCTTCTCTTTCTCCTGTGTCAGTTCTAATGAGTATGTATTTATCTTGTCTATCTATCTATTTATATGTCTCCCTTGCTCTTTATCTCTTCCCCCCTTGGTGTGGGTGTGGGTGTGTGTTTGAGCTGGAGTGCACTTCATAAAATTGTAAGAACTCTTTATACCATACAAGCTTTTGCTAATGGAGTTATCACAGATATGAATCACCCCCCACAAAATGAGAGACCAGAATGCTGCAGGTCATATGAAAAATCAGTTTTTATCTCTACTCCCTTGGGATAATACTGAACAAAGCCTCGGTTGTGCTCCTAAAGTTTGAGCGCGTCAACCTGTTTCTCTACTCCCAGCCAAAGGTCAGACGGGGGACCTTGATAAACAACCTTGTTTCTATTTCACTCACCCCCTCACAAACCGATCATTGTTGATCCACTCACCACTACTGAAGTGTATGTCATCATGACAGGGAAGGGGTAGCTTGTTGTGGTTTGAATGACATGAAATAATTGGATCACTTAAAGGTAAAATGAAGGTAATGAGGGGAAAGAGGGGTCCCCTTATTTCAAAGACTTTTCCATGAACTTCCAAACTTTAGATTATTGGTAATGAGTAGGCCAGTAGGGCTATAAAGTGGATATGCCCTGTTCATTCTAGCAGAAACATTTGTTATTCTTTAGCAAGGTAAATAATAACATTTCCTTGTGTCAATGGGTGGCTTTTCTTTTTAAAATTCTCTATGAAAATAGATTGAATGAATAACATGATATGAAGTACCAGTGGCGGATCCAGGGGGGGGGGGCCCGGGGGGCCCGGGCCCCCCCCCTTGAGAAAAAAATCATGTAAAATCACGTGATTTTTACGATTTTTGGGGGTTGGGCCCCCCCCCCCTGGCGCTCAAGGGAGGGGTGCAAATTGAAATTTTTTTGAGGATCAAAAAAAAAAAAATGTGCTCACTACCCCCCCCCCCCCCCCCCCCCCCCCCACTGAGCGAATTTTCGGCCGGCGCGTTTTTCAAATTTTCGGGAGCAAAAAAAAAAAAAAAAAAAAAAAAAAAAAATTGTGCTCTGTACCCCCCCCCCCACTGAGCGACTTTTCGGCCGGCGCGAATTTCAAATTTTCGGGAGCAAAAAAAAAGAAAAAAGTTGGGCCCCCTCCCCTAAGAAATCCTGGATCCGCGCCTGTGAAGTACTGATAACAGGGAGATGCACAATGATAAAAACCCTTCTGGAAATTTTTTTTAATTCTACAGAAATTTTGTCCAAAGCATGGGTTTATTATACTCTATATCTTGAAAGAAAATGGTGATGTCTAATCTATGTGTAGTAAAAGTGTACCAAAGTGTAGTAACAAAAATACACACTGCAATTTTTCAGTTGAATAAAAAGAGATGTTCCAAATTCAAAATACACTTATTTTCACCCAGCTGTTCCCATGGAGGGGTCCTTCAAACTAGATTGTGTTGACATTTTGATGTTTGGTTTCAGTCAGGGTTAGCAGTAGTTAACCTACATGATGGATATAAATCTGCTAACAAATTGGATGCGCTCTGAGTTGGAATATGTGGGAACAAACTATTCTCATCTCAGAGAAACTGGGTTCCAGCAGAAGTGCTGAATTCTTCGGGAATGGAAGAAAATCCCACCCATTCCACCTTGTCACTTGCATTATATTTGTTCTGCTTTTCAGAATGGATCTTTTTCATCAAAGAATTGAGTGACATTAATAACTTCTTATCCTCCGATTTTAAATATATAACTGATTGAGGGGGGATTTGACACCATTTTTATATGTCACATCCTTGAATCGAATATGTAGTACAGCTAGGTCAGGTTTAAAAGAGGAAAAGTAACAATCCTGAGTTCATCCTTAATGATATTCATACCTGCACTTTACCTACCACCTGTGGTGATAATACACCATTCAATTGGTTGTCCTCCAATCTGTTTTTATCCTGTCATGCAGGAAACAATTAAACTTGGGATTCAGGAAAGGGCTCAAGATCATTGTGTTTTTATACTTTTTATACTGGAAAAGTGCCATTATTAATGTTGATAGAAGAGTCTGGGTGGTATTAGAGTCCTTTTCTTTATTGCTGTTATGACTGGGAATAAGCTTAAAGGGAAAGTCTATCCTGATAGCCATTTGGTTTTAATAGAAGCAGAAGAATAAGAGAAACAGAGGAGTATTATTCTGAACAAGATCCAATGATAAATAAGGTTTTCTCACTTTTCTGAAAGTTTAAAGAAAAATTTCAATCATGTGTCCACCCTAGATATAATTGAAAGTATGTTTCCATACAACCCCTGTATGAAAAAAATCTATTTCTTTATTAATAACTAAGAAAATCGAAAGTTATGAAAATTTCAGTACAAAGCAAATGAGATCAGACCTTGAAAGTTGGCTGTTTGTGTTTCATTGATTACAATTTCAAAACTTCATAACCTTCCTATTAGCTCAAACTTTCACTAATCTTGTTTCTCTCATTTTCCAGCTGTTATGAAAACCAGCCATATATCAGGATTGACTTCCCCTTTAATAATACTTCTGTCTCGTGATGTGTTGTTTTGTCTGATTTTGTCAGCAAAAGTACTTGATGAGATCACTCATTTAAAAAATGTATTGTTTAAGAGTTTAAACATTAGAAAAGTACACTTTAGTAATATGATTACATGCAGACGTATATGTGTAATGGTACATATGTGCAACTCTAATGAATGAAATATGATTCTTTGAGTTAATGAAAGTGATTATGGTGTTTTTCTTGTATTGTATGTTAGTTATATTCCTTGAAATGGATGAAACTTTTAGTGCATCATCTGTCTTTATGCTCCAATATGATAAATCTTTGTTGTCTGAGTGTCTCAATCATGAACTGATATACCGATATACACCTTTTTTCAGTGAACTTTTATACCAAACCTTAGGTGCTGTTGATTGCGTCTGTAGCAAATGGAGGTCCCCAAAAGCATTTTTGACATTGAATTTTGCTTGGACTGGTGTAAATATATATGCAGAATTACTCACTACCCTTTTTCATAGGGGGTTCCTTATTGCTAGTTGATTGAACGCTAATGTGATTATCTGCTACGGATTGAAATCCTAGTCTGCCATTAGATGTACATCAACATGTGACAAAGTCAACTGTGGTAACCTTTAAGTTAGTCCATCAAAGCAGATAAAGATTTGAGTTTTACAACTCTGTGTTCTAACAATATGTTGTATCAAGTATCTCTTTTTCCTTGCTCCTTCTTGCAGGGGCCACCTGGTGACACTACTTATGGATTGAAAGGAATCAAAGGAGAACCTGGAAGACTCGGCAGAGACGGATACCCTGTAAGTACTCTCTTTTGCTCAAGTTCTTCTAAGCGAGATAAGTTGGAAGAATATTTTGTTGAATGCCCAGCCCTCTTTTTTTCAAGTTTAAGACCTCAGTTGGATGTTTCCGATGGCTGTTCATTCCATCATGTTGCCACCTTGCCAACATCGAGAAACACTAGAGAAATTTAGCCAATGATTTCTAATATCCCCAGTATCAGGGGTTATACAACATATGCTATGGTATCAATCTCTACGAACAACTTCCTTCAAAATATTATCTCCTAACTTTATCACTGGATCAAACACACCTAAGCCTAACCCTACACCTGATCTATTAACCAAGTGGAAACCAGACCCTAGAGCTTTGATAAGGTATGGCTGAAGAAAATGTCTATGTAGCAAATGTATTATCATGTTGAGAAAGCCTCAATCCCACCGCTGCCACCAATTTAGAAAATGTTAAATCTAGAACTTGAAATCAATTTCTACATGCATATAACAAGTCAAACTCATGAGTTTAATATCATATTAGAAAGCAATATTAATTCCATTTTCTTTTAATTTATTTTCTCATATAATATATAATCTGTTTTTGTTATGATTCTGATGTAGGGAACACCTGGAGATTCTGGGCCAACTGGACCTAAAGGAATATCTGGAGATCCAGGTCTATTAGTAAGTATTTTTGTTTCCCTTTGTGAACCACTACCCAGCCAATACATCCACCATTGCTGCTGTAGTAATGATTGAGGGAGAGAAAAATACAATAATTAAGATTGCATCTTATGTGTCATATTTTCAATCACTGATTTGAAAGCAATATAAAGCTCTTTGATTGTTGTGAATATTGTATTTAGATATATGACGGTAAATCTAGATTTGCATATATAAAAGGGATGTGTAATGTAGGTTGTATGTTGAAATAGACAAAGGAAAGAGGAAGAATGATGGGGTAGAAGGATAAGGTAGTGAGAGATGAGGGATGAAAAGGATAGAGAAAAGAAAATAATAGATAAAAAGAGGAAGAGAGACTGAGAGAGGAAGACAGATGGGATGAGACCTTAATATGTTAAGAGAGCTGTAGAGGTAGTACTAGAATAGCAATAAATGGGGAATGAAGAGAAAGATAGATAGATAGATAGAGAGAGAGAGACATAGAGACACGGGACAAAGAAAGAGAGAGGGAGAGAGAGAGAGAGAGAAAGAGAGAAAGAAGAATAGAAAAGCAAGAGGAATATAGAAGAAGACAGACAGGACTAGTATTTGATTAGAGCCGTAGAGAACAAACTATTTGAGCCATGAGATGGGGAATGATAGAGAGAGGAAAGAAGAAATGACAAAGGAGAGGAAGAGAGAGAGAGAGAGAGAGTCGAAGACAGATGGGATGAGAGCTGTGAGAGGTTAAGAGATCTGTGGAGAGAAAACTATTTATGACCTGTCCCTAATTATGTCGGATTCCAAACATTCCTCCAAATTGAATTACCATATGTGCCATATTTATCCATGTAATGTAATTATTGAGGTGAAGAGTCTAGCACATGATGGCTTGCATGATATTACACCATGCACATGTAGAGGCGGTCAGTTAGGAAGGGTCATCCAGGCTTCCTACGTTCTTTACCCTACAGTATCTCTGTATTTATTGTGTTGAGATACTTCTGTATTAGATTTATTTCATTTTATATTATTGCCTTGAGGGATACTCTATCGGGAAATATGGTGTGGAAATATCCTTACTATCATTATTATAGATCTCCATCTTTGTCAGCAGTTTCATTTGTTAGGGTGTTCAGAGAAGAATACTATTTGCTAAAGAGCGAGAAAGGTGTTTACTCTAAATTAAAAAGGGTTTCATCTTTTTGGAGCCAGAAGGACATTAACTCCTATCATGTGACACAGAATGAACACCCTACAGATACCAAAACAAATAATATGAAGTAATGCCCTTCTTGCTCTGAATCGACAGTATGAAATGGAAAGGGGGAATTGCATTAGTTTAAAAAAGTAAATCATTTAAAATTTCTTCAATACCCTACTTGTACTACACACAAAATGTGATCTGGTTGTCTGTATTGAAATTAATTTAATCTTGGTTATGATTATGATGAAATTATTTTTTCCCCTGTAAACTTAGGGTTCCAAAGGAGCAAGAGGTTTAAAAGGAGAACCTGGACAACCTGGAGTTCAGTACCAAGGCGGTAAAGGAGAAAAGGTAAGTCTTTTTGGTACCAGTAAAACCAGTAAAACAATTTGTAATGAAAGAGCAAACAATATATCTATTAAGGCACTTTTAAACAATTACATACTATGCAAATATCATATTTGAATTTACGTGTCATCAAGTAATTGGTACATTGGTGTTATGAAGGGGGAAAATTCTTGGTTTTAAGTAAAATTTAGCACTTTAGATCCTTGTGAAAGCAATTTGATTACATCATTAAAGAAATAACCAGAAGTATAAATTTTAATGTTTCAGACTATTGGTTAAAAGGAGAATAGATTCCCACAAAAAAATCAGTGATTTGTTTTCATCTTATGGAAAGTTTAACAGGTATAAGCACAAGAGACATGTTATTTAAAATCTTAGCTAATATGGGTTGTGTTTACCTATATTTATAGTATAAATATTCTCTAATTATATATAGATACATTTAAGTTATATATTCACTCTTATGTATGAATTATTAGTTATGATTATATGATTAACAAACTTTCATTTTTTCAAGGATCTGAACAGTTGCTTTGTCTTTAAGTGAGTTCAGGTAATGCTGTAACACACAGTGAACTTGGAAGATGATTTATACTTTTTAAAGTATTTGGTGCCATGGTACATTTGGGGTAATAGTCCATCATAAATAAGAGACATCCCTTGCCCTAATCTCACTTTTACCTTGAAGAGGCCTTGTCCCTTTGAAAACTTAAAAAACACAAGGAAAAAACCCAAAATGAGAACTATCCTGCAGCTGCATATTAAGGGTTTCCTGGTAATATAATAAAAGCCTTGTGACCTAGCTTTAGCTTTGTGATTTTCTACCAATTTTATCCAATGTTTAATCAAATTTATAGAGAGAAGAGGTGATTAAATGAACAATTTATTCCACCTTCATTAATGGTCCTACTGATTTTGTGGTGAATACATCCATTTATACATGCATTCTTGTGAGATGTGATTTCTTTGCAGCCGGGTGGATTGTCCACAAATGACACGACTTTGCTTTCCTATGCAGGGTGCTGAAGGAGTAGCTGGCCGCCCTGGTACACCATGTAGTACTAGTACAGGGGGTGGTGAAACTGTCCTTATAGTAGGGGATCCTGGCCCGCGGGGCATCAAGGTACTGCTACCGCTTGCGTAGCTAGATGCCTAGATAGTGTGAGCTTGAAATGAGTGGGCTTGCCCAAAGGATGAATGAGTGAATATGCACCAAAAGAAAACATGCATGTCATTTTGTTGTTGCACAATTTGTTTCTCCGATGATCGCTCTAGGGTAGCGTAGGTACGCAAGGATTGCCGGGTGAGTCTTGTAGGGATCAGGCAGCAACAGGAAACGATACAACCATCGTCCAAGGACGTCCGGGTCCAAAGGGAGACCAGGTAACCCCTCTATACCACCACCACCACCACCACCACCACCACTACCACCTCCACCACCATCATCACCGCCACCATCATCACCTTTCTCCTTTTACCATCTGTGTTCATTCCTGCATGGTCTTTATCCAATCGTCATCTATGATGTGAGGAAGCCTCCAAAACTCTTTTCCTTTTTCAACACCCATCTTGATAACCATACTGCTGTAAGGCCAAGTGTCAAACAGTCTTCCTTCACTCATCCTGTTTCCATGATCTAAGGCATCTGCAATATCTACAGTTTTAGTTTTGGTGATAACTTTTTCATTAGGAAGTGATAAAAATGTCCTATAACAGTAGTTTTTTATCCTAATTCACTTTGTAGTGGGATTTTGTTAATACTTGTTGAGTTTTGCTCAATTAAAATGAAAAGTAATCCTTCACTGTCAAGATTCCAAAGTTTTTGCCAGTTAGAGTTGATAAGAGTCAGCTGCCTAATTTTCTATAATACTTTTTTTCCTATTTCCCCTGCATTGTTTCTTTTGGAGTGGGGTTTCTTTAATATTCAGCTTTAAAAACCTGTAATATAATAAGACATGTCTGATGGTAGTTGATGTTTTGTTAATGTTCTTGTTAGTCTACTTTTATGAAAAAACAATGAGTTTTCACTACATCTAAGGTTGATTTCATATTATGTAGGTGATATCATGAGGAACGTAAATAATGGACAAAACTGAAGGAAATTGATCAGTTCTGAGAATGTACTATTACCTATTACATTTCTCAAGCATATCATTTTTCAATTTAAGTTTGGGTCCATTTCGTGGTTCTCTGTGGTTCAAAATTCATCTTTTTCTTGTTAAATAAGCTAGTAGTAGCTGTTTATATTATGATATATTTTTCATTTTTAAATCATTTTTTAATACAAAAATAGAGTCTATAATTTGATTAGACTTTGTAGTTGGCAAATTACGAATTATCTCTTAATTCTCTTTTAAAATCATCTATTTGTACCATAAAGTAATAACTCGATGCAAATATCTCAATGTAAAAAAACAAAGATTATGGGATATTACAAGAAAATATTTTAGTTGCCTTAGTCTGAAACTGGTAGGACATAGGAAAGTACATTGAACATATGTGTATTTTTTCAGTTTCATATCATAATGTCATAATGTCGTTTTATTATAAATTACATTATTTTTTACCATTCATTTACCATACTTTACATCTCAACTTGTGAATACTTACATGTAGTTGCCATTGTGTTGTGTATATATTTTGTCATAGTGTCATTTTGTCATAATTCGTCGTAACGTCAATCACATGTATAATTGTTCGTGCTGTGTGGTCTTTTGTGTATTTGTGTCATATCGTTTTGTATTTTACATGTTTCATACATATTGATTTCTTACATTATTGTATATGATTTCCAATGAATTTAAAACTTTTGGATTTTGGGCCATAGGATACATGTATCATTGCAGTCAAAATAATCACTTCTTTTGTAGCCATTATTTACATTTGGGCACAATTATCCACAATAAATATAAGAGTGTCTGTTTTTCATTAAGATATCCAGTCAAAACTCGAATCAATAAGTATTGATTAGTGTTTTTCATCAAAATGTGTTCCCTTGATGTCTCACCCTATGTGTTATTTTATAGTCAGACATACTCTCTTGCCAAAGTTAAAAAAACACACTATTTACATACATGTATGATGTTTCAAGCTATATGTAATTGTGAAATCTACATTTACATGGAGTTATAGGCCAGTTAATAAGGTATTTATACGACTCAATACCTCCATCCAGAGAAATACAATTGCTTTGTTTGTCAATCCAGTTGTACAATTTTCTTGTGCTGAATGTATTCACAAAACATGATGTAAGACTATCCTTAATTAGTTACATGCACTGTTATTGGGGAATGTAATAGAATGGAATATATATGATAAAGTGTTAGGATACATGTACAAGTTCTTTCTGTGATATTTATGTTTCGCTAATATGATTTCTTACATTGTTGTTCTCATATCATGTCATTTCTCTCCCTTATATTAATATTCATTTTATATATGTAATATTTTACTTATATATCTTATTATGTTAATTTTTCTCCTCTTTCCGTCCTTTAACAATTATTTTTTGTTTCATTATTTTGTGATTTGTTGCTATTTGTGATTTGCATTGATTCTGTGTTTTCTTGTGCTGTGTTTTAATTCTCATCTATTTTGATTTGATCACATATATTTCTTAAGTAACTCATCCCATTGGATATCTTATTAACAGGGGGCCAGTTTCACAAAACCATCATAAGTTGAAGGTCATGTACATTCAAAGAAACATATATAGAAGAACATGACTTCCAATGAGATATCCACAATTCCACATACGTAGACTCGTGATGGCTTTGTGAGACTAGCCTTTGATCCCTTGGGAGTTGTTATATAACATTTGGTGAACCCTTTTACTTATAATAGTGTACCCTGAAACTTGTATCAAAATTATGTCAATCTGACAAATGATTTTGGTGTAAACTACCCTGTACACTCATGGAAATTCCATATATGCAGTCCAACTACTAGATACATCAAGACGATTATCTAGCTGTTAAGACTATCAAGCAAAAAATGAAACAGTTTAAAAACTTTCAAATCCGTGACTTCAAGCTCTGATGTATGACTTGACATCCAGTCATCATTTTCATGTTAAAATGGATTTGAAATGAAACATCTCCAACGTTTCCATTAAATTCTTAGTGGACTAAGAAATACGGTAAGACAAAGAAAATGATCACACCAAGGTTCCCCAAATGTTATCTATCAACTCCATTCGTTTGTGTGTTTTTTCCCATGGGCTCTAGAGATACAGACTGATATCTTCTGTTGGGAGTCGGCAGATGATATGGTTTTTTTTTTTAATAAAATAAAATCGTTTGGAACTTGAAAAATTCAAAAAAACAGCAAAACATAGCTTACAGTAAGCCCTCCCCTGCTTGTCGTGGCTACTCATATTGTTTGTCAGTACACATTTTTTCTTGAATAATGAGCATTGGTAAGATATTAGTTCAATGGCAATACTAATGTCACATATCTTGCAATATAGTAACTCATTTGTCTGTATCTTTGGAGGTCATGCCCTGTTATCACTATGTCCATTGTACTTGTGTTTCTGCATTGCATGTGTGTGGGTGTGGGTGTGAGTGCCTATTTCACTATTTGTGTGAGAGTTCCATATCATTGTAATAAACATGTGTGCATATATCTACATGTATCTTTCTCTAATAATGCCAGTTTGTCAATTGCAATAATTGATATGAATGTCATATGTCTGAGTTTCCAAAATTATGATCTGATATTCACCCCCCAAAATAAATTTGATACCATGAAATCGGATATTTCAGTTCAAATTCTGTTGCATTTCAGAAAGCTTCAGAGAATTTTACGATTACATCATTATAACTTTTCATAGGTATGAAATCCATGATAAATATGTTAAATTTAATAAATATCATACACTGCAAGAAAGATTCTAGGAGACAATTATAATGATTTTTCTCTTTATACATGAGGTCACCTGAATAAATCGTTTTGGAGTGCAGAAGAATAAAGTTTAGTTCTGATCACTTTTAGCTGACCATTTTTCTCATGGTAACATGATAAAGAAAACAAAAATCTTGAACCCTCCTGGCTTGTAACATTGCTCTTATTGAGTTGCAAGTGTAAACATCAAAATAAAAAACAGACCCCAGCGTGAAAATATTTCATTAAAGTGAAAATAAAATAATATTTTTAGCCACTTGGCTTTCAATAAATCTCATCATTGACTTAATTTTATTTGATTCTTTGTTTTACAGGGAGAATATGGAGACAAAGGAGATAAGGGATTCGTCGGAATGAAAGGAATGAAGGTTGGCCATTTTCTACTTCTTCCCTTTCGTAAATATAATGATAATGATACTACTACTTCTACAACTACTTCTACTACAACAACTACTACTACTACAACAACTACTACTACTATTACTACTACTACCACTACTGCTACTTCTATTTTACATTATCAAACAGGAAAAGAAAGATGATTAAGTAATGGATCTAAAAACGGATCCAATGTAGTTGTTTTCTCCTTATTATGATTACTTTCCAAATGCAATTGATATATGCTTTGCAACTGTCTGTATACTAGAGTTTTTACTGTTTTCGCATTCGAATTTTCATTCATGCAGGATTGCAGGTGCTCGTAATATATATTTACATTCTATTTTTATTTTTTTAATGTAAAAGTGGAAGGAAAATTTACTTGATGCCAGTTTTAGAAGGATAGTTGGTTTATTAGACCTTTTGAAAATTGACAAAATTGTATTATTCAATAGTATATGTACATTTTTTTTCTTCATATGCAGATTTTGCATCAGATCTCAAACAGTGGAAGTTACAATGAATATTATATCTCAAGAAATCTCTCATGTTAAGCTTCCTAACATCTGTAAAGGGTGTGTTTGTAATCGATGTTGTTATTTTTCAAATTTCAGGGCCCAAAGGGACAGTATGGTCTGAAGGGAGAGAAAGGACTATCAGGCCCTCAAGGACCCAGGGTAAGTACAAATCATTTACTACATGTTTAAACACTTTTTCATTTCAAGTATTACCTTAAGATTTTTTTGTGAGGCTGCCATACTAGTCAAGCATCGCTTATGATTCCGGACTCCTGCACTTTTTCAACAGAAAGTTTGGATAATACTTTTAACCTAGAATAATATGTTATAGAAATATTAGGTTTTGTTGTTATATGTACATATGTAAAAAACAAAAACATTTTCACATGAAGTTATTATTGTTTGTATATTTTGTTTTATACCTTACCTTTATATGTTCTTTGTTATTCAGTTATTATATTTGGAAAAATGCAGAAATAAAATGAAATAAAAAAATGTTTGGGTAGTTGACACTTGGTTGGGGGAGGCTTAGCAATAAGATTGATAAATGAAATTATATTTTGACATCTCTTTAGAAACTTGATTCATAAAAGACATTTTTGAAGGCTCTTCAGCTTTGAGTGATTTGATGTTGATAATTTGCTTAATCAAATGATATTTTTTAAAGCCCTTAGGGTGTGGAATCACAGAAGAGTCATGTAGCTGTCACACATATGAGTGTTTCTTTTTTTGTATTCTTCCAGGGTAAAATTGGCAAAGATGGCACTCCAGGCAACCAAGGAATGAAGGGATCACCTGGGATACCAGGCAACCCTGGACCAACAGGATTCAATGGTCAACTGGTCAGTCTGCAACTCTTACTCCATTACCTTACACACTTACAGAATAACACTTCGTTTGCTTTCTTTGCCTCTCTCTCTGGATACAGTTGAATAGTCTGTATGCCTGATGATGAATACAATGTAGCATAGGGAAATTATTTATGAAGCATACAAAGCCTTCATTTACATCGAAGCTATGATCCAATGTGCAAATGTTTTTGTTCATCAATGTATGACCGGTTTGCTTGAAGGTGTTGGATGTCAAATCTAACTTAACTTAGTCCACTGATTGATGGAGACCACATATCAACCCTTTAAGTTTTGTTTGATTTACCAAACCGGTTTTCTTAAAAGCATTGTATGTCAAAACTAACTTAACTTAGTCCACTGATTGATGGAGACCACATATCAACCCCTAAGTTTTGTTTGATTTACCATATTATCAAGTTGCATAATGAATAAACAAAACTGAACCGATCATGAGATAAATGAGAAAGTAATTTCACAATGACAAGTTTATTTGCTTACAAGTAGTTGCAGAATCATCACGGTGAGTACAAATTCAATACTTCAAATTTAGTTTCATAAATATTATTTCATAAATAGACTACATTTATGCACACAGGCAGAGATTAATTCTGTCCTAAATTTAGGTGACTTTCAAGAATACAGGCCTAAGTCTTAATTTGGCATTGAGGTGCACTGAGGAAATGAACATTTTAAATTGTTTACTTTCTTATTTTTAGGGAGACAAGGGAGACAGAGGACCAAAAGGAAGAGTAGGACCTCCTGGACCACCGGTAAGTTCTTTTATGATCCGTACTACTATCCTGACAATTATCCTTTCTATTGTGTTAATTATTATCCTATTATCCTGTCTACTGTCTCTACCACTATCCCTGCTTGCTATCCTGACTATTATCCTTCTATTATCCTAAACATTAGGCTTCCTACTTTCCTTACTACTGTCCCAGCTATTTTCCTTACTTGTTTTCTTACTATTTTTCTCCTTATGTGTACCCTTACTATAATCCCTACAATTATGCGCTATTATCCTTACTTTTATCTTGGAATATTATCCTTACTATTACCCCTTCTGTTATCCTGTCTATTGTCCTTACTATTATGTGCACTACCATCTTTACCATCATCCTTACCATTAACCTTACTATTATCATTACTACTAAAGTACTATCAATTCTTATTATTATTATTCACCTGTTCCAGGGTCCCTCTGTACCCGTTAATGACAAAGGAACTAAAGGACTTCCAGGTCCTTCTGGACGTGATGGGTCTGCAGGACCTAGAGGATATCCAGGAGAGAAGGGAAGAACTGGTAAGTCTTTCACCAAGTCTTAACCCCCTCCACACCTTCCCAATCCTAGTCCAAAATATTAAGTTCCTGTTGAAAACATACATGTACAGTTGCCATCAGCAGTTTGTCATAATTTGCAGATACGTACTGGACTCGTTGGAAATACCATTAATGTGTGTACAAGTCTCGCACACAGCAAATTCGTTGTCCCACCAAGTTGAAGAAGTGAAGGCCACTGTTGGTGGTTGATATTATAGTGTCAAATCTCCAATGAGAACCTGTTAAAAGGGTCATCTTATCATTTTTACTATTATAATTATCATCAGCAGCACCATCAGCAACAGCATCATTATCATCATCATCATCATCATCTTCATCAGCATTACTATGTTAGTTAATTTCTTAATCTTAATTCAGGTTATGATGGTTTGGCTGGGCAGCCTGGACCACCTGGATCTGCAGGAGATAGAGGAGTTCCTGGACCAGTTGGCATCGGAGAGAAAGGAGAGCCAGGCAACCCAGGTGAGTACCCCCGATACATGAACAAGGTTACTTGCTTTGATGCTAAGAGAGAAGGTGTATGATTGTGTGTAAGCAGCCAGGGGAACGACAGCTTTTGAGTCCTCTCTGAGGAACTTGAGGATAAGGATTAATGTCTTACCAAAAGCCACTAGCACATTGACTTAGTTTCAAATCTGGGACCTCCTGGTTATGAGACCATGACTTTACCACCGAGCCACAGTGCCTCCTCCACTGAAAATAACCTTGGACCCCTGCAATGCTGTACCTGTAGGAAGTCCTTGAGTACTTCTAGGCTTTGTGTTTATTAAGCAAGCATCAGTGGATGGTAGATCATACATTCGGAAGGAGGAAATAATTATCTAAATTCATTTTCAATGGCTACACACCTGTGATGCAGAGTATAGTTGAAGACTCCCTGAATCAGGTTAGCTAGGAGATGAAATCCTACTTACCTGTGGATATTACATAGGTGTACTGTCAAATTAACTTGCTCTAGCACGCGCCTGTATACATAGAACACTCGTCTATAAATGCCACATGTTTTGTCTTCCTTAAAGTCTGTATTAAAGGAACCTGTACATAAAGACCACTTTTCTTATGTCCCTTGAACAGTCTTTATATTCAGGTTTCACTGTATTACTATGAAAATACACTTCTATCTTCTTCCTTCATACAGGTATCCCTGGCATGCCTGGACCTAATGGGTTCCAGGGCTTACCAGGCCGAGATGGGCCTAAAGGAGACAAAGGTATGGCAGGACTGACCATTCAAGGTCTTCCTGGAATGGATGGACGTCCAGGACCAGATGGACCTGCTGGACTGCCTGGGCAAGTTGGAGATGCTGGACCTCAAGGTAAGACTTTTGAAGATCTGCCATTTTGTGTGATGACATTCGAAAGCAAATAAAAGCCATGATCTAATAGAATATTGGCCTGTGAATTAAGCCAAAATAACCTCTTTATTTGTTAGGCTACCGGCTTCAAAGGCAAAATAGGCACTCTTCTTCTTCACGAGTCACTACGCAACAACGTTCACTCTTGATTAGTTTGTCCCAATCCAGTGTTGGATGCCTTGCATGGCGCATGGGGTCAGTGCTTTCAGATCTTTGGTGCAACCTAGGGCCTGGTTGATATGATAGCAAATGGGGTTTTGAATATCAGCCATTTTGATGGATTCCAGTTGAAAGAAAAGTAAGCCATATTGGGCCCTGAAACTTTAAACAATCGACTTTTAGTATAATCCTCTGTAAAACTATTGAAACTCCATTATTGGTAGCACAATACCTGAAATGAATTGCATCTCTCTGTATCATAAACTTGATTTAAGGTAATATGAAATCAAAAGATATGATCAACTGAAGGAGATATGTAATTGGTTTTCAGATGATACAGTCAAATAAACTCTTTTTAGGTTTTGGATTAGATTGAGGATTAGGGTTAGAGTAAGTGTTAAACATTTTGTCAGGGTTCTAGTCCCTAGCATCATGGTACAATTGGGTCAAGGTTAGGGTCAGGATTAGCGTTAGGAGTAGGGTTAGGGTTAGAGTTTGGGTAGGGGTAGGTTCAGGGTTATAGGGAGAGTCAGGATTAGAGGTATACTTTAGGTTAAGGATTAAAGTTTGGTTTAACGATTGGGTAGGGTCAGGCTTAGGACTCTTTTTGTCAGAATCAGGGTTAACATTGGATTTCCTGCAGTTCATCTCATAAAAGGCCCTATTGTCATATCACTTTTATTTTTGATTGCAGGTCTCATTGGAGAACCTGGTAATGGTTTGCCTGGAGATCCTGGTCCTAAAGGACAAACTGGACGTGATGGACCTCGTGGTATACCTGGTGATGTAGGATCTTCTGGACAACCAGGATTACCTGGACCACAAGGTAAGACTCAAAAACTCTATTCATATGGCACCTGAATATCTTTATAACACCCTCCATATATTCATACCAGGGCCCCGTTCAAAAGAGTTGCGATAGATCCTAATCAATCGCAAGTCCATTACACCCGTGGACTAATTCTATGCACCAGTCATCAAGTCAGGTGGCTTCAAGAATATGGGCCAAATATACCTAATTCCCAGCCAGCTGAAGAGAATTTGACTTAGTGATAGTTTCCTTTGATAGATGTGTTTAACCAAAGAAGTTTAGACCTAGGTCTAGTCAAGTCTACTGTAGTCTAAGGTTTTTTCATTGTAACATGACATTAGTCTCTGTGTCAGGTTAAACAGGATTAGTAGAATACCAGCTGAAATGTTGTATTATTTTCTGTACCCCCGATCTCTCACTTCTTTTTGTCATTGTCTACTCTTTGTATTATGACCATGTTTTCTCTCTTTGTCATGTAAAGCATTGTCTTGTCCCTTTCTCGTCTCTGTTGGCACCCCCCCCCCTTCCCCTATTTGGTAGTTCTTTCGTAGTTACGGACTTGTTAATTTAATTACTCATTTTTCCTAAGTATCATTTGAGGTGTTCACACTTGTACAAGCATCGATTTTTAGTGGACCCCTCTGTTTCCAACATGTATTTCTATATTTGTTTTAAATGCTTATACTTGATTTGTAATGTTTTACATGAATAAATTGAAATTGAAATTGACCATTTACCGTTGTACCAACAGGCAGCAAAGGAGAAGCCTGCGCTGCTTGCCGCTCTGGTGAGATAGGACCTAAAGGAGATCCAGGACAAAGTGGTGAGATAGGACAACCTGGTCAACCTGGCTACAATGGCAATTCTGGACCAAGTGGACCTAAAGGAGACAGAGGTCTAAGAGGCCTTACAGGAAGAGATGGACAAGATGTAAGTTCTTGATATATCCATGTCTTATCTAGAGAGATAACTGTTAAGGCTTGTCTACATATATATGGCAAGGTAAATTGCAGCAGATTTTTGTTAAAAGGACAGCTAGGGACTGCTGGTGTTACCAGCTGTCAACAATTATCTGTTGATACCTGAACTGGCTATTGTTCGCAATCACACAATGTATACCAAAATAAGGTCATCCATGTTTACTTGGACTTCAGTGACAATGCAATCCCACAAAGGAAATGAGCATATTTCTTTCTTCTCTCCTGCAGGGACCACAAGGGCCACCAGGTAGCACCGGCCGTCCTGGGAACAAGGGACAACTTGGCCTTCAAGGAGAGGTAGGCTTTACTGAACCAGGACCAAGGGGAATTCAAGGGGACCCAGGACTGAAGGGAGACAATGGTCTGAATGGAGAGCCAGGACCACCATGTGAACCAGGTGCCGTCAAAGTCAATGTAAGTTTAGAGTCAGGCTTTTAGGGGCCACGTGCTCAGATTTCCCCTACCTCATCAGGCTCTTGAATGTTATTTTAAATTAAAGGAGGGATCCATAGATAAATCTGTTGTGCAGTATACTTGGGTAACACTGCCAGCAAAATCCCATTATCCTCGGTTTAATACATTTATCTCATCCTTTTTGTCAATTATTTAGTGATAATTTGATTATTATTCAATTTGTACACTTTAAACGTCATTCAAGCCCTGCAAAATAATGCGATCCAATTTTAGACTTATTTAACGGCTTGTAATTATGTTTAGGTTTAGGATCAGGAGCAGTCACTATTATGTTCAGGGTTAGAGTGAGGGTTACTTGTAAAGTTGGGTACTAGTATTCTACAGTAGGTCCAAGCCATGTTTTTTTCTTCTTAACTAGTGCATTAAAGTGAAATTTGCACATGAAGGCCACCTGCATTTGGGAGACTGCCTTTCTTGACTCCCTTGAGCAGCAGCCTTTCCACAACGGTTTCACTAGACATAGACTTTGGTGGCCTTTGAGAGTGTCCTCAACAATATACTTGCAATGCATGTAGATCCTTTCTCTGTCTTTCAGTTTTCAATATCTTCTGTATTGCTTGCTTGGAAAGAGTCCATGGAAAAAATGGCAAAACGATAATGGTACAAAGCTATTGAACGTACAAGATGGTAGGGTGAAGAATCAGAACCTAACACTTCTTTTCCTTTGATGATGTATGATATTAGGGAGAAAAGGGGGCTCTGGGACCACCAGGTCCCCCAGGCCGCGATGGAGTTCCAGGATACCAGGGACAGAAAGGAGACCGTGGACTCCCAGGAGATAGCCTCCGTGGAAGTAATGGAGAAAAGGGAGACCAAGGACCACGAGGAGAGCGTGGAACTTACGGATCCCCGGGTAAATCTAAGGCTTTTAAAGATGCATGGGTCAATGGCTGGTCTGAGCTTGATTTGCATTGATATCATTTGATTTCAGAATCTCTTTATACGTTCATGTTTGTTCCATCAGCTTACAAGAGTCGTGCATAAATTCGTTCCTGTTTTCACAAAGTGACGGTAGTGAGGAAAATCTGCACGCAAATTGTATGCGATTTTCATTCACTACCGTCACTTCGTGAAAATAGGGACGAATTGACTAAGAAATACAGGTATTTCCAGCCATGTTTGTTATTCATATGTAGTACAAATAAAACGTGGAGGAACCTATTTTAAGCTGAGCTTGCTGAGTTAGGTCCGTGTTTAGCTTCGAAAAAAGCATTTGTGGAAAGAACATGAAAAGATGGGGAAAAGGAAAAATAGCTGACTAGAGTCCAGTGCGTGAAAGGGATGATAACAAACATGGCTTACTGATGAAGGAATGAACATAGCTGAGATGTTAATTGTCTATGTGGATTTTTGTTAGTAAATTTTTTAAATAATGTTTATTCTTATCGAGAAATTTTAATTTTGATGTATAATTTGCTCAACCAATTCTCATCACTGATCATTTTTTCTTAATTCGAGTTTTGGTGTCGCCATACAGCTGGGACACCACATTTATCTTTATCTTTTCAAAATCAGTGCACATTTATATTTTTGTTTTTACCTGCCTGCATGTATACTGTATTCTAGACATGATTGTAATTTACATATGTTCTTCCTTTAATGAAACCTTAAATAACTTTATTGTACCATGTGTACAGTGTATTTAATGTTGTCACAGTTCTCATTTAATTGTTATTTTATTTTTCTTATACTCGATGATTAGAATTGTTTCATTTGTGATTTCATCTCCCATTGTCCTTGAACACACATGAATATTATCATTGGTATGTGTATGTTTACATAAAAATAGACCTTTGATTGATTTTAATTTAATTGCTTTATTTCATTGAATATCTGCAGGAGACAAAGGTGAAGTTGTTTACTATGAAACTGGAACACAAGGACCTAAGGGAGAGCCCGGTAATCCTGGTACTGCTGGGCCTCCAGGACCAGCTGGGCCTACTGGTAAGTACAGTACCTTGGTCTTATTTCATGAAACCCTCGTAAGTACTAGTTAGCCAAAATGAAATGCATTTTATTTCTAATCCACACCTTTCTAAATCTGAATCTGTATCAAGCCAATGACACCTGGGCAACTACCAATTTCAAGCCCAGTATGAGGGGTACAACGTTCACTGAATATGTCCATGTGATTGTTGAGGAAATGCTGAAAATGAGTTCTTTCTTTACAATTAGTTGAAGAAATACCTGTTTTAGTGAGTTTTTGCTGGTCGTGTTGCAAGCTTTATCAAAGCTGACCATATCATTGTACTGCCTCTGATCAGTGTTTCTCTAGCCCTGTTTGAGTTTGAGTTTGGCAAAATATGATACTGCTGCTTTGTTGGGCAAGCTAAAAAAAAAAAGAATATACACCATGTTTCGACAAACTGAAACCAAGTTGGCAAAACTCTGTATAGATTGATCTGGTGCTGCACCAGCTATGGTGCAAGAGGCAAACCAAACCAGGTAAATTTTCTATTGATTGTGAAGAAAAAAGTAATTTTCATAGCGTACAAAGTTACTTATAAGTATTAAAGGAGGACTGATTAAAATGCTAAGATTACTGTTAAATTGTGATCTGGTCTACAGGAAATCAGGGACTTCCGGGTGACCAAGGACCGGAAGGATACCAAGGTGAGAAGGGCTCCCAAGGACAATCAGGACCTCCAGGAAACTCCATTCCAGGTTCTCCAGGAGAGAAAGGTGCCCAAGGCATCCCAGGAGACGTAGGACAACCTGGTCAACCTGGACCAACCGGACCACTGGGTAACCCTGGAATCCCTGGAGCTTTCGGCGAGAAGGTGAGTGACTCCACATTGATATCCCACCGCTGCCACCATATAATGTGGGGTTGTTTAAGCTGTATGATTAGTACTGAAATGATGACACATAGAGAATGATCAGAGTTAGGTTTCAATCCAGCATGCCCGGTTATAGTGGGTATAGAAGAGTCCCACACCACAGTGTACATTTACTGTGTGTATGTGTGTGTAGCATTGAGTCAATGTATAAGATCACATATTACAATTAGCATTTTGTATTGACTGGATGGTTAGTTATCTAGATTTAACTCTTTCAGTCAACTTAAAGATATGTGTACTTTGTGGTGATGGTGATTAGCAAAAGTGTTTTTGATATTCATCAACATGTATTACACAAATTATACCTATCATATGTTCTAGTATTTTGATTCTTATAATTATCCACCATACATAACTTAGGAAGCACACAGGACAAGTTGCCTATAAAACTCCTTCCACACTAAAACAAAAATAACACTTGGAGATTGCACTTTCGGTTGTACTGCACCAAAGCTTTGGAATATAAATTTCTCCAGACATATTAGGAAAGGACAATCTTGTAGAGTTTGATGTTTGATCCGTGCTTGACAATGTTGTGGGTCAACCTTGCGTGATGTGACAGGCAATGATGAAAGTGCCTCGATTAATCTCTTGTCTGTCCAGGGAGACTTTGGACCTCAAGGAAACCCAGGTGGACAGGGACTGCGTGGCTTAACAGGACAACCAGGTCAACCAGGTATCGGAGGAGAAAGGGGTAACATTGGTGACCCTGGAACAAGAGGTCGAGATGGTATTCCTGGACAAGCAGGAGGAAAGGGTAAGCAAATAGTTCTTCATCTCTCTCATTTTGTATGATTTTAATATGTAACCAACCCCTCCCCCTGCAAGAAAACATTAAAAATAAAATATATTTAGAAATAATTTGTTGGATTAAAAAATCCAGGAGCTCCTCAATTTAAGATGATTAATGAATAACTGTAATTCTGAAGGCACTTGTGCTATTATTGTTATCTCAATCACTAAATACAGCACGTTACAGGGCATGCACTCCACTCCATGGGGAGCATTCCAGCTAATTTTCTTTTATACGAGCGTGCAAACGCTAATCCAAATACATTCATCTTCACATCCCACGACCTGAGCATTCCCAGTCAAGTGATTAACCCAGTGGACTTCACTATCTCTATGTGTACCTTCCTAGGTGTATCTTTTACTAATGGCCTCACTGATGTAATATATCTGTAACTACTGGAATACCTTCTTGTTTCATTTTACAGGTGAAACTGGACCAGGAGGGCTACCTGGTGGTCCAGGAATCAAAGGAGAACCTGGTCTATCTATCCCTGGTCAGGACGGATCGAGTGGAACCCCAGGGAGAGATGGAGCCCCAGGTTGGGACAAAACTTTCCCATGATTTTCTGATATTCACTTTATTTATTTCACTCTGTTTTAAAGTTTTTAATTTCATTCATTAATAAAATGGGATGAAATTGTAAGGGATCATGAAAGCCATAGACTTTTAGGTTATAGATTTCCAATCAATAAACTGTGCACTGATTATGACTGCTGAAGCTATAGCTACGGTGATGATATCCGACTTCTGTAGTAGTGCTTAGGAGCGTTATATACCATAATGTAATATGTGCATACAAGAACGGTTTAATATTATTATTATCATTATACACAAAGCAAAAACTGAGTCACATAATCATTTTCGAAACATTGTCAAACACATCTTTAGCTATGGATAGGAAGGAAGATAAGTGAACAGAAGTAGAAGAGGGATGAAATAGAGAAGAGCGATTAGGCTTTTTGGTAAATAATACTTAAAGATTTATTTTTCAGTGATTAATTGTTTAATTCTGTATTCTAAAGCATTAATGTAATATGATGAAAAACAATTCCATTTTTTTATTTGACTATGAGCAGGAGGCCCTGGAGAACCTGGACCCTCAGGCCCACGTGGAGAACCTGGCACAGCCGCTCTCAGAGGAGACAAGGGATCACCAGGACTTAATGGTCAGAGCGGACCTCCAGGTCAACCTGGAGACAACGGAGCCCCTGGAAATGACGGAGAACCTGGTCCAGCCGGACAAATTGGTAAGAATGCTGCTTGAGCCAGGAAAAGTGAAAATATGACAACTTTGTCCTATCAAGACATCAATCCATTTGCCTCACGCATCCTAGCACCACATCTTAATTATTAACAGATGTGATTGATTCAAATTAATCGCAACTTGATATCAATTGCAACTCTGGAATAGAGAGATAGGAGTTTCTGAGTTTGCAGTTGATCAGAGAATTTATGATCAACCTGGTTCACAAGGCTCAAGCTAGGGAAGCAAATGGATACTGGGAGGAAGAATTTCCTGGAATTTCTGCAACTTATTAGAGCAGCTTTGCGCGAGCTTTGCTCAAGCTTGGGTAGTTACCTAACACCCTTTGGAAAAGATTAGAGGTATATGATATGCACTATAAAAGAACTCAATATGCTACCACCAATCTGAGAACATTGGTGCTAAAGGTTCATTAGAATTAAGATGGACCTGCAACAGGGATAATCAATTCCTTTTCTTCATCATGACAGCAGATTGATTTGAAATCTGTAGCTACCATTATTGTTCAAAACCGATCAGCCTTATAAGCTCTTCTGTTGAAAGTAGTTTATATTCATATATTCACTATCCGTATTTAATGAAATTGATGACATCCCATCAGTTTTTGTTCTTGGTGTAGTCCCTATACATGTATGCTTGTCTCTCTCAATTGCAGTTTACATTTATGTATTCAGCTTGCGTTCTGAAGGAAATCTAACGATCTTTATCCGATATGTATAGAAAGCCTAGACTGCCATTATGCCATGGGGTATGTTGTATGTTGTACATGCAGAATGTCAGAGTGACAAATGTCAACCGTGGCATTCTGCTGTTTGCTCCATTAGTAGACATAAGCAGGTAAAGAGTTAATCAAATCCAATTTATTTTGTTCTTTGTCCAGGAGTGAAAGGATCGCCGGGACCACTTGGACCTGGAGGATCACAAGGACCACCTGGATCACCTGGACCGATTGGAGCACCTGGAGAAAAGGGTCAGTAGCTTTCTCTTTCTCTTTCTCCACTTCTTTCTCTTCTTTGTCATTCTGGAAGTGTCATTGGACCTCTCTCTTTTCCTTTTCCTTGAATGGGCATTATACAGGTAATCTCTTATTCTTCTTTCTCTCCATTTTTCTTAAAGGGTCATTATACTTACCTTCTTTTCAGCAATCTCTCTCTTCTCTCTTCCCTGTTTTCTAAAAGGTTCTTTACACTTCTGTCCCCCACTCAATATATCTCTCTCTCTCTTTGTCTTTCCCTGTCATCATTCATGCTATACATCCTTCCATTCCCCTAGGGGAGTCGTGGTCAAGTGGGGTGAACATGGGTTTTGGGATGTTAAGGAGAGTTGGATCTCCAGAACAGCCCAAGCATTCCTTTCAAGACATTGACATTTATTTTCCACTCTTAACTTTTTGTTTAGATGGGTGCCTGTATGATTTATACTTTTAAATGCTCTGTGAATTGAGAGTAACTGCCTTAGCTACAACCAAAGTTGGAAGAGTAGGTATAAAAAAGGGAGTTTTAAAGAAGTAGGTTTGCTGAAGGTTGGGACATTAGAAATCCATATCATTTATAATCACTTGATGATTTTGCGTTGCCAATTTGCAGGGGAACGTGGTGGCATGGGAACGCCAGGATCACCAGGGCCCTCTGGTTCGCCAGGAGCTAAAGGAGAGCCAGGTTTGCCAGGACCACTCGGTGAGAAGGGATCCCGTGGACCAGGTGGTGTACCAGGATCCAAAGGAGAATCAGGAATTCCAGGAAGATCAGGTATAGGCCTAGTCATTATGGTGCTCAGACCTAATCTCTGGTGACAATAGGTCTTTATTCGTCAAAAATGCATTGTTATGGTTGTGATTGGGCTTAGGGTTAGGTTTAGAGTTGGGCTTAGGGTTAGGTATAATGTTTGGTCCAGGGTTGACATTTAGAATTCAAGTGTACAAAATTGATGCAGAACACTTGTCGCCAGAGTATTCTACTCCTGTCACGTTGCCTGGCTGACCCCCAACATCACCAATGAAGGCTCGTTCTTATACTTATACTTATACATACAAAGTGTGGTCTACACCTCATTTTGTGTGTGTGTGTGCATGTGTGTCTAGTAATGAATTGCATAGGAAGAAACTTCAAGGTGCTTGAATGCTTGGTAGCTCAGCTAAAGCTGAAGAAATGACATGATATACTTCAAATCAATTGCAGTAGAGTCTGTTTGCAAAGCAGCTGAATTATTTAACTGAATCTACTATTATTATTTTATTACATATCCCACCACTGCCACCAGGTTGTGTTATGGGGCGGGGCCTAACGTCAAATACATAACACACTGTAGATTATGGATACAATAATAAGGGGAATCTTGAGACGATGAATAGACTCACATCTTACTCAGGTAGAGGTTTATTGGCGCGGACCTATAGGCAGAGTTTCAATGATATGCGTTAGCGCATCATGAGTTCCGTTTACAATACATGGTTAAACTATCATAATACAACACGTGGGTCCTGTAGTATAAAGAGTTATCAATTGCAACTTGACATTAATTGCAACTCCTATCTCTTAAGTACACAGTTGGAATTAATTTTGAATTGTAATTGAATTGATTGCAACTCTTTTTAACATAAGGCCCTAGCTGTAGTGCGTAACAGATGTGGGTTTATCTCTAGACTGTGAATCACGTGTTCCTAGATAGATAGATAGAATAGATAGAAATGGTTTTTATTAAAAAGATCATCGCAGCCAATGGCTGAATTGCGATCCATTTCACAAGGTTATATACAATACAATTGCAATTCAAATTGAAATAACACAACATATGACATAAATCAATAATCAATCATATAGACATTTCATAAAAATTCATTGATCAGATTCAAATTTTTGTTAAAAAAAGAAAGAGATAGGGAGAGGTGTAGGAGAGGGAGAGTTGGAGTGATGACAAAGAGAGAGAAGGAGAGAAAGAAAGAGAAGGGGAGGGAGAGAAAGACGGAAAGAGAGAGAGGGTTGAAGAGAGGAAGAGACAGACAAAGGGTACCTTATCATTACAGATGAGGGGAGATGGCAAGAAATATTCAGTATTGCAGAAAATTGAGATAAAAAATATCAAAATTCATTCACATATTTCAATCATGGACTGTGAAATTCTAAAAATATTGGTATTAAATTTCATTCAAAAGATTTATAAAGTAAGGAAGAGAGCTACACTGGAAGCGTTTTGTTTTACATTGGTATTGTTTAAACTTTGATTGAGATCTTAGAGAATAAGTGCTTTGTTGTCTAAGAGGTAAACATTCTTTAAATTGTGGGTGTTTGACAAGTGCATTTGCAAAGTCTATACATAACTGCTTACGTCTTGCTTCTAATGAACATAGATTGCACGTTTCCAATGCTGCTTCATAATTTTCATACTGACGTCCTAAAATGATTTTGCAAGCTCTTTTCTGAATACGTTCTAAAATATATACATGAGTTTTTGTTAAATTACCATTAAAAACCGGTACCCCATAATCTAAAATCGAACGAATGTATCCTTTATATATTAGTAAAAGGTCATCTACAGGCAATCCATACTTCTTAAGGCAACAAAACATAAATAACTTCCTATTACACCTTTTTGTGAGATCGGATACATGACTATCCCACTTTAGGTTTGATTGTAAAATAATTCCGAGGACTTTGGCTTGATGAACATAAATTAATTCTTTGTCGCCAATGAACATTGAAGTTTGTTCATCACAATTTTTCATAAATGTTATAACCATAGAGAAACACTTGGACGGATTCAATGTCATATTATTTTTAGCTGACCATTGGTATAGATCAGTGATTGCATTTTGTAGTTTAGACTGAGATGTTACTTTTCGGCTTTCTACAATCGTTAAGTCGTCAACATATTTATAAATTGGTAAGTTAACATCATTACAGGCATCATTGATCATTACAATAAATAGAATCGGACCAAGTTTGGTACCTTGCGGAACACCAGCATTGATTGTTTTCAAATTAGATAACTGACCAAGATATTTTACCCTTTGTTGAGTCCTGCTGCTGTACGAGTACTTTAGCAAGATATTAATTTACATGTGCCACTCTCCACTCAGGTGTTGTAAATGGGTACCTGGTAGTAATTTATTCCTGGAGTGTTTCCAGTGCCATAGGGCATGCAGCTGGGCTAAAGTCAGGGTTATTAATATAATCATTTGCATATGCCTTGAACATCCCATGGGATGAATATATGTGCACAAAATAAAAGTAGTTATTTACAGGTAATATCATTTCCCATGTTTATATTCATGTGTAATGTCCTTTTCACCCATTGTAGGAGGTATTGGATCTCCTGGCTCCATTGGTCTACCAGGACTGAATGGTGTGAAGGGAGAACCGGGTATACCAGGAAACAGCGGCATTCCAGGAGGAAGAGGACTAAATGGAGAGCCTGGACCCGCCGGATTCAAGGGATTCCAAGGTCTTCTCGGGGTAAAGGGAGATTTCGGTATCAAAGGACAAATGGGTACGTTACGAGGGTTCCGGTGTTTGATAGGCTGTTACCTGACTTGAGGCACCTCTCTGTCTCAAACTTTTAGGCATTCCTGTAAAGAATGTTTAGAGCTTTATTATCCTTGGGGTCCCTTACCAGGCTGAAGTCTCATTAACACATGATATGATAAACCACCTAAAAACAAGAACAAACCTAAGAAAATCTGCTGTGTCACATCAGTGATTATATCGGACTGGAGGTCTAATAATAATAATAATAATAATTTAAAGTCCACTCCAAATTCTATTAAGTTAAACCGAAAATGGAAATTCTTTTTGCCCAATTGATCGTAAGCTCGGCAGCAACTGAGCAGCGCCGGATCGACGTTGCTCTATCCCCTTATTGTTGAACGCCAAACAAGGTAGCAGCAACTCCCCTCTTTTTAATGTCTTTTGGTATGACGTGGCCGGGGTTCAAACCCACGACCTCCTGGTTGTGAGGCGGATGCTCTACTTACCAGATCTATAATGTAGGTCCGCAATTAACAGCACCCCTACCCAGCAAGCCGCAACAGACCAATTTTCAGCTCGCTGGTCAACATCCATCCAGTGCAGCGCAGTAAAACGCTAGCTATAGATCGAAATGACCAAAGCAGTCCAAACTGTAAATTCATTCAATGAGACTGATTGTTCTGTTTTATCAGCTCACACTTTTATGTTGAATTTGGAAGTCTAAACCCACCTATCTTTCATTGTTTGATGTGATGAATAATTCTTGTATTCCTTATTTTAAAAGAACATATGTTAATGAGGAATGCACTGTGTTGTATTGAACACAATCTTATGTTTTTTCCTTCTTTGTGCCTGAATTTGTAGGCTTCCCTGGACCTAAGGGAGACAATGGACCAGATGGAATCCCAGGACAGAATGGAGAGAAAGGTTTCCCCGGAAGGAGTGGTATTCCTGGACCTCAAGGCGCTCCTGGTAGCCCGGGCGAACCTGGAACCGATGTAAAAATTTAAAAGTTTAAAACTCTGAACTTTGAAATCTTACCTGTATTAAGCTCTGAACTTTAAATATAAACGTTAAACTCAGGACGTTAAGGATTTTTAAATTTTGTATTTGAAATCGTGAGTAGACTTTTTACCTTGTAATTTCCCGAAGAGGATATAAGACTTTGATATTTGGCCTTTTTTATGTCTATGGTTCAGGCACCTTCCTTGGACTTAAACTAGCAAACTGAAGCTAGCCATCAGTTTTATGATAGACAGAAGATGCCATTTTGCTGATCATTGCATCATCAATGGAGACAATTGTTATATGCATGCACCCCCATCTTTGTTCATGTTGTTCAATGTCAGGCAGTGAACATTTTGATGGTTGGGTGGCTAACTTTGGTTTACCTGTGCCCATGGGAGCAACATGTATCTGAATGATTGTAAAAAAAAGACGCCTGGCTGGAATGCTCCCCAGGGAGTGGAGAATGTGCATACATTTTATGCGGATAAGCCTGAATCCTATGACCGGGGTAATAATATATATATCTGTAAAGCGCTTTGAGAGGGTCTTTGGTCCTGAAAAGCATTATATAAGAACTAGCTATTATTATTATTAACTGTCCCAGGTGAATACTGTTTTGACGTATCATCGAACTAAATCCTCCATTACCTTTATACTTCTGATTTTGTTGGTAGGGATCGAATGGAGGACCGGGATCGAAGGGAGAAAAGGGACAACCAGGAATCATCAGAGATCTGCCTTGCAGGCTGGAGAAAGGAGTCAAGGGAGATCCTGGACGGACAGGTCCTGAGGGTAGGTATTTCATATAGCAGAAGAGAAAGGGGCAAATATATTAAGACATGGATTGTTTGCGAGATAGACTTTTGAACTCCATACAAAATCAGCTAAAGCCTTCATCAGCTGAATGACCGGTCTGGCTCTTTCTGATGTGTCAGTCAACAAGCGAGCCATAGACGTTCACAAGTTTGTAAACGATGTATATTTGCCATTCTCCACCCAGGTTTAACCCTATCAGGTGCCTAGCTGGAAGGAATTCCTTGGTTGCTTTTAGCACCTTATGGCAGCTTTGCTTAATCCAGGGTAATAAATGTATTACTGTAAAGGCACTTGAGTGTTCCCTGGGATAGATGTGTACTTGAGATAAATACACCAATGATAGCTACTCATAGTTTTATATACTTCATTATATGTTTTGGTAGCAAGAGTACATTTCTTGTATCCACTTGTTTTACACAGGGGCAAAGGGCAATCCTGGTCTTCCAGGGATCCCAGGTGAGTCCGGAGATGCAGGACTCCCAGGATCAGAGGGTAGACCAGGTCAACCAGGAACATCTGGACCACCTGGACCACCAGGACCAAATGGAGAACCTGGTCTTATAGGAAGGACCGGAACACCAGGAGACCCAGGACCAAGGGGTAAGGATTGTTAACCATCGAAGACAATGATAATTGATTTGGATTTTAATCAATATAATTTGAATTTGAAAAATTCAAATTTTGTACTGTTGAAGCAGTTATTGTGGGGGGGGGGGGGGGGAGGTGAGGTACGTGAAGCACTCATCGATTGCGAATTTAACACAAACAAATATTATCAGCAAGTAATGTCAAAATCACTAAAGTAAGCCCCATCGCATAGTGTCTACATACTATAGTACAAACCTCTACTGAGTTATACGGTACAATTTGATAACAAATTGATCGCAATTGGGCATTTTGGTCTCTATTATGTCTCCAAGTTTTGTATAATTGCATGGACATTGACCATTACTGATTTTCTATGTTTTGTGTTTGTTACGTGCAGGAGAACGCGGCTCCTATGGAACCCCAGGAGAAGATGGTATCCCAGGAGTTAAAGGTAATACAATGTATGCAAACGGATTTAAGATTTGATAGTTAATGGATGAACAATATAAAGAGGAAGCTAGATACAAGGAGACTTGAATGAATGAATGATAAAGAAATGCTGACGATTAAAGAACAAATTTCAAGAATTAATTGTGGACTGAGTAACACTTAATGATAACACTTTGTGTTTGGGTATATGTGTGTATGAAATGATAGATATGGTTTGACAATGAGAGGAAAAATAGGAGGAGAAATGAATGGATGATTTGAGAGAAAATAAGCAGTAAATTGAATTGATCAAGCAAAACATCATTAAGGTTTTTTTTAATAAATAAATGTGAATGAATGAATGAGTTTGAAGAATGAATAGAATGGAGGAAAAGCAAATTTAGCAACATTTAAGACCTTAAATTGTACTGCAAGCTCTACTTTATCTTCACAGAGAATTTTTATTCTTTGGTATATCACTTAATCCTTTTTTTAAAACTTGTAGGAGACTCTGGAGATCCTGGCCTCATGGGACTACCAGGAGGACCAGGTCTACCAGGACCAGGCGGACCTCCAGGAGAAAGTGGATTCCCAGGTGTCAGAGGAGAAAAGGGTATTCCTGGAACTCCTGGTTTATCTGCACTTGGCATCAAGGGAGAACCTGGTTTCCCTGGACTTAAGGGAGACTCCGGTAAGAAGTGCTTTGATACTTAATTATTTAACCTTTTTGTTATCTTTGACCAAGTTCTGTAAAAATTCTTGCCCAGCACATCAATTTTTCAAAGATTATATGCAATTTTCAGCTACCAAATAGATTGTAAAGTATTAAATTCATTGCATAAAGGAATGTATTTATTTTTGTGTGTGTGTGTTTTATTAAGTATTAATACAAATTGAGAGCAACTGAGCAAGTACAAAAATTTTCAAAAAATAATGTACTTTAAATGATATCTATTAAAGGTACTATGTCCCTTTTGCAGCCAACCTCAAATTCTGTAGAACTTTGCAGGAATTATGAATATGTCATGTATGTCCTATCTGTGAAATTTAAATTTAATCTTTTCATTTTTTGGGCCTGCAAACGGGACATAGTACCTTTAAGTCGCCCGATACCCCATTAGAACTCTCCTGTTCAATAGCTTTCTGCTACTCACACCTTCTTTAGGTCAACCTGGTCTAAATGGTGGATCTGGATCAATCGGTCTACCTGGCATGAAGGGAACTAAAGGAGAAACAGGCCCTGTTGGTCCTAGGAGCCCACTGCCCCCTGTCATCCCTGGTCCTAAGGGAGAGTCCGGTATTCCCGGAGCAAACGGAGACCGAGGAGAACAGGGAGATAGGGGAGAACCTGGTAGACCAGGATTCCAAGGAAGGCCAGGAGAATCAGGAAGCCCAGGTCTTAACGGCCAAATGGGAGATCCTGGAGCACCTGGGTTCCAGGGACTCAAAGGAAGCAAGGGAGAACCGGGTAAGGCAATCATTATACTCATGCTTCGATTTATCCAGGTGAAGTGAAAAGGCCATCATTACATTGTTGCTTCTCGTTATCCATTTGAAGTGAATAGGCATTTATTCTATTGTTACTTTCTTTAATTCTTGCTTTTCGTTAGCCAGATGAAGTTAATTAGCATTTATGTAGTGCTTCTTGCTGCACTCTACATTGGTGAAGTAAACTGGCAAATTAAAATAAATAAATCTTGTTAATGATAATACAGCCCGGCCCCCTGCATACAGATCCTGAATTTCTCTTAATACCTTGTATATAACCTTGTCTTGATCCCAACTTTCTGTGCATCCCTGATATTTACACTGATGAGTTGAAAGATGTAAAGCTTCAGCATGTAAAAGCTAGTTTAATTGCATTCCCTCTCTTGCAGGTCCAATCCCTAACGTCTTTGAAATGAAGGGTGTGAAAGGAGACCGTGGTGAGCCTGGTCCCGATGGTCCTCAGGGACCACCAGGACGAGACGGACGTCCAGGGTCCCCAGGACCACCAGGTCTGACAGGAGATAAGGGTACGCCTGGAGTACAGGGGAATCCTGGAGTAAGTGGTGTTCCCGGAGAGCCAGGACTCAAGGGAGAACAAGGTATGTTTGGAGAAACTGATCAGTGGTTCTTTTTATTGGGAATTAGTTCTGTGATACATCCAAACGGTATTAACCTGTGATAGTGTCAATGTGTATGGTTCTGACACTTTCCACAGACCTGTGGGGCCAATACTGAAGTTTTTACGATCACCGGAGGTTGTCGCTGTGGCAATCGCCATAAGGCCAAAAAAAAAAAAATTTGGTTGTCCTCGACCGCCCGCTCGTCACTTTCGGGCCGCTCGCATTTTTTTTTTTTTTTTTTTTTTTTTTTTTTTTTTTTAAATTCATTTTTTTTTTTTTAATTCTATTTTTTTTTTTTTTTTTTTTTATTTAATTGTTTTGGGGGAGCAATCTTAAATGCCAAACACACCATTTTATGCATTTGCAAGGATCAAAATGCATCCCGTTGCCAGTTTTGTCTTTTCAGTACGCAATTAGGTATTTATTAAACTTACCATTTTTATTTTTCTATGTCAAAATGCCGTTCATTCAAATCAGGTTCTGAGCATTCTTAAACTCATTTTAAAGCCCATCTGTACTAGTTTACAGGAGGGTTTAGACCACCCTTCAAGGTCACTGGACAGGTGGTTATCTCATCAAATCAGCTCTTAGTTAATATAAGATAAAGAGGATCATGGGGGACCAATGGTCACTGATTAGGCATTGTTTGCTACATAGAGGGCGCAAGTAGCTATAAGTAGTACAATGGAGATTTAAAAGGTGCTGTATTTCAAAGCCCAAAATACTTTCTGTGTTGGTCTTGATATTCATTGTACATTAAACTAGTCTTTTACCATATTAAAGTGTTTTATAGACTGTGTTTGTTTAAATGCTTGACAATCCCAATGATTTTTTTTTTTTATGGAAAAAAAAATATTAAAAAAAAAAAAAAATGGGGAAAAAAAAAAAAAAAAAAAAAAAATCCGCCCGCCCGCCCCTACTCCAGAAAAGCAATCGAGGACAACCAAACAATTTTTTTTTTTTGGCCTTATGTAAATGTCATGCATTCGGTTTCCTGATGAATTAATTGGGACAGCTTATTAAAGATTTCCCCAGCAAAAAACAACAACTACATTATACAGAATTATGAAATACTAGACTAGCCTGGTAGTTATGATTGCTAGACATGGGAATGAGAAGGAGAAGGAGAAATTAACATATTTTAACCCTGTAATCAAAGTGAAGTAACACTGTATTAATAAATAGGTTGGGTGAAATCAGGTTTCATATATTATACCCTATCTTCATATGATATAAGGGTATGTCGTATTTGGTATGGAAATATGTTGTATATTTGTTGACTTGTGAAACATTCTCAACACTGCAGCTTGCATGACATACTGTTGTATTCTAGATCAATACTGGATACCCTTGTATTCCACTAAAGGCCATTCAATATTTCATATGTAATTACATGATGTACCATTATTTGTACCAGGATTCCGTGGGCAGAATGGTCAACCAGGAGACCCCGGTTTCCCAGGAACCAAGGGCGAGGCAGGTATCCCCGGTTCGTCCTCTGGATTCTTCATTACTCGTCACAGTCAGACCACCTCCATCCCGCAGTGTCCCCAGGGAACGGCCAAGATGTGGCACGGGTACAGTTTGCTCTTCGTACAGGGTAATGAGCGAGGCCACGGGCAGGATCTGGGTAAGCATCGAGTTATTCCAGACTTAATATCGGAAAGGATTTGTTATTTCCTATCCTGCCATGAGACTGCAAAATAGGGATTAGCACTGTGGCATTGGGTGCATTGTATGGGGGGCAGCTTAGGAGTTAATCCCTGCCCTAAATAGGATGAAATATAATCTTGAAGGAATTTGTTGAACAGAAGCAAATTATATAGCTGCATTGACATAATCATTTCACAATTGGGAAGAATTTAACCCAAGTATTTTGTCAATAAAATCATTCATGCTTGATATTAGCAACAAGGGTGTTATGCAGTGATGCGAACCCTGGGTTCTGCCATTGTATATCTTAGCAAAATGACACCTACCGGCAGTTGAAATAAAATACAGGTAGTCTAAAACTAGAATAGTAAAAAAATTAGTAAAAAAAAAAAAAAACAGCCCCAAAATATGTTTTTTAACTATTTTCAACACTGAATATATTTTAAGTTCCATTTTCCACTTTTGCATTCTCTTACTTTCCACTTTCATTCTGAAAAGGTAGATCGAATCCATCTTGCTCTCGTTGTGATTAAGTGGTCTAAATGTTTTTTTATTTCATGAGTGATATAGATGAGTTTAGGGTTAAGAGCTGGGACTTAGGTTTAGTTGTAGCCTTTTGTAAGGATTTAAGTCGGCCATTTATCTTGTTTTATAATGACCTGGATCAATTTTCGCAGTATTATCTAAACATGTAAAACAAATGTAAGCTTGATTTAAAAGATGCTGACCCATACTTGATGTCTTCTCTCCATGTAGGCAAACCTGGCAGCTGCTTGAAGCGATTCAGCACCATGCCATTCCTCTTCTGCAACATCAACAACGTTTGTCACGTGGCATCGCGAAACGACTACTCCTACTGGCTGTCGACCACGGAGCCGATGCCAATGAACATGGCTCCGATCAGAGGCGGTCAGCTCCAGCCTTTCATCAGCAGGTGTGTGGTGTGTGAGGCCCCAGCTCAAGTGCTGACCGTGCACAGCCAGACGGTCAATATTCCAGACTGCCCAGACAGGTGGGGGGTCTTGTGGATCGGATACAGTTTTATGATGGTGAGTTCAGGCATCTTGGTGGATGGCGCTTTTATATTATGATTATAGGTGTAGGTCAAATTGATATTAAATTTTTACCATGGCAATAATGGGACCAGACATCATGCCAACCTAGGATATTTGACTGGTGCAAGGTTGAACTTGATCACAATGAAAGAAGTCACTTACTGACCATTTTACATTTAACGTAAAAATAATTTGGATTTGCTAGACTTTTGCAAAACAAGGATTAGGATTATGTTCCAGCAGACAAATATAACTATGAAAGGGGCAGATGACATTCAAATGATCATATGAAATTGAACGTGGAATTTTTTTGATTCAACCTCTAATCGAACGTCAGTTACAAAATTACTCTGTGATTTTGGCATATTTTATTTGTTTCAATGTTGTTATTTTCTACTACAGCACACCGGAGCTGGTGCTGAGGGATCAGGACAGATGTTGTCCTCCCCAGGATCCTGTTTGGAGGACTTCCGCTCCTCGCCTTTCATCGAATGCCATGGCGACGGCAAATGCAACTATTACGCCACCACATACAGCTTCTGGTTGAGCACCATTACAGGCAACGCTCAATTCACCATGCCGGAATCAGAGACACTCAAGGCCGGGTCACTGAGGACACGAGTCAGTAGATGTGCTGTATGCCTCAGAAATCAGTAAACCCTATTCAACCGCTAAACCCTCAAATATATTCTTGGAAGACCGCTAGAGAGGCAACCCATGTCTCTTGACATTAATAACACACACCAGTATGAAGATTGCAACAATAGAAACACATAGTTGTAGGTTAGGTAGAAAGTGAAGCATATTTATGAACTTGTACAGTAGTGTCTTCATAACTGCTTTCATATTCTATGCTTAGATCCACTGTCTTGTCTCCCTCCCTGGCCCATGTTTGTGATACAAGTAAAAGTATTGTACAAATCCACATTCTTAATCTAGTTTTTTTTTGTAATCTAAAAGGCCTGTCTTGCCATTTTGAGCTTCCTTTATACTGAAGTATCAACAAAAAGGTGTGCTTCCAAACCATCAGGTCACCGAGTGTATTATCTGTGTGTGGTCTATAGCGGGCATCTAATTCTTCTCAAGTTTTTTTGTGTAAAATTCATTTATTTATAGGTAAGGGATGAGCATTTTTCTCTTTGTGTTTTGCTAACCTTTGTGCGTATTACTATGGAAACTAAGAACATACTATTTGTATCGGAGAGATAAATTGCACACCTATGCAACTCTGTTCTTGTGGCCTGCATGATTACTTTCACTTGTTTAATGTACTGGTTTTGTTAAATATTGGATATATTCACAAGATAAACTGTAGCAAGAAATTATTTTAGTTTTGTAGGACTCTTTGAAGGATGGCTGCCATTTTTATACATACTAAAATTGTATATTGTACAGTTATCATGTGGTCATTACAATATAGTTTTTGTACAGCTTAAGGTTTGACTTAGAAATCAAATTGTGTGACTCCCTTTGGCAAAAGTAGTTTTATTTTACATTAAAAATACGTCAGGGGATAGTTGTGTGAAGTGCTAAAAACAGTGATATAAACGTAATTGAGGTACAAATGTTGTTTGTACTTTTTTATATCTACATTGTAGTAAGCTTTGGTGATGATATTTAGAAAAGCATCGCAACGTATCATAAATTTGAGAATGTATTTATTTAGACTATTTCTGTAAACACAGTTTTCTTGCTTTGGTGATTTTGTTTCTTTATCAGCATCGATTGTTTAACAGTATCTGCTTCATAGCTAGTGTATTATAATAATTAGTGTCTCTCATATCTATTTCATCACTATATTTACTGAAGAAATCATTTTTTTCATTCAAGTTGTCCGGAGCCATCTATATACAGAGTTTGGCCAATGCAGTTTGCAAATTGGACACAATATGGCGTATGTTGCTTTTGGGGCACATACAACCGAAACCAAGTTGGTCCAACTCTTTGTACAGATGGCTCCGAGGTTGTCCATTCTTGCTAAGCAATCCATGTCATTTACCATTGTGCCTTCTGTGTTCTGAGATAGAATTCACTCAGATTTCACATTCAAATATGCTGCATATTGAAAGGTGCCATCATAACCAGTACCAATTCTCTTGCTACCCAGCTTAGGGGTGCACCAATGCCCCCCGATAGAGATTGTTTTCTGATACCGGCGCATAGCTCTATGATGGTGGGAATTACAGGGAATATAAAGTGATCATGATTTTCAAGTGATATTTATGGAAGCTGCTGTGTTAAATGAGGAACGCATAATAATTATGCTGTGTATGGCTAAATATCAATATTTTCAGTTAGAAAGGTAACAGGTATTAGGGACCACAGATGTTGGAATTTCCTGAGCTGTTTAACTCACGGTGGATGAAGGAATGGGTATTGGTTACACAAAGCTGGCATCAGTGTGTGATGAACTTATCAAGTCAAATTAACAGAAATATACATATGTGTTACTCCATAACGTTTAGATAAATAAGTAAAGTTAGCTCAAATGTATTTATCTTCCCCGCTGCTTCATACTATTTATAAATAATCTTCGTTTGGCAACTTCTAATTCATTTTAGGAGAAAGTTAACACCATGAACTTGTGAATGACAAGGCAGACAGCACTATTTGCGATGTTCATACATGTTTTTGGATGCAAGTAAATGTGGGTTTCATGCATTTTGCTGCCTTAAATTATTCAGTAAATTTCAGGGAATACAAGGCTGCCAATACATGAACTATTACAAAAAGGATTTAATTCCCAACTGTGATACACATGAACAGTAAACTTTTATGTTTTGTAAGGGTTGATTAAATATGCTAATTAATGCTTATAATTATGTGCTCTATCTTAATTATTTCATATTTCTTTCAAAAGCAATTCACCTTTTGATATGACATCTTTGTACTTACATGTAGCAAAATTACTCAAGGATAATTCAATAGGTTTTCAATTCTATTTAAAGAATGTCGAAATGGAAAAAGAGATCACATTTTAATCGCTTGCCTTATTCAAGCCCTATTCAATTCTTGTGTTTCTTGTCATGTACAACAACTACAACAGTATTTTTGATCACTGGAATTCTGTTATGTCTGTGAATGTTATACTGTGCTTATAATGAAAGGACATAGCAGCCTATAAATTACATGAAGTAAGGTTTTAACACATTATTTTTTATTGTAAAAAGTGTATCTCTCAAAATGGTGCTATTAAAGATACAACTCCGAGTAATCCACATTTTGTCCTGCAATCGTCTTTGTAGTGAGAATCTTAGGAACATAGGCTACGCATTATTATACAAATAATACACAGCATATCCCCTCGGGCGAGTTAGATTGTTCCAAAGGTACCTTGTTTGGGTAATTCTTACTTATGCCTGAACAAAATGAAGTGTATTATTTGTTTTATAAGATTATGTTTTATTTGTTTGATAAAATGTTGTTTTATAACATGATTTTACTAATGACCAGTCATTAGCATTTGATAATGACCGGTCATCATCAAAATTACGTGTTAGGCAAAATAAATGCCTGGTCATGTGTATGCTCTCAACCAATCATTTGATTAGGATCCACGTCATCATCTTATAACATAATTTACCACATCAGTAAATAAAATATAAAAACGCACATACACACACACACACACACACAAACAAAATGTTTTGAAACAACTCTCCTTTCATCAGCATCCAATTACTCTGCATCAGTGTAAGATGATAGACAATTTTCCTAATCGGACCAAGTCTACCCTCCTTGAAAATACATACATACAAGATCAATAGAAAATTTCTACTCCAGACGTATTCAATTAAGACATTCATATGTTTAAAAATCAAACGGTAAAAGAGAAAATGATTTCATATCAGGAGGCCCGAATGAACAGAAGTTAATTTAAAAGATGATAATAATAATAATAATAATAATAAAAACGTTACTTATAAAGCACTTACCACCGAAGTCTCTAAGCGCTATACACACAAAATAGACTGATATACAATGATGGCTGATGAGTTGACTGCCTTGCAGTGGTGTGTGTGCGTGTGTGTGTGTGTGTACGCGCGTGCGCGTGGGTTTAGGCGCATGTGTGGGTATGTGTTACTCACTTTTAGCCTATGTAGTATAAGTGCATTGTTGTTAAAGTTTGGTCTGGCGTTTAGTCCAGCGTTGAAGTTTAAAATTCAGTTATACAGCGGTCACACCAACAAGGTCGCCCGAAGACCGAACTGAAAACCTCAGTACCCGCATGGCTGGATTTGGTCGGTTAGATGTCGGGTTTTGCCATAAGACTGGTGTGTTTACTCCTTAGGCCCACCACACACTATACGATCCGACTACAATCGATAAGTCATATCGGCTCCGAAACGTAGCGACTCCAGACCAGATCGTCTATGATATTGAAGCCGACTCGGCTTTTATTTTGTCTGTCAATGCACTAAAATCTCGGTTGTTCGTGCAGCTGTATTCTCAGTCTCATTTGGAACCTTAATTAATAAGATGATGTTCGCTTCGATTTCAATATCTAATATATAATTGTCTTTTCTTCAAAAAACGGATCGCTGGAGAGTCGTATATAGTGGGCGGTGGACTTAAGAAGTCACACCGACAAGACCGACCATATAGACCGACATTAGACTGAAATAAATATTTCATGTCGTCTAATGCAAGAATCTGTCGGTTTAGCGGTGTGACTGACGCATTAGTGTAGAATACTATGTGTCGTCAAATTCTTCGTTTATATAGAGAGCGATCTTGGCCTGTCTTACAAAGAGTTATCGCAAGTCCTCCTATCAATCGCAAGTTGCAGTCTCCTTTTATGTACATAGTTGCGATTGATATCGATCGCAAATAAGGTGCGATTGATATCAACTCTTTGTAAGACAGGGCCCTGACGTTCTGTTACATAAGAAACAAGTTTTGTTAATATTTCATTTGATCTAGTATTTGAATTTTATTACAAAAATACTTTTGCATATATTTGACTTATAAATTCAATTACAGATTTATACAGTTTCTATTTTTGCAAGATACCATAACAGAAGCAGAATTTAGATAAAAATGACATCGATTATTTTTTTTAAATAAAATAGATATCCCTAGATAATAAGAAGATAAAAACAAGTTTGTCAAATGTCAATCGCAAATAAGGTGCGATTGATATCAACTCTTTGTAAGACAGGGCCCTGACGTTTTGTTACATAAAAAACAAGTTTCGTTTATAATATTTCATTTGATCTATTTGAATTTTATTACAAAAATACTTTTGCATATATTTGACTTTTAAATTCAGTTACAGATTTATAAAGTTTTTATTTCTGCAAGATACCATAACAGAAGCAGAATTTAGATAAAAATGACATCGATTATTTGTTTTAATAAAATAGATATCCCTAGATAAGATGAAGATATAAAACAAGTTTTAGAAGGACCTATAACAAATTAAAGGCCCATCCCTGTCCACAAAACAGGGATCTATGTTTTTATCGTCCTTGACAGGACGACATCGGCCGATCAGGATAAACATTATGACGTCATGCTGTATCTGAGAAGCTCACACAACGTACGCAGCAGGGTTAGCCGGAAGCGTTATTTTTTTTCTGCGGCACAGATTGGGGTTAGGTGCGTGTTGAGCCTATGGGAAAGTTTAGGGTTAGGGTTAGGGTTAGGGTTAAATCAAGACCTCTTTTTTCTGTGCCGCAGAAAAAAATGACGCTAGCCAGAATGGTACATTCCCCGCAGTGGACTCTATCGGAAGGACAGGCGCATAGTTTTCTCAACGAAAAATGATTTGACAGACATTAGACAATATTAATAGTATACTAAATACAAAAATACAAACAACAACAACAACCCATAACAAAAAAGAGTTGTATGATACGATTCTTTCAATGAAACATAACAAAACACCTGGGATCGATTGATTGCCAGTAAAATCCAATATTGTGTTTTGGTCAGACATTTTCTGATAGGGCATTGGATTTTTATAATTATTCTATAGAAAAGGGTCACAATGGCAAAGAAACGGAGTAATCACTTAAATTCTAAAGAAAGATGAAGATGTCCTTTTCTCAAAAATTATAGACCAATATCGTTGACATTTATTTGCTAAAACATTTAGGCGACACGTTCAAAAAGCATCTTGGGCTTCTTATTCATTTAGACAAGTCAATAATATTTCATTTTCTTTCACGCTTCACTCGCTCTCAAATGAATCTTTATATCACACACAACTGCGATGTATGGTGCTGAATAAGTAACCTTGACCCAAATAATGTATACATTTTAGAAATTATTACCAAGTGGCAACAAATTGTACTTTTTCGCTTCCAAATAGGTACCCTTTGTATAGGTACCCCCTTTTCTGTTCTCTTTCCAGAAAATGCCCCTTTTTTGCTCCCCCCCCCCCCCCATTTGAAAGACGCTCCGATGGCCCTGGGTTAGGGTCAGCAACGTGTTACTATACTCTACAAGATGCCAATGACGATGAGGATCAATTACAGACAGGCATAGAGGCAGGTGGCGGGGGAACTGGTCCTTCTACATGGAAAACCAACGCCATTCCCAGCTGAAAAGTGAAAGAGGGATACAAAATACAATAAAATTTGGTTTATCATGGAATTATCATCAGAAAAACAAAATAGTACCTCACATTCACTCAAACTGATTGTGGTGTTTCCAAAAAACAAAGTTGAGGCTCGTTCAGATATCTTATGACGCGGTAAACCGGTAAACAACCAAATAGAACATAACAAAACAAAACAAAACAACCGCAGCTGTTTTTTTTTTTTTGGGGGGGGGGGGGGGGGGTCAAGGGGTCCGTTTCATAAAACTGTTGACATAGCTAGGACAGTAACAAATTTGATATCTATAACAAATCTAATTACGACAATGGCAATAAATAAATATAAATCGCAAGAACTCGCAACTATAAACAAGAGGTAAAGGGTACTGCAAACTTGCAATTGGTGGGATCGAGGACTTGTGATCAATCGCTAGTTACTGTTTTATGCTTCTTAAATAGTTGCATTTGATTGGTTGAGGGCAAATTGGATTACGTGAAAGTTGTTATTGATAAATAGTTTTGGGGTCCAGGATGACACTTTTTTTAAAGGCCTTTGGCATATGACTCGAGCTTTATTGATTTGGAATACCACTTGCCGAGAGCCAGAAAGGCTTAAAAAGAAGGCTGAGATTGAATGGTCACGTTGTTAAGAGAGGGGATAGCCATTGTTTAAAAGAGCAATGAACTACAGTTTAACCTGGGGCCTGTTTCATAAAACTTGTTATCTATAACAAATGCTAAATTTCTATGACAAATTTGCTCTCAGCCAATCAGATGCCATGATTTCAGTAGCTTATAACAGTAGCTTGTAACATGTTATTGATATCTAGTTTTATGAAACAGGGCCCTGCTTTAGTGACCACCTGTATCGAAAGACCACCTATCTACAAAGACCACCATTTATGTTTCCCTTGAAAATGGTTTCTCATTTAGAAACATTTACTAAAGGAACCTGTAGATAAAGACCACCTGCCTATAAAGACCACTTTTTTGTCTCCCTTGGGTGGTCATTATAGACAGGTGAATTCACTGTTATCAGGTTGCCGGTTCAAAACCGTAGCAGACCTCACAAGATCTGGAAGGGGACATTAGACGAAGGCATCTCGCACCAGGCCGGACGAAGGCGTGGAGAAACGCCATATAAGGGAGTTAAAATGTCTAATCCCACAGCATATATGGAAAACCTGACGCTGACACTAAACGACAATGATGCCGACTTACCGCGAAGTGGGTGTCGAAGTGGCAATGCATCAGCCACCAGCCAGGATTATCAGCTCTGAACCTTGCTATCATATACCCTCCAACTGGTATCATGATGGTGTCTTTCCTCGGAGGGTTCTTCAGGTTACGGGAGATTTTTCCTGTAAACAGGCATAGTTTAGATAGAGAACATAATTATATAATGTAGGTCTAGTGGATACGTCACCGGACGGTGGATCACATTGTTCGCGGTTCGAGGCCCGCCGCGGCACTAACGTCCTTTGACAAGACATTGATCTGCATTTGCCACACTTGACCCATACGGGTAAGGTAAAGTGGTTCCGGACAAGAAATAATTCCTTTAAATGATAGATATGCTAAGGCCGGGGTATAACAATATTATGGAGGGCCAGGAGTGGCAAGTCTGACAGACATGGACGCTATACAAGAACACACTATTATCATTATTATTATTATTATTCAAATTATCATTATCATTATACACAAATGCCTTGATCTAGCTGCAGTGTGTAAAACACTTTTAACACTTTCTCATAATTATTTCAAACTTTAATTTCACAGTATTATCTGATGCTATCGCAGAGCCAAGCTGAGCTATGCCATGTTTGTTTGAAAGTATCAACAAAGTAAATAAATTAATAACTTACTCAGTATGAACTATGAATTATTGGTTCATAATCATAATGACAATAAAGTTAATGTAGCCTTGTGATTCATCCTCGGTCACGGGATTCAATGACCCTTTTTCACTTTACAGTGCACACTCTCAATACCAGACAGAGTGCATTCCAGTTATAGTCACCATCTTACAGGTGCGCATGTGATCATCCCATCACAATGACATGACATGAGGGTGGTGGTTATTTTACCCGACTGCTAAGAAAGCATAAATGCTTGTAAGTGAGCAACCAGACGGTCGGCGGCTTTAGGTCCTCTCCGAGGGACCTGGTAATAAGGATTAATGCCTTACCAAAGGGCATTAGCGCATCGCCTTGGTTTCGAACCCGGGTCACCGGATTACGAGACCACATGCTCTACCGACTGAGCTATTGCGCCTCCTAGGTGTTCACATCCTATAAGGTACCGATGCAGATCGAAGAGCAGTGAATATACCTGGCTCGACTCTGCCCTATTAATTCGTCATCTTTAATCACTAATCAAATTACAAACCTTGAGCGTCCAGTCGTTTAAAATCCTCGACGGTGAAATATTCCCACATGGTGTCCATTCCAAGAACCTCAAAATAGTATCCATGTATGTGCATCGGATGTGGTACAAGGTTTAAGGTGTTCACATACACCAGCTCCACCACCTATGGTCGTAGAAACAAAATACCGGTAAAAGCTTCACGAGACCGACAGTGATCGACTCATTAAGAGACCGACAGCCCACGGTACCGACGGTCCATGAGACTGACCGCGCTCACTAGATCGACAGCCGATCGATAACCCATGATACAAACGATATCGTTAATTTCGCAGGGTTCTGAGACCGGGTTTACGAGACCGATAAGCCAAGGACTTCTGACAGCCTTTTTGAGGTTTCACAGGGTCGACACTGTCGGTTTCGTGGGCTTATTCTCTAGGTCAACTGGTATCCCCCTGGTGTTATCGCATTAAAACAAAGAATAAGTACTATGCGCTTTTCCAGAAGATTACTCGGGTTCTAGTACAGTAACTTGACACAAAATCCTCCTATAGTTGCAAAAGAGAATATTTCAATTGTTTTAGGGTAAAAAAAAAAATGCACTAAATAATAAAATGCACAAAATTCTAAGACCTCCAAGTGGTAGAAAGTGTTGAAAATTCTCCAAATCAAGGATTAGTATTTTTATTTTTTCCTTAAGCAACATTAGAACCAAGTGTACGCATATAATTATGGGCCGCATGTGTCCATATTTATACATTAATCGACGACTCTGAGGAGCAGCTTACAAGGACGTACACTCTAAAAACCGAAATGTTTAATGTCAATTTAAAAGGGCCAAGGAGTGACCACTCTTTCAAAATGTCAGATTGTTTCTTTTAACCTGCTAGATTCAACCTTTATAGTGTTGGATGAAGCATGTTCAAAGTGTTAATCTACCATTTTGAAAGAGTGGTCACTCCTCGGCCGTTTTAAATGGTGATTTAACATTTCAGTTTTTAGAGTGTACCTCTATAATGAAAGCAAATAAAGTACATTTCAAAATAAAGGAGTGAAGTAACACTAGGTGGAAACAAATATATTTGGTTTATTAGCATAGAAGTACTCTCGGGTTTCTTGTTCGACCTAACCTGATTGTATTTGATGTCAATCCGATGTGTGCACTCGCATGCCTCTCGTGAGCAGTCTTTGCGCGATGTCCGCAGCGAGTCTTTGTTGCACCACGATGCCTCGTCTACATCACGCCAATGGGACAGCAATGGTATTCCTGGGAAATTCATGGTAATATTGTTGATGATGGGAAGATTTGTGAGACTGTAAGTATCTGTTCCAGCTAGCTCGTATGGGTAGAAGACAGGATGATGAACCGACTTTGCCTTGTTGCGGGAAACAGCATTCAGCTCGAGATAGTGAGTGACATTAGCATGGCTTAGGTCATCTTCTTTTTCATCTGAAAATGAAATCAATGAACTCTGTGATTATTTCGTTTAAATGTACCGTACGTCATAAATAAAACAATAGGCCTACACTCAGACTCCGCATGTAAATTAGGCTTTCATCATGTAAGTAATTGTATCTAGAAAGTAGATTATAACAAGAAAGTAGATTATAACAAGAAATTAGACTTGCCGGCATCGGTGAGATCTGACACTAGTACCGTCTCAGGATCACGAAGTGCTGTCTCTGGATTAAGAACCTTGCCTCCTGCTCTTAGGTTCTTGTCACTCATTGGTTTGGAACCGGGAGGTGTGCCTGCATACCGTAAAATACCCAGTTCCTGTGAATGTATAAAAACAACGATAACATTTCTTGAATGCTGTGAGCACCAAAATCGGTATCCGAGCCGAGCCAAGCCGGTGTAATTGTGGGACCTCTTAAGCACTTTGTGTGGTGGATATGTGTGCTATGAAATATCTAACATTTATTGTTACTTTAACTATTTTTCAGGGGCGTTTTCAGGATTTTGTCTCGAGTGAACGGGTACAATTCGGGCAAATCCGTAACAAGTGACGGGAAAAAAAAAGGAAAAAAAAAAAATCGAATTTCTTAGTGCTAAGTCATTTATATTTTCTATGCCGATCGAGGAAAAAAACGTCAGCACATTTGACAGGGCCTTTTGGTATATCATTTGGAAGGAAGTACGAAATCACAATAACACTTTGTGGGAGCGTGTGTGCACGTATAATATTTAAGATACTTAGATATGCACAATTATAGTTTGGTAAATATTAACTGTAGATCCAGTAGCGCTGTGAGTAAAGTCAAATTTAGCAAGGTTATGAAAGATAAAATATTATTGACATGATTTGGAAAAATCGATTGAAATGAAAGGCAATGAATCTTGACAGAAGAGGGCGTGTTATCTCACTGTGTGGGGCCTGCCAATTTCGAGACGATTCGGTCGATCAATGGAACAACCAGAAGACTGTATACAGATAGCTTTTCTAACAATTAAGTACAGTGGATATGTAACAAATATTATACAATAAATTTAGTAGTCTAGGGTTCTGATTCATAGAGGATTTAAAAAAAAGTAGTATCTAAAAAAATAAGAACCTGGTGTTGGGCGCAAGTAATTAGCCCAGCAACCCGAATCCAGTAGTTAGTAGGTCTCTGGTCAGCGTTTAAGATGAAGTCATATCTCTCTGCGGAGAAGAGGGTGATCCTATCCACATCGATTGGATTCACTGGGGCACCATCCATTGCTATCACTTTCAGCTTATGATTATCAACCGAGATGGACAACGGGCAGACATCGTTGGCGGCACTTATAACCCGGAAGCGATACCTTTGACCTGAGGTGACATAAACGACATGATGATCGACTGTCGCAGTGGTGTTGCCAGAGTTACTGAGTACTTGGTTTGTTCCTAGGAAAGAAAAGACAATTCAAGTCAGCTTCAAACCTTTTCCATCCTTTCTCATAATAATGATGATAACGATGATAATAATGTAGATGAACTTTTAAAGCGTCAATAAAGGCGGAAGGCCTCTAAATACGCGTTTAACAACACAGTTAAAACAAAATACAATTCCATGCTTACAGATCTCTCACAGATCAATCCCTATATGAAATTAAAAAAGATATTAATGATATCAATAACACAAAGTCAATCAAGTAATTCAGAAACTTAAACATTAAAAGAAAAGGAAGAAATATTTAAACATGTCAAATTGAAAATCGATATAAGTCAGTATATCGGATATGTATTAATAAGTATGGGGTGAAACCTTACACCAAAAGTTTAGAATTAATGACGAAAAAAGGGTGAGTTTTAAGAAGTTTGTTGAAAGTGTGTAAGATAGGCTTTGACGAATGAACACAGGGAGAGTATCCCAGTGAAAACACAATAAATCTATTTTTCACAAAGTTTTATATTTTCGCTCTCTCTCTCTCTCTCTTTCTCTCTCTGTCTTTATCTCTCTTGATTGTTTTCTCCTCTCTCTAGATCAACTGACATCAATTATATAAATTTCTCTTTGCATTTACACAATCGCCTATCAAACAGTTCACGGCTATGATAGTGGTTGTGTGTCCGGATAAATAAATAAAGCGATCACATTTGACTTCGGATCAAACAATATAAAATATCACTAACCATTGACATTTACGGTGGGAGAGAAATTAATTCCCTTCATTTCTTTGTTTCTAGGTCTTCAAATTTCTTTACTTTCTATTCCCTTCTTTTTGCTTGTTTTATTTTCATTTTTAAACAAAATATATCTTCCTTTCAAAACAATGGTATTCTCGTCATTATTATTATAATAATTAAATGTCTGACATCAAGTGATTATAAAGTTTTTTGTTTTCTTTACATGATTATATTAGTACAGTGTTTTCATATTCTGTTTTCATTGTAATACATGTAATCATATTGCATTTTCATTTATGGAAACAATTATTTTGTGGGAAATTTGTGAATAATTTGTATCTACTGTTTTGAAAGGGAAAATAAAAGGAACCAAAAATAAAAATTTGTATTCAGCCAAGCCACGCCCTCTATAGAAGTAAAGCGATTTCGCTGTTTTTAACATTCTTTACATAATTATCTCAAGAGTAGCCCGTACCTCTTCCGTTGATCAATATTCCATCATTTGCATTTATCGCAACACCACTCTGCCCGGCAGTAGAAATGGTTATCGCCATGGACTTCGACCATTCCTTGATAGTGATCACGTGGTATGGGTCGTCTTTATCATACAGCGCTCGATGAGGATCGGATTCCGATGATTGCCGAACTATTAACGAACCATATATACCGTCTGCACGATGAACACCAGCATGAGAATGCCACCAGTGGGTACCTGTGTGAGAGGAGTGTTGTGACAGTTTGGTGTGCGCAAGTGTGGGTGTAAGTATATTTTATATAGTTCCGTTATTTTAAAAAAAATACAAAGTACGAGGAAAACAGAATTTCAAGGAGTTTAAAGTAGAAGTCTCAAGTGACAAATATGAATACATAACTTCAAGGTATAATAAAGAAGTAAAGACGTTTGTTTTATCGTCTACGTAGGTCTGCATTATTATGGAGTGATTTGAGAAAAGCGATATGAACATAACTATTAGTACTGTTACTACTACTGCTACTACTATCGCTACTATCAATAATGATATTGAAAAGTTAGTAATAATTGAAATATCCTACTACTTGCTTATACAAACACAACTAATACTAGTACTTACATTACTATTACTACTTCAAATCACAAAATAATAATGAAATTACCAATAATAATAAAAGCCCATTACTTATTTCAACAACAGCAACTATTCTACCACTGCTATTACTACTACTACCACTACAACATATACTGCTACTTTTCCTTCAAATACAACTGCTGCTACTACTATAACAACAATACTATTACTACTACTTCTGCTATTCCACCACTATTACTACTACCAATAATAATAATAGCCACCTACTACTTACTTCAACACAACAACAACTAATATACTACTACTACTACTACTACTACTACTACTAATATTAATACTATACTACTACTATTACAACTACTACTATCACTATAACAACTATTACTATGACAACTACTAATATTGCTACTACATGTACCACTATTACTACTACCAACAATAATAATGAAATGAGTAATAATGATAATACCCTACTATACTTACTTCAACAACAAAAACCACTACTATACCACTACTAATACTAATACTACTACTACTACTACTTCTTAAAAAAAAAAAAAAAATAGCTACATCTATATCGCACAAAATATCAAGGAGATGCTCAGAGTGATACAGGGAAGATTGCCATGAATTTAGCTAAGCTGCCTGAGGCGCTGTTTACAGCATTGAAGGGATTACTTCCTAGCAGGTACCTCCATTCACTGCACGTGGGTTGAGATTGTCTAAAATGTAAGATTAGTGTCTTGCCAAAATGACTCTGCGACTGGGACTCGAACCACGAACCATATTGTTCCTCAAGTTCAGCGACACACCCATAATTACACCTCCAACAGCTTGAAGATTGTATATCTGTTTACATTGCAAGATTAATCTATACCGGTTTTAAAAGGGTGGTTATTGGAGCTAATCAAAACCGAAACTGGGGAGTTTTGTAAAGCGATTGTGTTGCGCAAAGCAATCCTTCCGCCAATCGGTGCCTATATTGTTGGGCACAAAAATTGCACTTTTGGCAAACGAGCGACAAGACAGTGCACAGATTTAAGCAAACCAAACAAACTAAGGGTTAAAGAGAGAGAGGGGGCCGGGGGGGGGGGGAGATAATTATTTTTCGTACCTGGCTGTTCTGCTTTGAACTCATAAGTGAAATCATGACCTGCATTGATAGGGCATTGGGTAACTCTTGATACCCCGTCCATGTGCTGAGTGCCTCGCATATGGAACCCATGCCAGTGAATACTTTCAGCTTCTTCGTTCTGCAATCGGTTGTGCACACGAACCCTGATGATATCATTTTCACAAACCTGAGAATGATATTTTAAGCAATGATATTATAGCGAACTGTAGAATATTTTGAAGGGTTATACGTGTTACTTAAAGTTAAATCAAACAACCTACCAATTAGGTGAAAACCGATGCGACATTACCCATCAGTTTCTTTAAAAGTATATGGTTAGGGTTGCGATTGGGTTTTAAGGTAAGTACAGGGTTAGGGTAAGGGTTAGGATTAGGGTTAGAGTTGGTTGAGTCCAGGTTTGAAGTTGGACATTCGGTCAGTGTAGGAAATTGACCCAAGAGCAGTTGACCCAGGCCTAGGAGCATGTGTCGTACTCTTAACCTCAAGGGAATATCAGTTCTTTCTCCATGTATGGAGATACAAGCATTGTTTTTAAACTCATTCAGTAACACGATCTCAAAGGAGATATCGACTCAAGGGCAATTTAAGTTACCTATTCTACCCTTTACAGTCATTTTCGGATTGCGTAAGACGTCCTTGTTTTTGCTGGCTCATTTCAATCGATGGCGGAAAAGTCTATACTGAAATTGCCTAGTTTTTATTTTTCGAAAGTCTTTTCGATCGTGCAGTTTAATTTGTACCTTAGTAGGTCCATGGTAACAGAAATGAATACAAGTGTTTATCAATCTGAAATTCAAATCACCTGGATACTCGGTCCGGGTTGCCGACGGTTAACCGAGTAGACGGGTCTGGCATAACCGGCCATGGGTATACAGTGAGGCCGGTGGCAATCGAACTCATTGAATGGACATTGGTAGCAAGCACGTGACATGGAGTAATATGATTCAATAGTCCAGTCGTACTCGCACGTCATAGGTTCACCTCCAGTACATTCTCTTAAACATGGATGGTCCAGATCGTTTATCCAATAACCTGTAATAAAATACAGAGTTCGACAGTTGCAATTTTTCATAACACTAGGTCCTCTCAATGCGTTTTCCCATTCACAAAATTCTTACAAAGAACCAAAAAGAAAAAAAAAGAAGAATTGAATTGAATTGAATTGAAATGGTTTATATCAATCAAATGTCATCTCGGCCAAAGGTCGAATTGCGAAACATTTTACAGATTACATGTACAAAATATATACAATCATAAATATACGTACACAAACACACATAGAAGAACGTACTAAAGAAATAATAGGTATTCAACAAGACATATGATGTTACATGTATTGATTGAAGTGGAGAACTATTTTGTGAAGGCATAAAATGACTTTGGTGCATTTTCCAATCACAGATCATATTAATTTTACTTTGAGTATAAGGAATGGCTGATATGATAAACTGTATCTATACGACTAAAACAGGATTGCAGAAAAATACGTTATGCGTAACTGATTGATATACTACTTGAAATTAGTTTATAATTTAGAATTAATGTGTATTGGTGTCAATAAATGAGTTATGTTATTTAATTGAAGCCAATAAGTAGAAATGCAAATTGAAATAGCGTCGAAAAACAAATAGTGTCTAATCAAGTTATTAGGCTATTATCAGTAAGACATGTTTTTACATGCAAGATAGGAGATAAAGGAGTTGAATCAAGGAAAGAACAGAGATGAAGAAAATGAGTAACCAGATATTCGAGTAATTATGTTTCAGTATTTATCATTCAAAGGTAAAATATTACACTATGTGACAATTGCAAAGGAAAAAGTTCAGGTATACAAATCTTCATGAATAGCAATAACAATGACAGATAAGGTCATTCCTTTCCAAAACGAGGAAGGGAAATTGAAAAAAAGGGAGAAAATTACGAACTAAAACAAACTGAAAGAAAAGGTGAACAGGCGCGTACGCCTTGACTTTTTTTTCTTCTCTTTATTAAAAAATAAAAAATTAAAATTAAAAAAATTATGCCAATGGCTGACCTAAAAAAGGTGACCTTACCCCCCCCCCCCCCCAACGGAACAAAATGTGAACTTCTCGAGACCAAAAAAAAAAAAAAAGTGCCCCCCCCCCCCCCTCCCCCACTGAGCGACTTTTCGGCCGGCGCGATTTTCAAATTTTCCGGAGCAAAATAATAAAGCTGAGTCGTTGCGAAATTTTGGGCCCGATTTTAACCCCCCCCCCCCCTTGAAAAAATCCTGCGTACGCCACTGAAGATGAATAAACACGTATGGTTGTACAGTTTTTAAAGATGCAAAGTACAATGTATTACATTAATGACGAAATTAAATTGAAAAGATAAAATGAAAACAAAATGTCCCGCCAGTAGCAACCAATTTTTTTTTAGTGGTAAATATTTGTTTAACACGACATTATCATGTACATATTTTGGGGAGCTGTTCCCGTTGCTGCAGCTTTGACTTTTAAGGCACGTGATATCTAAAACCGCAGCCTCTTTTTAATAATAAACAAAGCTTCAAATATATAGTTAGTTAGTTAAGGGCGCACTTTCTATATAAATACATAGTAGTATAGTTCAACCTGTTTCTCACGCAACGTTTATTTTTTCTTCTTCAAAGGTCAAGACATAATAACAAATGGTAACTCATTTCATGAGGAAACACTAGCTCCTCGAAGTCTAGACAGTTTTCACTGACGGTACAATTTTTGATAACCCAGCTAGTGCAGTAGAGATGTGTGGTCAGCATCGTTCATTGGTCAATTCAAGGATAAACAAATAGTTCCTTTTCATGTTTATGCGGAATGGAATTATTTTAAAGTAACCTTTGAGCTCGTATATGCGTGAGCGTGTGGCTTAAACATTAGGCCCGTTCTCACATAGTGCGATTTGGATCGCGATGCAAATATCGATTTATTTTGTTTGGGTTTTGTTTTGTTTTTGTTTTTTGCGACCGTCCACACATGTCAATTTAATGTCAATTTAGAGCCAATTAGATCGCGATGCAAAGATTGATTTTTTGGGGGCGACCATTCACACACAGGGAGAAATCTCGCTCGACGGCAAGAATGTCCGAACTGCGCATGCGTGAATCTCGACGGTGTATACACTCTTGGAATACTGGGATTAAATAAATCGATTTAGGATTCTCAATACCGTTCACACATAGCGCCTGGCAAACTATGCGAAGATTAGAAATCATTCTGTCCACACACGCAAAAAAAAAAAACAAAAAAAAAAACAACGTTTTTTGATCGCGATACACACACACACACAATATATATACAAAATCTCCTTTTTTTTCTGCAGGTGTGAATGCCCCTTTTGTCTATACATAAGCCATGGACTACTGTCAAAGGCTATGCAAGAGATATCATACACCCCCCCCCCCCAGTTCCCTCATTATCCATTATCTTTCTTATGTTGATTCTAAGTTCCATTGAACAAGTCTTTCAAGTTTATGAATGACTTAGGGTACGTTTATGCTCAGTTTTGAAGGCAGAATGAGCGATTTGAAACGCTCATCGTAAACGCTCATCGTAATCGCAGTTCCACTGTGTACTGTTTATGCTCACTTCTCTGGCTCCTCCAGACAATTCTGGCTGGGTGGCCTTGCAGCTAGATTCGCAAACCTGCACTGCGCATGCTACGCAGACCCACTAGAGGTTAGTGCGTTGACCCCATTTAAACGCGTTTACAAAATTGATTGTGCGTTTATGCTTCCCCAGAATCGCCGATCGTAAATGCACCTTTTTGTGAGTTTAAGATCGGCGATTACGATCGCCATTTTTCGGTGATTCTACAAAAATGAGAAAGGACGCAACCGTGTTTTGAACTAAACGCGTATAGATGCCTCATTCTGGCCAGAAAGGCTGAGCATAAACATACCCTTAGTTATCAAGCATGATTTCACAATGATTCACGATTTTTGTTCCACTATTAGCTTTGCAGAGTAGTGTGGAAAATATCCTGACAAGGCATTTTATCCGCATTGCTTCTCGCTACCCAGGTGTTACAAAGGATACCCGGTTGGTTACGAATGTCAATGCGATTGGATTAGCGACTGGCTGGAATAGGAGAACATCAGAAATTAATGATATTTTTGGTGTCGACATAGGAGAGAGTAATTATCCACAACTACATCATGATTGCAATCCACTGACCTAACTACCAATTTGAGATTCGAATAGACTTAGTGATCTCATATTATTGGTCCGATGAATTTCGAACTTCCGCCATTCTGTTTGCCTATTTTTCTGATGACGGAGTATGTGGTTTCCCTATACATTTTCATTCCATCTCTTTCTAGAATATGACGTACTGTACACAGTTGCCTATCAAGTTGGAATAATATTTTCTAACCTCGATCTTTTCATGAAATGTTTGAGACAATGTAAATTTATTCTTGATAGATAAAGCTTATCAGAACGTTATTTATCAATCTAAAGGGTCTGAAATCAATAAAGTTCTGTGAAGATACTGAAACAAAGTTAATAGAGTGTTACGGAAACTGTCGATCTCACTGCTCTCGTCTTCAATCTTGCCCTCAAACCATGAAAACCTTTTATTTTCCCGAAACTGTCAAAGCGGCTCTTGCTTGAACATGAACCATGCACACACACCATTATGTTACAGAAGAGACGAGTCGATATGTTTAAATTCTATTCATTAACTATTTTATTACGAAGGAAGGCTTCTCAATATGAAGTCGAGTAAGTGTGCTTCATATCCTTGGCATCACTATCAGACTGATGACAAGTTTGGAAGGCGGCAGCAAAGACTCGAGAAGAAGTCCCCCCCCCCCCCCCCCCCCCCCCCGCCTTTTGGATCTCCCCGGCTTTTATCGGGAGCTATATCTTATACTGTTTTCGAGCATACAACCCGACCTCGAAGCTAAGGACAGAGTCTTGACGTCAAATTCAGGACAAAGCCTGACCTCCGCTATTGAGGGCCGCACGCGAATAAAAGACTGCCCCGTGTCGTTTTCGATTTCGGTTTTTTTTTTTTGTAATTACGGACGCGTAGGCACGGCCGAAAAAACAGAGTGACTGTCGTAAATCTAGTGAAGGACTATGGAGTTTGACATGCCCCACAATGACCCAATGCATGTATACTTTTCATTTGTGAATACTGCACGTAATACAGACGTATCTAAATTCGTTACACGTATGTAATAAAAACATTAAACCATGTCATCACAATCATGTCATGAAAAAGGTAATAACATTATTCAAAATGTTCTTCAATGTATCTGCATTTGTACGACTGTTCACGTTTCGTTGTTGTTGACTTATTTTAAATAGGATCTAAAAATCAAAGCTTAACACTAGCATGAAGGTGGAAGATGTCTAATAATTAATAATCGATAAAACCATGAAATATAGAAAGCGCAAAGTCAGCAGAATAGTTTGCATGCATGGAACAGGAACGATTACTCAAATCTAACTTACCTTGAACAACCGTTGCAATAAACAACATGGAAAGCACGGGGCAGATAAGTTTCCGCATTATCGTTTTATCCACAGGAAGCGGAAATCACATGGAGGATCACAAGAAATCAGTGCGCTCCTGTTTTTAATACTAGGCGAAAGACAAAACAAGCTTAATTTCAGCGTATGTTAAAAATACATCGTGACCTGTTTTTAATAGTAGACGAAAGTGAGACAATATATTTCAGCATTACATCTAAATATAAACATGACTAAAACTAAAAAGGATCAGAATACAACCATATACTGATATTCTAGATGTCTTTGAGTAATATGAAGGAAATTGCGTGCTCACCTATAAAATCGTCAAATATACACTAAAGTAAAATGTACAATAAAATAGTAAACACTTTAGAAAAGTGTATCACACGTCTAGTCCATGAGTTTTGAACGAGTAATTAAACTCTTCCCACGTTCCACTTACAGAAAGAGAGGGCAAGGACTAAATTGAAGACTGCGCCGTAGGCTGATTGTCAAATAATTTGAACTTTTTTGGCAAACATTTGAAAATAAGAACTCGAGTTTGCTTTGATTTTCTAAAGGAGTATGCCTGTTTTACCAATGTAGTTGGGAGAGGGTGGGGCGGGTTATTACAATTTTAGATGTGTTTTGTGTTTTCTTGATGTCTTCAATTTTACGACAGTAAAAAGAATTGCTGTATTTTACTTTTTTGCAAATTCATTTTATTTAATTTTTCTGGACCCAAAGGAAGAATAGTTTTGTCATATTAATAAAGGCGAGTGGGCTATCCAGCCATTCACTATATTCTTGATTTTATATGTACTTTTCTATTTTGTTGAATAGTTTTTTTATATTGTGGTTTATAAAATGAATACTATACCATACTATGTCATAAACAGGTCGACTAGAAGGCTAAGGGTAACATGAAGCGAGCAACCTTAAATCAGGTCATAAACTCTTCAAAACTCCAAATAAAGTTTTTAACATGTCAGAAGAGCCGAAAATGACAACAATTTCAAAATGGAAGATTTACACTTTTGATCAAACTTATGCTCGATTTAAGCTCTACTGCATTGGTGCAGCATGTTAAAAGTGCAAATCTATACTATTACGAAATGTCATTCCTTAGCCATAATTGTAATGTTGATTTAACGCATTCGATTTTAGAGTGCAGACGAGTATATAGATCACACAAGTAACAAAGTTTCACACTTTGCATCCCGAATCAAACAAACGAAACAAGTAGCCGTTGATATCTTGTTAAACAAATATTTACAGATTCATGAGAAATCTCTATAAAATGACATCATGCTTGCACATAAGAAGCAGATAATGAAGTATGCAATAAATGTTGTCGTGTCCTTCATATTACAACAAGGATTGACCGTCTTTCGTGGGCTAGGTTGACAAACTTTTATTTGAAAATAGTTCAAGTTCAAGTTTATTCATCATGCTACACTGTAGCTCCTAAAGTTGAAAATGTTTCTGCCCCCTTTTTAATGAAATTATCGTGATAATGTGATTTATTCTTGATGTACACAATGTATATCTTCTCAGGTACTCTCAGCATCTTCTCAGTACAAAGATTGATTATTACAGTTCTAAGAAGATATAAACTTTTCACCAAGATTAAATCCCATTGTCACAACCATTTCATGAAAACAGGGGGTGTTTCACAAAAATCCTAAGTTGAATCTATCTCTAAGTTGGACTTAACAATTATGGAAAGCCGTTAGAATCCATGAAAAAAAATTGTAAAAGTTATTTTAAATGGCATAAAATGTTGATTCAAATCGTTCATATTTTATATTATCAAGGAGATTTCATGTTCTTGATGTGGAATTCATAAAAAGTCTAAAATACTTGAATTATCACTTTTAAATATATTTTGTTTTAAGGATACCAATGGCTCTCCATAACTTTTAAGTCGAACTTAGAGTTAAGTTTGACTTCAGATCTTTGTGAAACACCCCCCAGGTCAGAAAATTAGTAACAACTTTATGGGCAACAGTGTAGTTAAACATACATCCATTAATCAAATTAATTATAAACAAGAAAACTTCTATCATCCGACGTGGGCGAGGTCAACAAACTTGTATGTTACAATAGTTCAAGTTCAATTCCAAATATATTCGTCATACTCTTTATACGTAAATCCATACACGTGGACATTGAAAAATGTCACCTTTGTACTATATTGTTCTCTGTTTTCATGTTCCTTTAGTTGGAAATTTCCTTTCAATGCTTTAGCGTCCTGTCTTAACATGTCATTTTTTGTTGTATATCTATGTTAACCTTAGTTTAGAATGTTCACCTCGGTGAATAATATGCATGGTGTTATCAGTTTTCAAATTATGGATTTATTATTAGATTATTACACCCCCACTTACAGATTATTCATTAGTTTGTCCTTTAAAAATAAATAAATAAAAATGAATATCAATTTTAGGGATCCGTATACTACAAGCCATGCTTCTGAGCGGTTCCCTCCATTTCCAGAGTTTTCTCTTTAAAAAAGTATACTTAATTCACAGCAATTGTACAGTTTCTTTTTGTAATTCTACTAATTATTTGCAAAATGCATTAAATATTGTATATTCATGTCTCGATTGAAATTTTTGAGGTCACACTTATTTATATTTATTGTTCTCTTAGACATGAACAAAAAAAACCTGAAAATGAATCTGAATTGATAAAAGGAAGACGAGGAGACCGTAGAAATGGCTTAGACTGTAAAGGTAAGGTCCCTCCAAAAACATAAAAACAATTTATAACAATATATTTTATGAATAAAATAAAAACAAAACTCCAGAACGTACTATCAACAAAAGTATACTATACATACCAACAACATGAACAATGATAAATGAATTGGTCGAAAACTGTTGAACTAAAAATAACCTGTTACATGGTTAGGCTATAACAATACAATAATAATAGTAATCATACTTAATAGTAATAATAATAATAATAACATAATAATACTTATTATGACGATAACAAGAATAACAACAATAATAGTGATAATAATTAAATTAATGATAATAATAATAATGAGTAAGGCTTGAGTCTAGAGAGTTCCTAAAGCAAGCAGGAAAACATCTGAATTAAGATTATATATTAAAGAACCCAACTGCCGATAATAAATATCTTGTAACTTTAAGATTCAAAGATCACAAAAAACATTTGTTTATGAGCACGAAAGTAGCAATACAAATTATAATTATCTTTCTCTGTAAACCAAGAATAATTTTATCTAACTACGTTTTGAGAGATTTACCTCAAGTAAGCAAAGAAGAACTGAAGTTGAAGACAAAATCAGTAAATTGTCTCTCACAATATCGCAAGAGTGAAATGGAAAACAGAATAATCCCAAAGAACTTCGTGAATGAATCATAAATTCTTTGCCATACTCCATGCCTAGGCCTATTTACAATTTTGATAATGCTTCTATTCACTTTTTTAAGTAAAACTTGAAACAACGACAACTGATATGATAATGATGATGATGATGATGATGATGACAATAATAATAACAATAATAATGGTAATAATGAAAATAATGATAAGAATACTAATAATACTCCTAATACTACTACTAATAATAACAACAGTAATATCATAATAACAGCAAGAATAAAAGAGATGATGATAATAATCCTGTATGTATATAACACTTTTTCCAAGGGATACAAGGCGCTTTCCCTTAGTCTAAGGACAAATAGTGAAGAATTGTAGAGGTATGTTTTCAAAAGTTTCAAAAGAAACGTAAAAAGTTTATTCCATAGACGTGAGGCAACGGATTAAAAAGATTTGATGTCGGCTTTTTTTCTTCTTCGGGATTCGGATTTGAGAAAGAAAGGAGCTGAGGTAGATCTAAGTGAATATGATGTTCTCTGTTTCAAAAGGAGGGACTTAAAAAAAATTGTAATTACAAAAGTAAATTTGATAATTGGATTAAAATAACTCACCTCTGGTTCAACTCTCGTGAAAGGAGCTGTTCTGATGTTCACTTTTCCAACTGTTACACTCAAAACTAACGAAAGCCTTATATAATGATATTGTCAGATTTCAAGATAACGACACGAACGCTAAACACCATATTATTTTATTGTATCCGTACTACTTAAAAACGTACGCTGCACGTACACGTCTACGCATGCGCACTTGTCTAGAATTTTGTAATGCCTCCGCCCACCGAAGGTGTGTCGTAGGCATTACGTTTTCGGTTTGTCCGTCCCTCCGCCCGCCACTTTTACTCGTCATACTGATATATTAAGAACCATTGAAGGTGTTAGCCTCAAACTTAGTGATAGTATATATTCTCATAGGACGACATTCTCAGTAGGTCAAAGATCACATCGGTCAATTTAAGAAATTAAAGGTTTTTAGCCTTGCTATCGCTATATCTCAAGAACAACTTGAGCCAGTAGTAAACAAGTATTCAGTTGGCATTTCCCGATGATCAACCAGAAGTTAATCACCGGAAGAGAGTGGACAGCTGGAGGTATTTTTTTTTTCTGATTCAGCCACAAGCCCATCCAGGGGTCAATTGAGAGTCCTAGTATAATTTTGGTAAACGCCAAAAAAGGGGGTCAATTTTCTTTGAATTAAATTGAAAAGTAGCAAGACACTTATAATCCGAAGGTTTATCACTTTTAGGTCGCTGTTATAAAATTAAAACCTTGAAAGCCTAAAAAAGAGTGAGGGTCATTTCCAGGATCGGCCTACCCTATCTTACAGCCCCCCCCCCCCGACGATCTGGAAAAGACAATTACTTCCCCTGAGCTTAAGGGAGATATAACAACCCATGCAGTGGCGTACGCAGGATTTTTTCAAGGGGGGGGGGGGGGGGGGGGGGGGGGGGGTTAAAATCAGGCCCAAAATTTGGCAACGACTCAGCTTTATCATTTTGCTCCAGAAAATTTGAAAATCGCACCGGCCGAAAAGTCGCTCAGTGGGGGGGGGGGACACTTTTTTTAATTTTTTAAAATTATTATTATTAAAAAAAAAACAACGAAAGGGGGGGTTTAGGTTTGTTTAGGGGGGGGGTTTACATACATAAAAATACAAAAGGGGGGTTCAACCCCCCCCCTCACCCCCCCCCCCCCCCCCTGTGTACGCGTCTGGACCCATGCATGTATGGTGGAAGCATGAAATGCAGTAATGAATATATATTAACTTACAAAAACAATCTTCGGGTTTTCAGCAGTCAGCACTCAGCTCAGAGATTCTCATAGAACAGCAGCCTCCCGAATAACAAGTTGCGGTTTAATACAACTGTGCTCACGGTCACCTATCATGATCACGGGTTTGGGCCTTGATTTTTTTCTTTTATTGGCGCAAAACACATAACTTGTTTGCACCTAGACCCGTAACTAAGAGGGGTGTGAGTGCGTGCGCCCCCCCCTCCCCCACGTAGCGACAGCAGTTCCGCTATAAAGAAAAGAAAGAAGAAAAAACGGTTTGGTGTTCAAAATTGTACCTAAAATTTATTTTTAGACAGAAAGATGCCACAATTTTACCTACCTTGGGAGGGGCGACACCCCTCCCAGCAGGGGCGTACGCAGGATTTTTTCAAGGGGGGGTTTTAAAACGACTCAGCTTTATTATTTTGCTCCCGAAAATTTGAAAATCGCGCCGGCCGGTGGGGGGGGGGGGGGGGGGGGTAAGCGGACATCTTTTTTTTTTTTAGGGGGGTTTACATATCAACATATTACATATTTACATTTAAAAATATCAAGGGGGGTTCAACCCCCTAACGCCCCCCCCCCCTGCGTACGCCCCTGCCTCCCAGACCGCCCCCCCCCCCCCCCTTGGCGCCTCGAGCCCTCGAAAGGCTCACAATGGCCTGCGTGTTTGGGTCTTTTGAAAAATTTGTTTTAATATTTCTTATTTGTGCAAAACACATAACTTATTTGCACCGATGCTTCAATGAAAGCTTGTTACACACAATGAATAACGTTTGCTATCTACTAATATGCAAACTCTGTGGAATGTTGATCCATCATGTCGAATGCATTCTATTAAAAATATTTGGAAGGCGAAGTGAATTCACATAACCAACCATGCCAGGCTTTCGGCCTGTCTACTTTTTCTCTCTCTCTCTCTCTCTCTCTCCCTCTCCCCTCTCTCTCTATCTCCCACTCTCTCTCTCTTTCTCCCTCTCTACTCTTTCTCGCCTTCTCTCTCCCTTCTCTCTCTCCCTCTCTCTCACACACTGCTCATTTCCCACACTTCTCATTGAACTCTATATTACCCCCCTTCTTTCTTTCTCTGCTTCCAACATTATTATCCCATCCTTGCATGTATCTCCTTCACTTCTCTGTGTATTTCTCTCTCTCTTTCTATATCTTATCCTCTCTCCCTCCCTCCACCCCTCTCTCTCTCTCTCTCTCTCTCTCTCTCTCTCACCTTGTCTCTCTTTCTCTCTTCCCCTCTCCCTCTCCATCTTCCAATCTGCTATGAGCCTGGAAAATGGCGTTAACTGGTATCATCTTTATCATAGAGTAACTGCCCTTCTGGTGTTCAGCTCAAGCAGGAGATCCCTGCATGAAGTACGCTGTCTGCTCTCGTCGATGTTATGGCTCCCCGGATTCTTTGCATTGAATTATGACGATGATCTCACTGGATGCCAATCCGTTGCCAATTGAATGCGTTGCAATTGTAGTTAGTGATTAAATTCATTTGTGTAAGATATTGCACTCTTTCCATCATTCAAATGTACAACTCATAAAGTAAATACTCGAGAAAAGAGCCCAAGTACATCTCCAAACGTTTACATCTTTGAAGCTGGGAACCAGTAGAAATCTACTCTAATCAAAAATAATTATTAATCAAACTTGACAAGTATCAATTGGCAACTGTCACGAGTCACAACAAGATCATTCCAACGCGTTTCATCTGGTGGGATGCCCTCCCCCATCTCCCTCTCTCTCCCATCTCTCTCTCTCTCTCTCTCTCTCTCTCTTTATGAGATGGATGACCCCTGTTCTAGGGTTATTCTCCGTTACATCAGCAGCGCTTTTACATCGCAAGTGAATAATCAACTTGTTAAGGCGTACATGTTTGAGTGAGTTCCAATTGCCGATGACATGACCATTATTGTTTCGCGGTGTCTCGATCTAACTACGACAGCGGTTTAGGAATGGCGTGTGGGTAATGCATCGCTCGGATAAGGACCGATGGAATGTCTTCCTCAGCTTGCAATCCGCGAGTTTAAGCACATCATTCGTGCAGGGAGCCATGTTATAGTGTTGACTTTTTGTTGCTATTTCCGCAATTTAGGAAGAGGATATTTTCATTTCATTTGTGGTAATGACACTGACGACAATGATGCTAGTGTGAAATTTGAGGCCTTGAAGTTTTCAAGTTCGTCAAGGTAACCTTGTGAACTTTTCGTTAGCGTGAAGATGTATTGTATTGTGTCGTTTTGCACTGTGTATTGTATATATAAATTGCATTGAATTTGATTATAAATATGTGATTGTCCCCATGCTAGCTCTAACTAAAGACCTATTCTAACTAACTTTCAATTTCTAAATCAATTTAAAAAAAATGAAAATGGAAAACCTTTATTGTTATTGATCATTAAACATTGAAATCCCTGTAAATGTATGTTTAAAGGAGTAATAAATCATAAAACAAATCAATGTTGTAACTGTCTGTGTAACCCCCCCCCCCCCACCGCTGCACTGCATCTTTGCCATGCTTAATTTGAAAATAAAGTTGAAATAATCTTTTCTTATCTCTTTTCATGAAGGGAGTGTCACCCTATATGGTTTATTATTGATATATAAGGTTTATATCTTCTCAGAAATTTATACTCATCAATCTAAAGATTCACAGAGATCGATCAATTAAGTTATGATAAGATATATACCTTATCTAAAAAGAATAATATTGACACAATTAATTCATAATTAGAGATAAGAAAAATATTCCAACTTTATAGACCACATTTATTTCTAATGCAATATGTTTATACTATTTTAAGCATGACTTTGTGTAGATTGTACCGACTGCAGTCAGTGCCAATAGAATAATGAAATAAAATGATGAACATTGAGGAAATCAAGTGATATAATAAATATGTACATTATATTTGTTTTTAAAACGCTTTGAGAACATATTCGACTTGAATTTTGTTGAATGAAAACATGTTATTATTAGAATTATTCTTATCGTTATAATCAATTTTTTTTATTATTACTATTATTATGAATATCATTATTACCATTATCATTATATGAATATCCTCATAAACTGTAAATTAATGTGGTTCACTGATCTAAATAAGTTGCTTTATATACGAACTAAATCTACACAAATTGTGAATATTAGGATGTAGCGGGAGCCAATGGCGTTTCATCAAAAATGGTTTCGGTATGGGAGTTCTTTGAACTTACAACACCAAGAAGAAAACTCCAGATATTAAAGTTGCGAAATATTGTTCACCAGCATTCAAAAGTTCACGTACACAAGTAAATTGTCATAACAGTTGCTAGCTGAGCTAAGATATTGCAGTGACGTGCACTAAATCAAATTCGAAAGTTCATAGAACTTTGAAAAAAAACAAAAAAAAACGATGTCCTCTGTTTGCTCAGTAATGTTCTTTTTTTTAGAAAATTACAAATAAATAAAAACGGTGTCTTGTTGGTATTAGCGAAATATCACGAAAGTCAATAGATTCTATTTACATTTCGTCTTTACTCTTTTCGACATTATCTAACCCTCACGTATGTACGGTGACCCGATTATTTGCTCCCGCTTCACCTGCTACGTGCTTGATGTTGTTAAAGGTCCAGGGTCTCGGGCTAGGATTGGATTTTATTTCAGATTTAGTTTAGTGTTAGTTTTAGGTACAGGCAAGTCAGTACGTTTTTAGGCAAGCGATTAGTTAAAGATTAACTTGAGTTCTGGTTAAAAAAAAAAAATGAATTCTCACAGAATCAAACGAAACTTACACTGAATGTTCAAGATTACAAATAAATGTCATGTGCCAAACAATTTTGGAAGAAAATGTATACTGGCTGAGTAATGAGCATATAGAAAGATAAGGAAATCAAGGTAGGTATATAGCCCCGACACAATTTGTGTAGTCCCATATACATCTTTCTGTGTACAGTGCTTGTCACTTTACCAAGACTGGGCCAAATTTATATGATTTATCTGATAACTCCAGAACCTTGCAGTGCAAACCAATACTTACATGCTACATATCGACTTTTTCTGATCCATTCCACACCTTTTCTTTCACAATGCAATCGCATGACTAGACTCAACTTTATCTTTATAAATTTTGGTTAGTGTAGTAATTTGAGCGTGGAGCAGCTGAAGTCGATGCATGTATCGTAGATGCATGTGGCGGAAATTGGGGGAGACGCCAAATGTTTACATCTTTGAAGCTGGGAACCAGTAAAAATCTACTCTAATCAAAAATAATTATTAATCAATCTTGACAGGCATCAATTGGCAACTGTCACGAGTCACAACAAGATCATTCCAACGCGTCTCATCTGGTGGGATGCCCTCCCCCATCTCCCCCCCTCTCTCTCTCTCTCTCTCTCTCTCTCTCTGTATGAGATGGATGACCCCTGTTCTAGGGTTATTCTCCATCACAAGTAAATAATCAACAGGTTAAGGCGTACATGTTTGAGTGAGTTCCAATTGGCGCTGACATGACCATTATTGTTTCGCGGTGTTTCGATCTAAGCCCCGGTAGAGATTGTATTCTGATACCGGCGCATAGCTCTATGATGGTGGGAATTACAGGGAATATAAAGTGATCATGATTTTCAAATGATATTTATGGAAGCTGCTGCGTTAAATGAGGAACGCAGAATAATTATGCTGTGTATAGCTACATATCAATATTTTCAGTTAGAAAGGTAACAGGTATTTGGGACCAGAAGTGTTGGAACTTCCAGAGCTTGTTTAACTCACGGTGGATGAAGGAATGGGTATTGGTTACACAAAGCTGGCATCAGTGTGTGATGAACTTATCAAGTCAAATTAACAGGAATATACATATGTGTTACTCCATAACGTTTAGATAAGTAAGTAAAGTTAGCAAAAATGTATTTATCTTTCCCGCTGCTTCATACTATTTATAAATAATCTTCGTTTGGCAACTTCTAATTCATTTTAGGAGAAAGTTAACACCATGAACTTGTGAATGACAAGGCAGACAGCACTATTTCCGATGTCCATACATGTTTTTGGATGCAAGTAAATGTGGGTTTCATGCATTTTGCTGCCTTAAATTATTCAGTAAATTTCAGGGAATACAAGGTTGCCAATACGTGAACTATTACAAAAAGGATTTAATTCCCAACTGTGATACACATGAACAGTAAACATTTATGTTTTGTTAGGGTTGATTAAATATGCTAATTAATGCTTATAATTATGTGCTTAATCTTAATTATTTCATATTTCTTTCAAAAGCAATTCACCTTTTGATATGACATCTTTGTACTTACACGAAGCAAAATTACTCAAGGATAATTCAATAGGTTGTCAATTCTATTTAAAGAATGTCGAAATGGAAAAAGAGATCACATTTTAATTGCAAGCCTTATTAAATTCTTGTGTTTCTTGTCATGTACAACAACTACAAAGTATTTTATCTTGAACTGATCACTGGAATTCTGTTGTGTCTGTGAATGTTATACTGTGCTTAATGAAAGGACATAGCAGCCTATAAATTACATGAAGTAAGTTTTTAACATATTATTTTTTATTGTAAAAAGTGTATCTCTCAAAATGGTGCTATTAAAGATACAACTCCGAGTAATCAATATTTTGTCTTGTAATCGTCTTTGTAGTGAGAATCTTAGGGACACAGGCTAGACATTATCATAATTTACCACAAAGGTAAAAAAAAACAAAAAAACACACACACACACAAAATGTTTTGAATCAATTCTCCTTTCATCAGCATCCGATAACTCTGCATTAGTGTAAGATGATAGACAATTTTCCTAATCGGACCAAGTCTACCCTCCTTGAAAATACATACATACAAGACCAATAGAAAATTTCTACTCCAGACGTATTCAATTAAGACATTCATATGTTTAAGAATCAAACAGTAAAAGAGAAAATGATTTCATATCAGGAGGCTCGAATGAACAGAAGTTAATTTAGAAAATGATGGCTGATGAGTTGACTGCCTTGCATAGGTGTGGGATTGGTGAGTGTGTGTGTGTGTGTGTGTGTGCGTGTGCGTGGGTTTAGGCGCGTGTGTGGGTGTGTGTTACTATACAAATAATACACATCAGTGAGGGCATTAGTAAGAATTACCCACACGATCCTTTGGAACAGTCTAACACGCCCGAGGCGATAGCCGAGGGCGTTTTGACTGTTTCGAAGGTACCAAGTGTGGGTAATTTTACTAATGCCCAAACAAAATGATGTGCGTGATGATGTGCATTATTTGTTTTATAAGATTATGTTTAATTTGTGTCGTGGGTAGGACAGGAGATCGAGAGAGAGGAGTCAGAGGCAAATGATGCGGCTGCAGTTGATCATTTATTTAATCAAAACAAAAAACAACCCTGCAAAGACAGGAAACAACAATCAATCAGTTCATTGTAATATATGGCAATTATATCGATACATTGTAGTACATGGCAATTAGTATGCATAATATTGTACTATTGAAAACATATCTATTATTATAATCATATTAAAATTTAAGTGAAAATGGGAAATAATTTATAAGCGATTTCCCCAAAATCATATCAAATCCTCAGCTAACAATACAAGTTATTCATTAGCACCCTACATCTGTCCTCAAATCACAGATACTAATGAATTAATTGTATATCTCGAGAGCTAAATGCAAATCCTCCAATTTGACCCTCAATAGCTACTTCCTCGTTATCCTCTGATAACACTCGTTATATTGCAATGAAAGAGCAAAATTAATTTCAAAGAATAAATTCTAACTCCAATCCCTACTACACTGTAAAAATGAATTTGTTCATTGGGTAATTTTAACGTATTTTTTCCATGTAGAATTTACTTGAAAACATTAGTTTTGCCACTTACGCACTAACTTTTAAGTCTTGTTAACTCAAACTTTCAATTTAGTAGAACATACGTGGAATATTTAAGTAAAATCAAATACATAAGAACTTTAAGTAATTTCAGCTTGTATTAATTTAGTAATTTTAACTCAAAATCAGAAATTATACGTATTACTCATACAATTTATGTTGATTATTCTTATCTTTTTCAAGTAAGGACCGAATGCAGTGCGTAATAGAAATATTTACATAATTTATGAATATTCATTAAGACCAAATTAAACTCTTTTTTTAAATAAAACAATTCTTTGTTTGTGGTTGAATGAAAATTAAAGGACTTTAAAACATTTACTAAATCATTTAACATGGCTAAGCAAAGACAAGACAATTTTAATTGTTACCCAATTCAAAACAAATCAAAACTTGATATTTCAGGAAATTGTCAACCAATTTTACTTTTAAGGTGCTACGATCAAGTATATATATAAAATTTGGAGCCTTTCAATATGTGTCGAATTGAAGCGTATGTAATAGTTTGTGATGGTGGTAGATACATATATACGGTTAAATCTTAAATAGAAGTAGTGAATGATTAGTGGATGTTACTTGTTAGATTAGATGGGTACCAAATCGTGCAATATGTAATCCTATCATAGCTTTTTTTTAATTATCTAAAATGATTACAATACTTAAATTATTTACGTTAATGTAACTCGATTTAACTGAGTAAAAATTTATTCAGCAAAATAAGTAAATTTTACTTAAGATGCCGTAGGTAATATTTACTTAATAAAAATAAGGCAATTCTTTTCCTCAATTTTATTGAGTTATTTCGACTATTATTTTTTTACAGTGTATAAACTCCAGAACTTGCAATTAATGAGTCACAAGTACTTAATAAATCCAAACTGAATTAAATGGATGTATGGGTATGTGTGTGTATACATAATTGCCTATTAATTACAACTTATCATATCATTAATCATACATTTATAACTATGATTATCAATTTAATAGCATAAAAAAACTTGGTTGAACTTTTACATTGTTCATACTTCATATCCAATTTGGAATATCAGACAAAAATTAAGATTTCAGTACATTTCTTAGTCTGAAGCAAAAGGCTGTTGCATTAAAACATGATTCAAAGATACCATTACGATTATGTTGTCTAATGCAAAGAATCTGTCGGTTTGACGGTGTGACTGAGGCATTAGTATAGAATACTATGGTGTCGTCAAACTCTTCGTGTATATAGAGAGCGATCTGGGCCTGTCTTACAAAGAGTTATCGCAAGTCCTCCTATCAATCGCAAGTTGCAGTCTCCTTTTATGTACATAGTTAACATTAGATTATAATTTATTTGCTAAAACAATGGCGAAACGTTTGAAAAGCATCTTGGGCTTCTTATTCATTTAAACAAATCAATAATATTTCGTTTTCTTTCACGCTTCACTCGCTCTCAAATTAATCTTTACCCTTGACCCAAATAATGTATTAATTACACTTTAAAAATTATTACCAAGTGGCTTCAAATTGTACTTGTTTGCTTCTAAATAGGTACCCTTTGTATAGGTACCCCCTTTTCTGTTATTTTTCCAGAAAATGCCCTTTTGTTTGCTGCCCCTCCCCGCCCCCCCCCCCCCCCCCCCCCCATTTGAAAGCCGCTCCGCTGGCCCTGGATTAGGGTCAGCAACGTGTTACTACTCTACAAGATGCCAATGACGATGAGGATTAAGTACAGACAGGCATAGAGGCAGGTGGCGGGGGAACTGATCCTTCTACATGGAACACCAACGCCATACCCAGCTGAAAAGTGGAATAGGGATACATTAAAGTTTGATTTATCATGGAATTTTCATCAGAATAATACAACAACTGATTTGTCAAGTATTAACAAGTACAACACATTCACTCGAACTGATTGTGGTGGTTGAGGCTCGTTCAGCTATGAGGCGGTAAACCAGTATGCAACCAAATAGAACAAAACAAAACAAAACAACCGCAGCTGTTTTTATCTTCTTCTTCTTTTTACGTGTAAAACGAATGGCGACTGCGCGCAACAAAGGTCTCCCACGCATAGTCACTTAGTTTTGTGTTATTTAAAGAAAATGTGAAGCGGCTTGCCGCGGCACAGCTGAACGAGGCTTTATTATTTTTAATCAAATGAAATGTCTTATCGAAGTATCTTCAAGCTAAGTTAAGAATGAAATCGCAAATCAATATTTAATATCTCGTGATAGTTCTAGGGAAACTTTCTGTACTTCAAATGTGGCATGAGAAAATCAATGATAAAAAAGTATCATCTCTTTTCCCGCTTTATAGTATATTTTTGGCAAGTAGCTATCTACAAACAGACCTCGCAAGACCTGGAAGGCGACACTATATATAGGAAGACACGAGAGCATAATGGCCTCATCCAGGCAGACGAAGGCATGGAGAAACGCCATATAAGGGGGTTGAAACGTCCAACACCTCAGGGCCCCGTTGCATAAAACTTACCATTAAACCTTGATTTTGATTGGCGGTAGAGCCCTGTTACCATGGTAGTCGCCATTGATGGCAAAGCTACCATCAATGGTAAGTTGTATGCAACGGGGCCCAGCATGGGAAACACGGACACTAAACGATGATGATGCCGACTTACCGCGAAGTGGGCGTCGAAGTGGCAATGCATCAGCCACCAGCCAGGATTATCAGATCGGAACCTTGTTATCACATACCCTCCAACTGGTATCATGATGGTGTCTTTCCTCGGAGGGTTCTTCAGGTTACGGGAGATTTCTCCTGTAAACAGGTATAGTTTAGATAGAGAACATAATTATATAATGTAGGTCTAGTGGATACGTCACCGGACGGTGGATCACATTGTTCGCAGTTCGAGGCCCGCCGCGGCACTAATGTCCTTTGGCAAGACATTCCGGTAGATTTTTCCCTGTAAACAGGTATAGTTTAGAATTTTTTAGATAGAGAATATATATAATGTAGGTCTAGCGGAAACGTCAGCGGACTGTGGTGGATCACAAAGTTCGCGGTTCGAGGCCCGCCGCAACACCAATGTCCTTTGTCAAGACATTAATCTATATTTGCCCATGGAGTTGCCACACTTTGCCACCCATACAGGTAAGGTAAAGTGGTACCGGACAAGAATTAAATCCTTTAAATGATAGATATGCTAAGGCCGGGGTATAACAATATTGTGGAGGGCCAAGAGTGTCAAGTCTGACAGACATGGACGCTATACAAGAACACACTATTAATATTATCATTATTATTATTATTCAAATTATCATTATCATTATACACAAATGCCTTGAAATAGCTGCAGTGTGTAAAACACTTTTAACACTTTCTCGTAATTTTTTCCAATTTTTATTTTCACAGTATTAACTGATGCTATCGCAGAGCCAAGCTGAGCTAAGCCATGTTTGTTTGAAGGTATCAACAACGTGTAAATACATTAATACCTTTCTATGAACGATGAATTATTGGTTCATGATCATGACGACAATAAAGTTAATGTAGCCGTAAAATTCATCCTCGGTCACGGGATTCAATGACGCCTTTTCACTTTACAGTGCCTACTCTCAATACCAGACAGAGAGCATTCCAGTTAGTCACCACCTTACAGGTGCGCACGTGATCATCCCATTACAATGACGTTCACATCATACAAGGTATACCGATGGAGATCGAAGAGCAGAGAATATACCTGGCTCGACTCTGCCCTATCAATTCGTGATATTTAATCAATAATCAAATTACAAACCTTGAGCATCCAGTCGTTTAAAATCCTCGATGGTGAAAAAGTCCCACATGGTCTCCATTCCAAGAACCTCAAAATAGTATCCATGTATATGCATCGGATGCGGTATACCTCTAGCGGTGTTCACATACACCACCTCCACCACCTATGGTCGTAGAAACAAAATACCGGTAAAAGCTTCACGAGACCGACAGTGATCGACTCTAAGAGACCGACAGCCCAAGGTACCGACGGCCCTTGAGACTGACCGCGCTCACTAGATCGACAGCCGACAACAAATGAGACAAACGATATCGTTAATTTCACGGGCCTTCTGAATCTAGAGGTTTACGAGACCGGTAAGCCAAGGACTTCTGACAGCCTAGTTGAGGTTTCACAGGGTCGATACTGTCGGCCTCGTGGGCTTTTTCTCTAGGTCAACTGGTATCTCCCTGATGTTATCGCATTAAAACAAAGGATAAGTACCATATGCACTTTTTCAGAAGATTACTCGGGTTCTAGTACATTAACTTGACACAAATAACCTCCTACTAATTGCAAAAGAGAATATTTCAATTGTTTTAGGGTCACAAAAAATGCACTAAATAATAAAATTCACAAAATTCTAAGACCTCTAAGTGGTGGAAAGTGTTGAAAATTCTCCAAATCAAGGATTAGTATTTTTATTTTTCCTTAAGCAACAATAGAACCAAGTGTACACATATAATTATGCGCCGCATTGTGTCCAACTTAAACAATCTATATTTATACATTAATCGATGACTTTGAGGAGTAGCTTACAAGGACGTACCTCTAATGAAAGCAAATAAAGTATATTTCAAAACATAGGAGTGATGTAACACTTGGTGGAAAATATATATATTGGGTACATTCGGTATATAAAAGTACTCTCGGGTTTCTTGCTCGATCTTACCTGATTATATTTTATGTCAATCCGATATGTGCACTCGCATGCCTCTTGTGAGCAGTCTTTGAGCGATGTCTGCAGCGAGTCTTCGTTGCACCACGATGCCTCGTCTACATCACGCCAATGGGACAGCAATGGTATTCCTGGTAAACTCATGGTAATATTGTTGATGATGGGAAGATTTTTGAGACTGTAAGTATCTGTTCCAGCTAGCTCGTATGGGTAGAAGACAGGATGATGAACCGACTTTGCCTCGTTGCGGGAAACAGCATTCAGCTCGAGATAGTGAGTGACATCAGCATGGCTTAGGTCATCTTCTTTTTCATCTGAAAATGAAATCAATGAACTCTGTGATTATTTCGTTTAAATGTACCGTACGTCATCAATAAAACAATACACTCAGACTCCGCATGTAAATTAGGTTTTTATCATGTAAGTAATTGTATGTAGAAAGTAGATTATAACAAGAAATTAGACTTGCCGGCATCGGTGAGATCTGACACTAGTACCGTCTCAGAATCACGAAGTGCTGTCTGTGGATTAAGAACCTTGCCTTGTGCTCTTAGGTCCTTGTCACTCTCTGGTTTGGAATCGGGAGGTGCGCCTGCATATTGTAAAATAGCCACTTCCTGTGAATGTATAAATACAACGATAACATTTCTTGAATGCTGTGAGCACCAAAATCGGTATCCGAGCCGAGCCGAGCCGGTGTAATTGTGGGACGTCTTGAGCACTTTGTGTGGTGGATATGTGTGCTATGAAATATCTAACATTTATTATTGTTACTTTAACTGTTTTTCAGGGGCGTATTCAGGCTTTTGTCTCGAGCGAACGGGTACAATTCGGACAAATCCGTAACAAGTGAAGAAAGAAAGAAAACAAAATCTAATTTCTTAGTGCTAAGTCATTTATATTTTCTATGACGATCGAGGAAAAAAAACGTTAGCACATTTGACAGTGCCTTTTGGTATATCATTTGGAAGGAAGTACGAAATCACAACAACACTTTGTGGGAGCGTGTGTGCACGTATATATATTTAAGATACTTAGATATGCACAATTATAGTTTGGTAAACATTAACTGTAGATCCAACAGCGCTGTGAGTAAAGTCAAATTTAGCAAGGTTATGAAAGATAAAATATTATTGACATGATTTGGAAAAATTTATTCAAACGAAAAGCAATGAATCTTGACAGAAGAGGGCGTGTTATCTCACTGTGCAGAGCCCGTGCCAATATCGAGACGATTTGGTCGATCAATGGAACAAATAGAGGATTGCTACAGATAGCTTTAGTCACAAATACGTACAATTGATTCGTAAAAAATATTAAAAATAAATGTAGTAGTCTAATGTTTTGATCCATAGAGGATTAAAAGAAAAATAGTATCTAAAAAATAAATACCTGGTATTGGGCGCAAGTATATAGCCCGGCAACCCGAATCCAGTAGTTAGTAGGACTCTGGTCAGCGTTTAAGATGAAGTCATATCTCTCTGCGGAGAAGAGGGTGATCATATCCACATCGATTGGATTCACTGGGGCACCATCCATTGCTATCACTGTCAGCGTATGATTATCAACCGAGATGGACAACGCGCAGACATCGTTGGCGGCACTTATAACCCGGAAGCGATACCTTTGACCTGACGTGACATAAACGACATGATGATCGATTGTCGCATTGGGGTAGTCAGAGTTACTGAGTACTTGGTTTGTTCCTAGGAAAGAAAAGACAAGACAAGTCACCTTCAAACCTTTTCCATTCTTACACATAATAATGATGATAATAATAATAACAACAAAGATGAACTTTTAAAGCTTCAATAAAAGTGGAAAGTTTTTACATGCGTTTAATTACAACACGGTAAAAAACAAAATACAAATCAATCGAGTAATTCCGAAACGTAAACATTAAAAGAAATGGAAGAAATATTGAAAACAAATTTATAATTGATATACGTCAGTATATCGGATATTTAGTAATAAGTATGGAGTGAAACCTTACACAAAAAGTTTAAAATTAGTGACGAGAAAAAAGAAGAGTTTTAAGAAGTTTCTTGAAAGTGTGTTAAGATAGGACTTGACGAATGACCGAAGGGAGAGAATCCCAGTGAGAATACATTAAATCAATTTTTAACAAAGTTTTATATTTTCGCTCTCTCTCTATCTGTCTTTATCTCTCTTGATTGTTTTCTCCTCTCTCTAGATCAACTGACATCAATTATATAAATTTCTCTTTGCATTTACACAATCGCCTATCAAACAGCTCACGGCTATGATAGGGGGTTGTGTGTCCGGATGAATACATAAAGCGATCACTTTTGACTTCGGATCAAACAATATAAAATATCACTAACCATTGTCATTTACGGTGGGGGAGAATTAATTCCTTTCATTTCTTTGTTTCTAGGTCTTCAAATTTCTTTACTTTCTTTTCCCTTCTTTTTGCTTGTTTTATTTTCATTTTAAAACTATACCTTCCTTTCAAAACAATGGTATTCTCGTCATTTATTTAGTTAAATTTCTGACATCAAGTGATTATAAAGTTGTTTTTTTCTTCACATGATTGTATTATTACAGTGTTTTCATATTCTGTTTTTATTGTAATACATGTAATCATATTGTGTATTATTATTATTTTGTGGAAAATTTGTATCTTCTGTTTTGAAAGGGAAAATGAAAAGAACAAAAAATAAAAAAATTGTATTCAGCCAAGCCACGCCCTCTATAGAAGTAAAGTGATTTCGCTGTTTTTAACATTCTTTACATAATTATCTCAAGAGAAGCCCGTACCTACTCCGTTGATCAATATGCCATCATTTGCATCTATTGCAACACCACTCTGCCCGGCAGTAGAAATGGCTATCGCCGGGGACTTTGACCATTCCTTGATAGTGATCACGTGATACGGGTCGTCTTTATCGTACAGCGCTCGATGAGGATCGGATTCCGATGATTGCCGAACTATTAACGAACCATATACACCGTCTGCACGATGAACACCAGCGTGAGAATGCCACCAGTGGGTACCTGTGTGAGAGGAGCGTTGTGACAGTGTGGGTGTGCGTAAGTGTGGGTGTAAGTATATATAGTTCCGTTATTTAAACAAAATACAAAGTACGATGAAAACAGCATTTCAAGGAGTTTCAAGAAGAAGTCTCAAGTGGCAAACATGAAAACATAACTTAAAGGCATAATCAAGAAGTAAAGACGTTTGTTTTATCGTCTAGGTAGGTCTGCATTATTATGGAGTGATTTGAGAAAACCGATATTAACAGAACTATTACTACTGTTACTACTACTGCTAGTATATGATACTGCTACTACTACTACCACTACTACCAATAATGATAATGAAAAGTAAGTAATAATTATAATAGCCTACTACTTGCTTATACAAACACAATTATTACTAGTACTTCTATTACTATTACTACTACAAATCACAAAATAATAATGAAATTAGCAATAATATAATCCTATTACTTATTTCAACAACAGCAACTATTATTACTACTACTACCACTAAAACTACTACTACGAATACAACTGCTGCTACTACTATACTACTACAACTAATATTACTACTACTTCTGCTATTCCACCACTATTACTACTACCAGTAATAATAATAATGAAATTAGTAATAATAATAACCGCCTACTACTTACTTCAACACAACAACAGCTACTATTATATTACTACTATTACTACTACAACAACTACTACTACAACTACTACTACTATTATAACAGCTATTACTATGACAACTGCTCCTATTGCTACTACATGTACCACTAATACTACTACCAAAAATAATAATGAAATGAGTAATAATGATAATACCCTACTATACTTACTTCAACAACACAAATAACTACTATACTACTTTTACTACTATTACTACTACTACTACTACTACTACTACTACTGCTACTACTGCTGCTACTTATACAAATAATAATAATAAAAGCTACATCTATATCGCACAAATATTAAGGGGATGCTAAGCGTGGTACAGGGCACTAACATTACCATGACTTTAGCCAAGCTACCTGGGGCGCTGTAATCATTGAAGAGATTTCTTCCTAGCAGGTACCTCCATTCACTGCACGTGGGTTGAGATTGGCTAAAATGTAAGATTAGTGTCTTTTCAAAATGACTCCGCGACTGGGACTCGAACCACGAACCATATTGTTCCTCAGTACAGCGACACACCCGTAATTAGACCTCCGCCAGCTTAAAGATTGTTTATCTGTTTTCATTGCAATATTAATCTATACCGGTTTTTAAGGGTCGTTATTGGAGCTAATCAAAACCGAAAATGGGGAGTTTTGTAAAGCGATTGTGTTGCGCAAAGCAATCCTTCCGCCAATCGGTGCCTATATTGTTTGGCACAAAAATTGCACTTTGGGCAAACGAGCAACAAGACAGTGCACAAATCTAAGCAAAACCAAACAAACTAAGGGTTAAAGAGAGAGAAAGAGAGAGAAAGAGGTGGAGAGAATTATTTCTCGTACCTGGCTGTTCTGCTATGAACTCATAAGTAAAATCATGACCTGCATTGATGGGGCATTGGGTAACTCCTGATACTCCGTCCATGTGCTGAGTGCCTTGCATATGGAACCCATGCCAGTGAATACTTTCACCTTCTTCGTTCTGCAATCGGTTGTGCACATGAACCTTGATGATATCATTTTCACAAACCTGAGAATGATATTTAAAGCAATGATATTATAGCGAACTGTAAAATATTTTGAAGGGTTAATTATACGTGTTACTTAAAGTTAAATCAAACAACCTACCAATTAGGTGAAAACTGATGCGACATTGCTCAGTTTCTTTAAAAGTTTAGGGTTAGTGTTACGATAGGATTTTAAGGTAAGTACAGGGTTAGGGCAAGGGTTAGGATTGGGGTCAGGATTGGCTGAGTCTAGGTTTGAAGTTGGGCATTCGGTCTGAGTAGGAAATTGACCGGGGAGCAGTTAGCCCAGGAGCATGTGTCGTACAACCTCTAGGAAATATCAGTTCTTCCTTCGTGTATGGAGATACAAGCATTGTTTTTAAACTCATTCAACACGATCTCAAAGGAGATATCGACTCAAGGGCAATTTCAATATACCTATTCTACCCTTTACAATCATTTTCGGATCGCGTAATATGTCATTGTTTTTGCTGGCACATTTTAATCGATGACGTAAGAGTCTATACTGAAATTGCCTAATTTTGATTTTTCGAAAGTCTTTTGATAGATCTGATTAATTATTACAAGAAAGGAATAAAAGTGTTTATCAATCTGAAATTCAAGTTACCTGGATACTCGGTCCGGGTTCCTGACGGTTAACCGAGTAGACGGGCCTGGCATAACCGGCCGAGGGTATACAGTGAGGCCGGTGGCAATCGAACTCGTTGAATGGACATTGGTAGCAAGCACGTGACATGGAGTAATATGATTCAATAGTCCAGTCGTACTCGCACGTCATAGGTTCACTTCCAGTACATTCTCGTAAACATGGATTGTCCAGATCGTTTATCCCATAACCTGTGATGAAATACAGACTTCGATATTAGTAAGTTTTCAAGTTCAAATGTCTTCTTAGTCTCATTGAATTAGTTTCAGCGCACTTCAGAACACTAGGTCCTCAGTCAACGTGTGTACAAAAAAAATCTCAAAAAGGACCAAAACGAAAAAGAAGAAGAATTGAATTGAATTGAATTGAAATGGTTTATACTAATCAAATTTCATTTCGGCCAAAGGTCGAATGGCGAAACATTTTACAGATTACATGTACAAAATATATACAATCATAACATATTGGCCTACGTACACAAACAATGATAGAAGAATGTACTAAAGATTATTCAACTAGACATATGATGTCACATGCATTGGTTGAAGCGAAGAATACTTGTGAAGAAATAAAATGAATTTGGTGCACTTTGAAATCACAAATCATAATTTTAATTTGAGTTTAAAGAATGACTGTTATGATAAAATGTATCTATACAACTAAAACAGTAATGCATACAAATACTTAATGCGTAACTGATTGATGTACTAGTTTAAATTATTTTATAATTCAGGATTAATGTGTATTGGTGCCAATGAATGAGTTATGTTAGTTAAGTGAAGCCAATAAGTAGAAATGCAAATTGAAATAGCGTCGGAAAACAAACTCTAATCAAGTTATTAGGCTTATTACACGCAAGACGTGTCTTTACATACAAGATAGGTGTGGAGCCTCACAGAATACCACCCCCCTATTTTTTGTGTATCTTTGACTTATTATGTATGACACAAGTATATTTCTAGCCCCCACAGTCCCTCCTCTTAGTTGATTAGGTACCCCTCCTGCGAGAGTGGCCTCACCCAACAACTAATCCAAATACACCAGCTGGGATACCAGGAGTGGCTTCTCACTTTGTTTTACCAAGCATCCCAGTCACCATCTATTCTTATTGTGTCTTTTAAAGGTAAGAAAGAATATTGTATTATTCAATTGCGTTATATTCTTGTTCTTCATAATATGCGTATTTCTAAACTATTAGCTTCACTATTCATATATCTTGTAGTACTGTGTAAAAAGAGATATTAATGATCTTTGCCAATGACTTGTTGGATTATATAACATGTGGACTATGGGTGGAAATATAAGAAATGCCATGTGGGAAGAGATAATGTCATTGATGAGCATAGTAATCACTTGTAGAAATGATAGGAAATTTTTATCGAGTGTGTGAGATTGATGATTATGTTGTTTGATTTAGACAACATTTAAGTAAGTTTTGAGAAGAGAATATATACTTTATTACTGTCAGTATATTTGTCTTTTGCACGATATTCATGTGTATATATATATATATATATATTCTTAGCAATTCTCATCAATGAACCAATATCTCAGCTTCTACTCTGGAAACCTAAACACGGGAAGAAGAAACCTGGAAGACCTCATCTTACAGTTGGGGAATACACTTTTGGAGAAACACATGATCACTGTCTAGTAGTTAGCTAGAGTTGGACTGGTTGATGAAATATTGTAGTTGAAGACTTGCATAATGATTGTTAGGAATGATAATTCAGGTTAAATGTTATTGGGAATTACTCTCTCTCTCTCTCTCTCTCTCTGTTTATATCCCCCCACTCTCTCTCTCTCTCTCTCTCTCTCTCTCTTTATATCTTCTCTATCTATCTCTCTGTATTGTTTACCCGTTGTCTTTTACTCCCACATTACTTTGTGAAATGAATATACATGTATTTAGTAAACTATTGTTTGATGATTAGAGTTAGAATAGGAACTATATGTATGCGTAGATGAGATGACAGTAAGAGGATAGCTTATTATTGGTTGTAAGTTTGCGAGAGCTATATAATTAGTGCAGACTGCAGACTGCAGACTAAGAGGCTGTTCACACCGGCAGAGATAGCGCGGTCTAGCGCGCGCTATCTCTGCGGTGTGGAAGGTACAACGTCGTTTCGGTCCGCCCAACAGCGAGCCACGGCGAGCCAAAACGGCGTGCCAGTACTGGAGCACCTCTTGGGGGTGGTCCACGAGAGAGAGCGCGGCCTAGCGCGCGATAGAGCGCGCGCTGGACCGCGCTATCTCTGCCGGTGTGAACAGCCTCATAGACTATTTGCCAGTTCTGTGAATATTGTAAGGAGTTTAGGAGGCTGTTCACACCGGCAGAGATAGCGCGCGCTAGACCGCGCTATCTCTGCGGTTTGGAAGGTACAACGTCGTTTCGGTCCGCCCAACAGCGAGCCACGGCGAGCCAAAATGGCGTGCCACTGGGGCACCTCTTGGGGGTGGTCCACGAGAGATAGCGCGGTCTAGCGCGCGCTAGAAAAAAGGGGGTGCTACGATAGACCGCGCTATCTCATTGCGGTGTGAACAGCCTCCACGAGAGATTGCACGGTGTAGCGCGCGCTAGAAAAAAGGGGGTGCTACGATAGACCGCGCTATCTCATTGCGGTGTGAACAGCCTCTAGGATATACGTTGTTGAAGATGTATCTTTTCAAGTTCAGTAATCTCACTGAAAAAGATAGTCTTAGATCAAAGTGATGCAGATGACTATTGGAAAATACATGAGCTAGTTAAGGAAGATTTATAAGTTTATTCAGTATTAATGTGAATGCCTGCCCTGAGACAAGAAGTAACTTGTGAATTTAGGGATTAGTGAAGGCTGAGAGTAGAATTGCATTCTAAGGGTCTATGTGCACAAGAGATCCTCAGTCTTAGAGCGTAAAGAGTAGGAAGCTTATTAGGCAATAGTATAGGGATGATTATGCTAACATTCTTGTATTATATGTTTATAATGATTTCTTAATGAAGACGCTAAGTGAAGAGTTATGTTATTAGAAGATATTATAGTAGATTGGCTGATACCTCAATGTTATAGACATTCGTTAGTGGGTTTAGTTATTTATTAGTAGCCAAGTTGTGATTATGAGATCGATGAAGAATTGCGCTTTTAAATGAAGCATGGAAGTAAGGATAGTTTATTTTAGAGATAGTATTAGTAACGTAAAGAAAGTATGAAACTTTCCCAGATGATGTTCCTAGTGATATAATAAGAGAACACTGAGAGCTAATGAATTCAATGTATGCGAACAGATAGATTTATTTGTGTTTAATACTTAAAGAGTATTGTTATGCCATTTTGATCGTATATAAATGATTGTAAGAAAAGACTGTTATTGTAAAGGATTAGGAATAAATGACTTTGATTTGCCATGCATCCCAGTCACCATTTATTCTTATTTTGTCTTCCTGTAATAGGTATGCCCCCTCCTCGGGGTGGGCGCTACATAAGAGATAAAGGAGTTGAATCAAGGAAAGAACAGAGATGAAGAAAATGGTTAATAACTAGGTTCGATTAATTATGTTTCAGTGCCTATCATTTTAAAAGTAACATTATTACAATATGTGACAATTGCAAAGGCATAAAGTTCAGGTATACAAATCTTCATGAGTAGCAATAACAATGACAGATAAGGTAATTCCTTCCTAAAACGAGGAAGGGAAATTAAAAATGGGAGAAAATTACAAACTAAAACAAACTAAAAGGTAAATATACACGTACGGCTTTAAAGTTTTTAATAGATGCACAGTACAATGTATTACTTTAAAGGTAAAGACCACTTATGGTCATGCGATTGCATTGTGAAAGAAACGTTGTGGAATCGATCAGAAAAGGTTGATCATCTAGCATCTAGCATCTGCAAGGTTCTGGAATCATCAAAATGATAAGAAATTTGGACCATTCTTCGTAAAGTTACAAGCACTATACACAGAAAGATGTATATGGGACTACCCTATATCTCTCACAGACCAAGAGAGAAACAAATTTACCAAATATATGAATTAGTAGGCGGTTTCCCCGCAAATTTTTTATCATCATGTATTAGTCAAAACATATTCTTTCACATGATTGGTAACGAGAGCTTCCATTTCATTTTTTGAAATTGGGGCGTTTCCAATACTGGTCTTTACCTTTAATGACGAAATTAAATTGAAGAGATGAAATGAAAACAAAATGTCCCGCCAGTAGCAGTAAGAATTTCTTAAGTGGTAAATATTTGTTTAACACGTTGTACATATTTTGGGGAGCTGTTCCCGTTGGTGTTGCTTTGACTTTTAAGGCACGTGATATCTAAAACCGCAGCCTCTTTAATCATAAACAAAGCTTCAAATATATAGTTAGTTTGTTAAGGGCGCACTTTCTATATAAATAGTATAGTTCAACCTGTTTCTCACGCAACGTTAATTTTCTTTCTTCAAAGGTCAAGACATAATGACCGATGGTAACTCATTTCATATGAGGAAACACTATAGCTCCTCGAAGTCTAGACAGTTGTCACTGACGGTAACATTTTTGATAACCCGGCCAGCTAGTGCAGTAGAGATGTGTGGTCAGCATCGTTCATTGGTCAATTCAAGGATAAATATATAGTTCCTTTTCATAGTGCGGAATGGAACTTATTTTAAAGTAACCTTTGAGCTCGTATGCGTGAGCGTGTCTAAACATTAGGCCCGTTTTCACATAGTGCGATTTGGATCGCGATGCAAATATCGATTTTTTTGTTTTTTTTTGTTTTTGTTGTTGTTGTTGTTGTTTGGGTTTTGTTTGTTTTTGTTTTTTGCGACCGTCCACACAAATTCATGTCAATTTAATGTCAATTTAGAGTCAATTGGATCGCGATGCAAAGATTGATTTTTTGGGGGCGACCATTCACACACAAGGGGAAATCTCGCTCGACGGCAAGAATGACCGAACTGCGCATCCATGAATCTCGATGGTGTATGCGCTCTTGGAATACTGGGATTAAATAAATCGACGTTTGATTCTCAATACCATTCACACAAAGCGCCCGGCAAAATATCGCGATTATTCTGACAAATCGCAAGACTCAGTGCGAATTGGACCGCGAAGATTAGAAATTATTCTATCCGCACACGCCAAAAAACAAACCGATTTTTGGATCGCGATACAAAAAAAAAAAAAATAAAAAAAAAAATAAATCAAATCTCCTTTTTTCTGCAGGTGGGAATGCCTCTTATGTCTATAAATACGCTATGGACTACTGTCAAAGGCTCTGCAAGAGATATCATACACCCCCCCCCCCCCAGTTCCCTCATATATCCATTATCTTTGTTATGTTGATTCTAAGTTCCGTTGAACAAATCTTTCAAGTTTATGAATGACTTAGTTATCAAGCAAGGTTTCACAATGATTCACGATTTTCGTTCCACTGTTAGCTTTGCAGGGTAATGGGAAATATCCGGAAAAAGGCATTTCATCCGTATTGCTCCTCGCTACCCAGGTGTTAAACGGGCATCCGGTTGGTTACGCATGTCAATGCAATTTGATTAGCGAGTGGCTGGAATAGGAGAACATCAAAAATTAATGATATTTTTGGTCTCGAAAAACGGGAGAGTTATCTGCAACTACATCACGATTGCAATCCACTGACCTAACTACAAATTTGAGATTCGAATAGTAAGTGATCTCATATTATTGGTCCGATTTTTTTCGAACTTCCGCCATTCTGTGTATCCTATTTTTCTGATGACCTAGTATTTGGTTTCCCTCCACATTTTCATTCCATCTCTTCGAGTCGATATGTTTAAATTCTATTCATTAATTATTTTATTACGAAGGAAGGCTTCTCAATATTTTAAGTCAAGGAATCGTGCTCTCTAATCATTGGCATCACTATGGTTGATGGCAAGTTTGGAAGACGGCAGCAAAGACTCGAGAAGAAGTCCCCCCCCCCCCGCCTTTTGGATCTCTCCGGCTTTTATCGGGAGCTATATTTTATACTGTTTTCGAGCAGGCCGACCTTCAAGAAAGGATACAACCCGACCTCGAAGCTAAGGACAGAGTCTTGACGTCAACCTCAGGACAAAGCCTGCCCTCCGATAATGAGTGCCGCACGCGACTAAAAGTCTGTCCCTGTCGTTTTCGAAATCGTTTTTTTTTTTTGTTGTAATTACTGACGGGCAGGCACGGCCGAAAAGCAGAATGACTGTCGTAAATCTAGTAAAGGACTATGGAGTTTGACATGCCCCACAAAAAAACTATTTATACGGAAATAATAATGATCCATGCATGTACATATACTTCTAATTTGTGAATCCTGCACGTAATACAGACACATTTAAATTCATTACAAACCTTATGTAATAAAAAAAATTAAGCCATTATATCATCACTGTCATGTCATGAAATAAGGTAATAGAATTATTCCAACTTTATGGACAACACTGAACATTATTCTTTAATTTATCTGCATTTGTACGACTGTTCACGTTTCGTTGTTGTCAAGTTATTTTAAAGGGATTGTAAACATAAAAATTTAACATTAACTTGAAAGTTGAAGACGTCTAATCATTCAATAATCAATAAAAAACATAAAATATAAAAAGCGCGAAATCAGCAGAATATTTTGCCTGTATGGAACAGAAATGAGAACTCAAATCTAGCTTACCTTGAACAACCGTTGAAATGATCAACATGGAAAGCATGAGGCAGAGAAGTTTCCCCATTATCCTCTTTTTTCCACAGGAAACGGAAATCACATGGAATATCACAAGAAATCAGTGCGCTCCCGTTTTGAATACTAGACGAAAGACAAAACAAGCTCAATATCAGCGTATGTTACAAATAATATATCGTGACCTATTTTTAATAGTAGACGAAAGTGAGACAATATATTTCAGCATACATCAAAATATAAATATGACTAAAAACTAAAAAGCCTCAGACTACAACCATAAACTGATAGATAATTGTTATGCAGGAATGTGCAATCGGTGAAAATTGCGTGCTCATCTATAAACCCTTCATATCTAAACTAAAAGTGAAACACTATTCCATGAGTTATGAACGAGTAATTAAGCTCTTCCAACGTTCCGCAACCGTTGAATAACCAACACGGAAAATACGGAGCAGGACATTTTCCTTAAAGGCAACGGAAATCACATGGAATATCACAAGAAATCAGTGCGCTCCCGTTTTGAATACTAGACGAAAGACAAAACAAGCTCAATATCAGCGTATGTTAAAAATACATCGTGACCTGTTTTTAATAGTAGACGAACGTGGGACAATATATTACAGCATACATCTAAATATCAGCATTCATCTAAATATAAACATTATTATATCCTGCATCAAAAGTTTGTTGGCTTTTGATTGGTTGAGAGCTTGTCACATGACCCAAAATATTTGACCTATTTTTAGAAAGTACTATATGAGAGTACTATTTTGGTTTACTATTTGGGAGTTGAAAGTTTTTTTTTAATTGAATCATTTTTGTTTTCAAATATTAATTTAATAAAAACAAAATATTTTAAATCTTTTTAGATAAAAATTGACATTTATTTGTTCTAATTTTTTTTTTCTCCAATTTTTTTTTTTTTTTTAAAATAAATTTTTGATGCAGGATATAAAACAAATATACCATGCCTTCTATTCGAGATACTGGTTAAACTATGGGCCTCGGTGACTCCAAAAGTACCATTTGCTTCGGGGCTAGCGCCCCTCAGCAAATAGTACTATTGGAGTCGCCTCTTACGCATAGTTTTAACCAGAACCTCTCAAGGCTGTGTATATTTGTATACTATAAACCAAACAGCCTCAGCATACAACCATGAACTGATATTCTAGATGTCTTTGAGTAATATGCAGGTAAGTGCGTACAATAAAGTAGTAACAACTTTAGAAAAGTGTATCAAACGTCTATTCCATGACTTTTAAAGATTAATTAAACTCATCCCACATTCCACTTACATAAAAGGAGGGCAAGGACTAAATTAAAGACTGCGTCGTAGGTGGATTGTCAAATAACTTGAACTTATTTTGGCAAACATTTGAAAATATGAAATCAAGTTTGCTTTGATTTTCTAAAGGAATATGCCTGTTTTACCAATGTGGTTGGGAGGGGGTGGGCGGGTTATTACAGTTTTAGATGTGTTTTGTGTTTTCTGAATGTCTTCAATTTTACGACAATAATTAGTGCTGTATTTTACTTTTTGTGTAAATTAATTTCATTTAATTTTCTGGACCCAGAGGAAGAACAGTTTTGTCATATCAACAAAGCTGAGTTGGCTATCCAGCCATTCATTATATTCTTGGTTTTATATTTACTTTTCTATTTGTTGAATTTTTTTTTATATATTGTGAATTGGAAAATAAAAATACCATACCATACCATGTCATAAACAGGTCGACTAGAAGGTTACAGGGTAGCATGAAGCGAGCGACTATAACTCAGGTCACAAACTTTTCTCGTAACCAACAGACGGATACTCTTCAAAACTCCAAATAAAGTTTTTAACATGTCAGAAGAGCCGATAAATGACAACAATTTCAAAATAGTAGATTTACACTTTTGGTAAAATTATGCTCGATTTAAGCTCTACTGCATTGGTGCAGCATGTTAAAAGTGCAAATCTATACCATTTTGAGATGTCTCTCCTTAGCCATTTTAATATTGATGTATCGCATTTGAGTTTGGAGTGTAGACGAGTAGACCAGACAAGTAACAAAGTTTCACACTTTGCATCCCGAATCAAACAAGCGAAACAAGGAGCCGTTGCTATCATGCTAAACAAATATTTACAGATTCATGAGAAATATCTTATAAACTGACATCATGCACATAAGAAGCAAATAATGAAGTATGCAATAAATGTGGTCGTTAGCATGAATTTTACGACAAGGATCGACCGTGTTTCATGGGCTAAGTTGACAAACTCTTATATGAAAATATTTCAAGTTCAACTTTATTCATCATGCTACACTGTAGCTCCTAAAGTTGGAATAAATGTTTCTGTCCCCTTTTTAATGAAATGATTGTGATAATGTGATTTATTCTTAATCTACAAATTTATATCTTCTCAGTACTCTCAGCATCTTCTCAGTACAAAGATTGATTAATAAGTTCTGAGAAGATATAAACTTTTTACCAAGATTAAATCCCATAGTCACAATCTTTTCATGAAAACAGGTCAGAAAAATTAATTACAACTTTATGGGCAACGGTGTTACATACATCCATTAATCAAATTAATTATGAACAAAAAAGATCTACCTATACTACATGTATCAGCCGACGTGGGAGAGGTGAACAAACTTGTATGACACAATACTAATAGTTCAAGTGCAATTCCAAGAATATTCGTCATACTCTTTATACGTAAATCCATACACATGCTTTAAGCAAATATTAATCGACTACGAGGGTAATGGTATAGTATTAATGACTGCTTTGAGAGAAATATTTGTTTTTATACGCTCAAGGGAAGGTTAGAATTGTGCTATTTCCCGAGGCGGGCCGAGGGCAATAGCCCAATTGTAACCTTCCCGAGAGCGTATAAAAACAACTATTTCTCGAATATTAAAGCAGTCATTAAAATCTTTTATATGCCGAAAAAAAAAAGAGTCAACTTCTGACACCATCTTCGCCTTTATCTAGTTTATCTGCACGGTTTTTTTTTTTTTATGAGTGTATCTTTATGAGTAGACTAAAAAATAAAAATTAAATTTTTTTTTGTCGAAGATGGGACTCGATCTCTTGCGCCCCAGCGATGATGTGACTATAATCACCGCCTTAGACCGATCGGCCATCGCGCATTGATACCAAATTTCGCAGTTTTCTCTGATCTATACATTAAAATGGATTGAAAACAGCTTCGCGTGCTGGATGCTTCGCGGGAATCAGATGGCTGGATTTCTTAAGTGAGGTATATACCTTAAGAAATCCAGCCATCTGATTGGTCAAAATCGCATTCATAAACTTTAACTATTCCTGTAAAATTCCCGGTAAAATTCCAAACCCATGTAATAGTTCTAAAAAGTAGTTCTAAAATCCCAGTAACCATGGTTACCGGGAAAATAGTTCAGTCTTAGTGAAATACCCATAGGTTGACATGTTAAAAAATGGTCTGAGCGATCGAGGATACCGTACGTGTGGGATGAATTGGTCGGTAATTTCAATACAATTGAATCTCGATCGATCTTACCGACAATTTTATCTTGCATTGTTGACATGAAGACGAAAATAAACTTCAAAAAACAACATCTGCCGATAGATCTTGATCTAAGTTCGTGCCAATGCATTGCAAAAGTAAAAGAAGGGCCCGTTTAATGGAGCTGCCGCGACGTTTCCAGCACGCAAAGCCGTTTTCAATCCATTTTAATGTTTAGATCAGAGAAAACTGCTGAAATTGGTATCAGTACGCGATGGCCGAGCGGTCTAAGGTGGTGATTATAGTCACATCATCGTTGGTGCGCAAGAGATCAAATCCCATCTTCGACAAAAGTTTTTTTCTGTTTCTTTTTTTAATTTTTTAATCTACTTTCAAAGATACACTCATAAAAAACAACCGTGCAGATAATCTAGATAATGGCCAAGGTGGTGTCATAAGTTGACTCTTTTTTTCGGCATATAAAAGATTTTAATGACTGCTTTAATATTCGAGAAACAGTTGTTTTTATACGCTCTCGGAAAGGTTACAATTGGGCTATTGCCCTCGGCCCGCCTCGGGCAATAGCACAATTCTAACCTTCCCTTGAGCGTATAAAAAAAAAAAAATTCTCTCAAAGCAGTCATTAATATTATACTATCATCAACGAGGTGATCTCGGGGCTACTATCTTCCCGAGCCGCAAGGCGAGGGAAGATGGTAGCCCCGAGATCACCGTGGCGATGATAGTTTGTATCCATTGCCCGAGTAAAGGAGGTTAATATTTGTTTTATATCCCACATCGGCAATAAGGTCTATTTAAAGTGAATTTTACATAATTAAAACAACTGATTTTGCAGACAGTTTAGCTTCAGCTAGATTTTACAAAGCACAACATGCGTACATGTAATACAGTCGATGCGCGCTCATTTGACATGGACATTGACTTTGACATTTCGCGTAACCTACTTTGCTATGCTTATTCAATGCGCAAGTCGCGCAAGTGGGGCAGCAGCAAAAAATTACTTTACAAAAAGACCTATCTCAGGTAGATAGTATTTATCTATACCTTTTTCGTGCTATGTACAATCGCAATGCAAACAACTATACATGAGGGATATAATGAAAAATACCAAACATTACCTTTGTACCTTATTGTTCTCCTGTTTGCATGTTCCATTTTACCTATCTCAGGTAGATAGTATTTATCTATACATTTTCGTGCTCTGTACAATCGCAATGCAAACAACTATACAAGAGGGATATAATGAAAAATACCAAACATTACCTTTGTACCTTATTGTTCTCCTGTTTGCATGTTCCATTTTACCTATCTCAGGTAGATAGTATTTATCTATACCTTTTTCGTGCTATGTACAATCGCAATGCAAACAACTATACATGAGGGATATAATGAAAAATACCAAACATTACCTTTGTACCTTATTGTTCTCCTGTTTGCAGGTTCCTTTGTCTACCTATCTCAGGGAGATAGTACTTACCTATACCTTTTTCGTGCTCTGTACAATCGCAATGCAAACAACTATACATGAGGGATATAATGAAAAATACCAAACATTACCTTTGTACCTTATTGTTCTCCTGTTTGCAGGTTCCTTTGTCTACCTATCTCAGGTAGATAGTACTTATACATTTTTCGTGCTATGTACAATCGCAA